GGGGCCAGAGGAACCAGTACTGGCCTTTCTGATTTCCAAGTAATTTTTATTGTCTCAGTGACCTCTCCTGAAAACCCAATTCATGTCTATCTATTTCTTGATCTATTTGTATTGGTGCTGCTATACCTTGTTCTTGTTCTCCTAATCTTTTTCCTTTCCTAAAACCTTATCTAGCCATAATAGTGGGCACAGTTGGATTGATGTTATTTGTTAATGTCAAACCTAATTGATCTAGGACATCTCGTCCCCATAAAATTATAGGAAGATGGTCCAATACATATGGCTGTATAGTTCCTTCACATCCTTCAGGATCCTCCCAATCTAATACCATTGCACTTCTATGGGGATTAGTCGCCACTCCTAGGCCTCGAAGCGTTTGAGTGGCTTGTTGTAATGGCCAATGTTTTGGCCATTCTTGACGAGAGATGATGCTAAGGTCTGCACCTGTATCCTGTAGCCCATTAAATTCGTGTCCTTGAATATTTAGTTTTAGCATTGGGCGAGAATCTAAATTTAAAGACAGCATAGCCCAATCTACACCTGTGGAGCCTAATCCCCCGGAACCTCTTTCTATAATACGGCTGGAAAACTTATCATGCAGGCTGGGTATTATTAATAACTGTGCTATTCGATCTCCTGGTGAAATTACTGATATACCCCTTGGAGAACTGGCTATAATTTTGTTTTCACCTTCATAATCAGGATCAATTACCCCAGGACTTATCATAAGTCCTTTGAGAGTAGAAGAACTGCGTCCCAATAATAAGCCTACTGCTCCTTGGGGAAGAGGTCCTTTTACTCCTGTGGGAATGATTTGAACTCCCATTTCTGGAGTTAGTACTGCTCTGGCGGAGGCGCAGATGTCCAACCCTGTGCTCCCTCTGGCTTGTCTGATGAGGGATCTAATGGATAATGTGTCCTGGGCACCTCCCTGATGGTGTTGCTGGGTTCCTCCATTGCCCCGTATATTTGTGGTCGTGGGCCCCGGAGCATTGGGCCCCCCTGTCCGTTTTTTGTCAATGGAGCCAGATGGTTTTCTCCACGATATCATGGGTAAACGCCTGGTCCTTGTCCGTTTATTGATAACGGAGTACCCTCTATGGTGGTTTGAGAACGGCATTCATTAGCCCAATGTCTCCCTCTACGGCATCGTAGGCAAATACCCGGTATTCTACTCCTAGTTTTGTTAATCCCTCCTCCTATGGGGCAATTCCTTTTATTTTTTTATTTATTTTATTTTTTTTTTCTGGAAGCTTCTTGTATCTTTAATGATAAATGATATTACAGACAGTCATGGGCTTTGCACATTGCATATAACTTTTGTCGAGTGTACTTTATATAGCAATCTTATAAATCACTGACAAATATTTTAGAAGTTTTTTAAAAAGCAGAATGATAAAAAAATGGTCACCAAGCCATCTGCAAAATGTATAAAAAGTATAATACCTTTAGGAAAATCTTGGCAGTCAAAAAATAAAAAAAAAAAGAAAGAGAAAAAATTGGGCTGCCATTTCCTACAAATTAGTATATGTTGAGAGACATGGAAAAGCACACCAGATTCACCTACCTTTAAAGATACAAATGCGAGAAAATACATTTCAATATTTTTAAATACTTTATCCACTTATTTGTTTCTTATGAGAATTTTATAGTTATACAGAGTAGTTCATTCAACATTCTCATGCACGTTTGGAATTTGATTTGAGTTCACAATTCCCCGCTTTTCCCACTGGTTCTCTCTCGGGGCAATTCCTTTTAAAATGTCCTGTTTGTTCACAATTGTAGCATGTTTTTGGCCTGGCATCTAAAGCCTGTTGTACTGCAGCTGCCAAAACTTGCCCTTTTTCATTAATGTCTCTACATAATTTAATATATGTGTTTAAGTCTTCATGTTTCCATGGTCTAATGGGCTCCTTGCACCAACGATTTGCTTATTCAAAGGCTAGCTGTTTAATTAATGGCATTGCTTGCTCTGTATCCCCAAAAACACTGATAGCTGTTTGAATAAGCCTATGTACAAATTCAGCATAAGGTTCATTAGCTCCTTGTATTACCTTAGATAATTGACCTTGTAAATCTCCATGTCCTTGTAAAGTCTTCCATGCCCTAACTGCATCTATAGCAATTTGTGAGTATATAGCAGGATCATATGCAATTTGTTGCAGCTGATCCTCATAAGGTCCCTTTTCTAACAACATATCTAGATTTCTCTGAGGATAACCAGCTGCTGCACTTCGCCTAGCCGTCTCCGTGCAAAATTCCTCATTGTCAACCTTCCATAACAGGTATTGTTCTCCATTTAGCACAGCTTTACACATATTAGCCCAATCTGCTGGCGTCGTGTTCAAGTTGGTAATGGATTCGACCATGCTTACAGTGAAGGGTGCTTGAGGACCATAGGTTGTTACAGCCTCTTTTAGGTGCTTTACTGTTTTGAAATCTAAAACATGGTGATTTTGCTGTCCTCCTGCCGCCTCAAATACAGGGCATGCTAATCTTTGAGGTCCTGTCTCAGGATCCCATCTATCAACTATGGGGGTTGACGGCCACTCAGCATATGTTGTCTCCATAGGTGGTTGGACACTTACACCCTCTGGTGATAGAAAGGTGTTAGTAGCAACCTCCCGTTGTAACTTCTCTCCAGATAGCCCCTCCTTCTCTAAACTTTTTTCCCCTCTCTAACTCGAGAGACTTACTCTTTTACTTGATTTAAAATGTCTTCACCTAGACTAAGCAAACAAGATTGTACCAACGTCCATAATGGTAATGTGCCAACTGGCAGAGTTCCTGGGCTTTCCTTTGGTATCTTTTTAAAATCTTCACCATGATGGTTCCATTGTGATATATTTAACAACCCCTCTTTAATGAATCATAGGCTACACCTTTCTATCGTCTTAACGTATGCCCTAACTGTTCTTGATTTTACTGAGATGCCTCTTTCCTCTATCACTTTACTTAACGCCCTTTTGGTTTGGTTCTTATTAATTTTTAATCCCATGTTTCCATGACGAAGATACCCCTCACTAAGATAATGCAAAACAAAACCGAGACAAAATGGAACAAAAATTCATTATATCAGCCTTTCTATCCTCCTGAAATGTCCCTCTGTCCTTTCTCCCTATCTGTTCCTCAGATGCAAATAGTTTTTCCTCAGATGTGAGGGGTTTTTCTTAAGTCCCACCCATCTCCAGGGACTGGCAACTTAAAACAAAAGCGAAACAAAAGGAAAGAAGAATCTTTAAATGGTTACCCATCCTCCTGCACTGCCCTCAGGAGCGAGCAGTTTACCTCATCACTTACCCTCAGGTGTTCCCCACATGAGCCACCAAATGCCGCAGTCTGGCTGGGCACAAAATAACCGAGCCACCGGGAGGCACTTGTAGGTTCAAACAGGAACTCCTTTATTGCCCAAGCTCCCGCGAATGCCACCCACGTGGCCCTTCCAGGAACACCCCCAACTGGAAATCCCTCCTCTGGAACTTCACCAACCAACAGGGACTCCCCAGGAATCTTTGGGAGAACTCCAAAGCCGGTGCCCAAGGCAGACAGTGGGGGTCTACATACAACTGAATATGCAGCTTAACTTAACCATTATCATCTCAATGGCTCCCTGGTGTCACCTCTCAACCACTCCCTTCTGGCAAAAATGCCATGGTGCTCAACACATGTCAAAGGGCCACTTGGTGACTGACCCACATCATCAAGAATGCTCATGATGGTGCCACTGCCAACAACATGGTTTTCAGCCACGCCCACCAGTAAGCGGCACCTGACTGCAGTCCCAACACCACGTTCCATGTTACCACTGACATATTCTTAGTGCCCCCCAGACAGTGGCACCTGCTGCCGCGTTAGCACTGGGATGAGCTAAACAATTCCTTAGCATTCTTTATTTTGAGTTTGTTGCATCCCATGAAATACTGATTCCCAGCTCCACATAGGAATGGCCAAGCAAGCAGCAGGGCCAGGACTGAGGTGAAGCTGTCTGAGCTTTGCTCCCCACTCTGCCTGCTGAGGTGTTCCAAACCCCTACATGTGGTCAGGAACAGGAGTGACCATCCTGTAGGGCCAAGCAGTCAAAGTACACAAAACAATGCAGCAGCACTCTGAATGGGAAGGGGCAGCTGACACACCCCAGAGCAGGGCATCCCGTGTGTGCAGCAGAAGTGGCTCAAAGCTCTGCACCTGAGTTACCAGAGCAACTGCCAAGAGCTACCAAGCCCAGCTGTGGTCTGCCCAGCAACATCTGCCCTCAGACTTCCAAAGGAACCTTTCTGAACACGAGTGGATCAGCCGAGCACAACACGCTGAAGACTGCTTATTTCCAGGGTTCATGCCAGATCCTAGCTGTACTACCAGTTCCACTTTCCACAGGTGAAGTTTCTCATAAATCAGAAACAAACGAAGGAGCATTCAGGAGTACCCTGGGTAACATCAGGGCGGTGACTACTCTTCCTGTCATTTTGCTACTAACCAGAACAAAAAAACATAACACATCAGGAACTGCAAAGGTGAGGGGACCAGAACCAGCACTCTCCAGCCACGGGAGACAGGCGGCCCCCCGCCAGAATGCACCTCGCCTGAAGCACAGCAGTGTCTGCATGCTCCCCATGACTTCAGGCTGGCACCCCAAGCCACCCCGAGAGAGGAAGACACAGAGAAGACCAACAGCTCGTCGGAAGTCACAGCCAGCAAGTGGGAGGTGGTGTCAAAGTCAGGGGTCTACCTGATGCCCGTCTCCACTACGGGACAAGGGGCACCACGTATGACGGTCACAACTACAGGGGAGAAGGAAAAACGGAATGTCCCAATGGACCGACAGAAGAAAGGGACGGCAGGGCTGGGTCTCAGTTTTCAAGGAGGACAGGAGAACGGGCCTTTTCTGAAGCAGGGCCCTCAGTTCCTCAGGGGCAGGCCCCTTAGGCTCCTGCCAGCAGCAGCAGTGCCCCACATGCGCAGAGCTGGAGCGCATAGGCAGCCTGACCACATGGGATACGTACATAGAGTTCTTCAAACTGTTTCTGAATTTCACTATCCATTTCCATGGTGTGGAAGTTTGGGTCTCTAACAGGAAATGCTTCAATAAACAGCAATGCAGCATTTGATCGCACTTCTGAGTTTCTGGCCTGTAATAATAAGAAGAGAAGTTCAGAATCCCAGAAAAGCACACAAAGCCTTCAGTCTGATGTTCTCAAATGAATACTTCTATTACCTTAACAGAAACCTATTTACAAGTTAAAGACAATTATAGCATTGAAAATGACCAAACTAGCCTAAGGGTAGCTCAGTGGAACACTAGGCCCAGGAAGCTCAACATGCCTACAGGGATGAACAGACTGAGAAGACCGAACTTGGTAAGGACATCCTGAAATCAAGCCAAATTCGATGTCCACAGACATAAAAGATTATCTTCTTCACATCAAAGCCCATCTTATGCGACAAAGAGACAGCCATCCCATGTCAGGTGACACCAGCAAGGTTTATGGAGACTTGTGTGTCCGTGGGGATGCTCAGGAAGTCTCTGCCTCTTGCCCTGTTGTGGGCATGAGGACACTGAGGTGGAGTGGAGGATGAAGAATGGGCAGCCCACCCAGCCTCAGTGGTGTTCACACATGTCCCCAGTCTCATTCCTGACTTGCTACTTCAAAATAACTGTGTACTCAGCACTGAACTAATCTACCTTTCCAATTAAGTGCATCCAAAAAATGATTTTGCTAAAGATTTGATCAGAAGGCTGAGAGGTGAGTTCAAGGCCAGTGTGGGCAAGTTAGTGAGACCTTGTCTCAAAATAAACAGTAAGAACGGCTGGAGATATGGCTCAGTGGCAGAGTACCCCTGGGCTCAATCCCCAGTGCTGCAAAAACAGGCAAGAAGACAGAAAAGATTCTGAGAGCTGGGCAGAGTGGGTGCGTGCCTGATCCCAGCCACTCAGGAGGCTGAGTAAAGAGGACTGCTGGAGGCCAGGATAACAGATCAGGACTTCATCTTAAAAAAAGAAAGAATTTTGTTCCAAAATTCCAGAAAACACAGGTCTGCAGCCTTACTCTTACCACCAAGTCCACTATGAATGATGGGTTCAATCAGAGCCCACCCGGCCCCGCTCCACGTGCACACCTTCAGCCCCCTCCACAGGATGGGCTTGTACAGCCTGTACAGCATCTCCTCCACACCCTGCCGCGCCTTCTGACGGTGGAAGTAACTCAGCACCTGCAGGCCAGGACCAGAGAAGGGAGGACGAAAAGGGTGCTGCTGCTTTCAAGAATTTGAAAGGTGACAAGTGACTCTTTTCTTTCTGTGGACCACGTTATCAACTCTGGTATTAATGATGTGCTCACTTCACAGACTTTTAAACAGCAGTGATATATAATTCATTCCATGAAACCCAACCTCTCACAGCACAGGGTTCTGTCTCAGTAATAGCACGGCTCTGCTGTCCTCATACAACCCTCATGACAGGAAAACAACTGCCAGGCACCAAACATCCATATCCCAAGGAACCCCGCCAATCGGTAACTGGATTCTTAAGTTTAGCCAATAATGACCTGAGGACAAAAAGGATGGGACAGATCTCAACCCTGTGTTCACAGTCCATGTGACAAGGGTCTCGCTCACCTCCCGCACTCTGGCATGCACTGGAGACCTCCTGGGCAGGTGGATGCCGTGGAACATGAAGTCCTGGATGCAGTCACTCTCGATGGCCTGCAACGACCAACACAGGGCCTGGCACTTGGCACATGGACAGCATGCCTCCTGTCCTCATCAGAGAAAACCTTTATTCTAAGTCCCTAATTCTGACAGTGCCTTCAGTTTCCACAAACCAAGGAGAAGGTTCAGCTGCTATCCTGACTGACAAAGCATCGAGTCTGTGCCACAGAGCAGGGCAGGCTTCTACCTACCACTCAAGGCCACTAATGACAGACTGAGGGGCGAGGGCACACAGACCTGGAGTCCCCTACCCTATGACATCGCTGACATGAATGATCTCTGCAAACCTGAGCCTCACAGAACTCAAGAGGAAGAACCTCTACAGTGGAGGCCAGGACTCCAAACAAACTGAAATAAGAACTCTCGGGGCTCATGGTGAGAAAGGCTGGGCAGGGGAGGGTGTGGGAACCTCCTCAGCAGACCTCAGGTGAAGCCAAAGAGGAAAGACTTGCAACAGGAGCCCAAAACCTCAGCGGACGGTCTGGTCCATTACCCTGCATTGTGGTCCCTCCACCCGTTATTCCAAGGTTCTAAGGGAGGACGAGAGGAGGCTGTGCTATCAACTGGCTTCTTCTTGGTCATCTTAAAAAATATCTCCTTCGCCGGAAGCCACCAATAGGTCTCCACATCACTGAACGTGAAACAGGAACCTGTGGGACCTATGAAGAAACCTGAGCCACTACACTGCTTGGGAAGCCAGCAACGCTGCGAGGCCTGAACCCAACCAGCCACAGAGCACAGGCACTCCACACCACAAGACAAGAGGCCTAGCCTCCAACAGGCCAGCGCAGACTAGAGGGCCACGTGGGGCTGGGATGCAGCTCAGAGGGAGAGCGCTTGCCTAGCATGCGTGAGGCCCTGGGTTCCAATCTAGTGCCACAAAAAAGGGAAACAACCAAGCAGGAACAGTCTTCAAGAAGTGATTTACAAGGAAACAACATGTTGGTAACTTTTTGGATCCTGACTCAAAAGATTTTAAAAGACACTTTGAGACAAGTAGAAAAATTTAATATGGTTGATTAATTTAAAAAAAATACCAAGTATTTATTGTTAGTTTTTTAGTTTTTTTAGGCATAAACACACTTTTTAGAGATACACACTGAATTTTGTAGAAATGAAACATCAAATCTGGAATCTGCTTTAAAAACTTAAAGGAAGTGCCAGGCATGTGGCCCATGTCTGTAGTCCCAGTGGCTTGGGAAGCTGAGGCAAGAGGACCCTGACTTCAAAGCCAGCCTCAGCAACTTAGTAAGCTCCCAAGCAACTCAGTGAGACCCTGTCTCTAAATAAAATATAAGCAAAGGGCTGGGGATGTGGCTCAGTGGTTAAGTGCCCCAAAATAAAAGAACAAAAAACTTCAAGGAAGAAAAGAAGAAGAAGCAGGGCTGAGAAATACACGTTTTGGAGATAATTTTGTACAAGTCTAGTCAATTCTTTTCTTGAAACACTACTAGAGAAAATGGGGCAGGACACTCTAAAGACAAACACTGTTTCCTGAGAACAAGTTTGATGCAGTGATAAAACAATGCAACGAAAAAAAAGCATAACAATTCTGGTTCTGCCCCCAAAGTTTATTCTAAAACTTTTAAAAGTTGTCTGCAAGGGAATCTAATGGAAACGTATGTTCTAGAAGCAATGTCAGTTGACATGTGGCAAGAGAAGCAAGTGTTAGGCAGAAGAGTGTGGCCACAGAGGCAGGGGTTGTGGCTCAGTGGTAGCGCACTTGCCTAGCATGCATGAGGCACTGGGTTCGATCCCCAGCACCACATACAAATAAATAAAATAAAGGTCCATCAACAACTTAAAAATATTAAAAAAAAAGAGTGTGGCAGCACGCCCATTGGCCATGGCCAGCTCGCCAGAGCAGCAGGATGCTTAGCGCTTCCTTGAGAACCCAGCCTGAGGACAGCATGAGGGAAAACAGACGGCGCTCAATGTTCCACTGCAATTCTGAATTCCATGCCATGTCTGCATAACCCGAGTGTCACAGCTGCTAACGGCTAACATTCTCAAAACAATGCAACAGGAGGAGGTATCTGAGGGTCCTGAACAGTGCTAAACACAGAAACAGGACGCAAGCCACCACACAGCTTTATGCTTTGTAGGGGCCACATTAAAAACAGGAAAAAAAAACACAGTAAAAGTAAATAATATATTTTGTTTGTTAGTATTGTTCTGACAGTATCTTTTAGTGTTATTTTTAAAGATGTTTTTGTATAGTTTGAAATACTTTTATATTTTAATTCATAGCATATTCTAATATTATTTTTTATATGAAAATATATTTATTAATGTTTTCTACATCCAAACCACTACCGTTTCAACATAAAATCAATATTTTTAGAAAGGACTGGTGAGATATTTTGAAATCTGGAGTGTATCTTGCACTTTCAGCACTCCGCGATCAGGACAGGCCACATTCCTGGCCCCCAAACACGTGACTAGACACTCCAGGTTTCAAGCTGTGCAACAAGGGGCCAGACCTTGATTCCACTCAAGCTGCACTCCGGCAAGTGACACGAGGCCACAGCTGCCCTTGCGTGAAGTGCACCAGCAAGTCACTCACCCATCAAGGTCCTCCAACCTCCCCTTCTTAGCACCAGCCAGGGTTAAACATCCCTCCTTGGTGACTCTCAGTAACCAGAGTACAATCAACATCTGGTGTAAATACCTCCAGTATGTTCCCTGAAGCCTTCTTCCAAGCTCTGAAATAAATTTCTGCAATGTGTACCATCAAATGCCTTTTGGAAAAAAAAAAATGAAAATTTTATTAGTACAAGTTTAAAAAATCATATTATTGGCATATATCATTTCAGGGACCCTCCTACCTCAGGGGAGAGGAAACTTTGCCTAACTAGAGCTCTCAAATCATCTGCAGAGATGTCACCTACCTGGAGCAGAAGGCAGAAAAGGGCAAGTCTGGGGAAGGAAGGTGAGTGGCAGACTCCTCTCCTCAGTAAAAGGTAACCCTTACTGAGAGCTTGACCATTTTCTGAGACCATGGGAACATAAGCCCAGAACCAAGTCTAAGGTCAAAAGTTTAAGTATTAGAAATGTTTATGTGGAATCATTCTGAACTTTCCAGACTATTAATTCCTCACCTATAGGAAGCCTCATGACACCAGAATGGACTTCAGAGTCACAGAAGTTTAGAAACCTATTAGTTCAACCCAACATTCTACAAATGTAGCACATCCGAGATCAGAACCCAAGCCTAACCTGGACCCGACACGGCTGCCTGACACGGGGACACGATACCCCACGCCCACCTAGAAACAATCGTGAGGCTGGACCTGCAACACATGGGGCCTGTCCCTGCCGGCTGCTGGGAAGAGGGTGGTCTGGTACAGCACCCTCCACCAGCACCTCTGGTGCTTGCTCAGCTCGTCCCAGCCCACATTTAACTGCAAGGTGAAGTGCACATTCAGAATATTTTCAGATGTACTCGTGACCTGAGCTTTACTGTGAGTTTTTGTGGCCAAGATTTAACTGGCATCTAATCTGACTATTTAAAGAACTATCACAAGTTAAATCTTAATTTCAACGGTCACTATTGAAAGATTTATGACCTATAGAGGGTAAAAAAAAAAAAATACTATTCAGTGATACAACAATAAATGATAAGTAATGAAAGACACAACTTCTAAGGCTTTCATATATTACATTAACTATTAAAAGTCAGGAAAAATGGAATCTTTCAAAATCAGATTAAGATAGCATAAAATTTTAATTACCTTTAATACTTACTTTTGTAATCCCTGTAACTGGTTTTTAATGGTTCCATGGATCATTTTAATGAAGTTTATATTCCAATTGAAGAGAGAACTAAGAAATCTTCGTCCCTACAAATAAAAAATGCATAGCATTCAAATTGTATTTAAATAAAAACTTCCAATAATAATTCTATTAAAGCTAGCTGTTCCTAAAAAGGAAGTGCAGCTGTAACCTGGATGTATGCACAGGAATGGAGTTGGGAAGGCTGCAGGTGGTGGCTCTCGTCCGCAGAAGCCTGTGCTACCCTGGAGCTGCAGAGTCTCCTGCCCTGGGATGGAGTAGAGGCTACCCTGAGTGCCTCTGTTCTGGCAGAACCATACAGACTCAAACCAGGGGTCCATAAACATTTCATTCTGGCTCCACCGTGGATAGGAGGTCCAGAATCAAAGAATGAGCCAAGCATGGTGACATAGGCCTGTAATACCAGTGACTCAGGAGACCGAGACAGGAGGATCACAAGTTAGAGGCCAGCCTCAGCAACTTACTGACACACTGTCTGGGGGGAAAAAAAAAGAGCTGGGGATGTGGCTCAATGGTGAAGTGTCCCCTGGGTTCAATCTCCAGTACCAAGAAAATAAATAAATAAATAAAATGCCTAAAATGGAACTGAGTAACAGTTTACTTAAACTGTGATAAATGAAAACACTTGAGCCAGTCTGGGGGCTGACACACCTGCAATCCCAGCAACTCAGGAGGCTGGGGCTGGAAGACCCCTAGTTCAAGGCCAGCCTTAGCAGCTTCGATAGGCCACAGACAACTTAGCAAAATTCTGTCTCAAAATAAAAAATAAAAAGAGCTAGGAATATAGCTCAGTGGTGGAGCACCTGAAGTTCTATTCCCAGTACCGAAAAAAAGAAATTAGGCTCAGTAGATAAGAGGTAAGTGTTTGCCAAGTGAGAATTCGCATACATACTGAGCCTGAGCATGAGGACATTAATTACACCTTGTAAGATCGATTTATGTGCATGCTACTAGACTACAGCTGCACTATGAGCTAAGAGTACAAATCCGCACACTGCCCTTGAACTTACCAGTGACCACACCACGGTCTCTGCTGCTCACCAGCACCACTACAGGCACCGTGGCCCTGAAGAAGCAGCAGGCTAACTGGAAGGAGGCCAGTAGGGTGGTGTGGCTCAGTGGCAAAGCACTTGCTCAGCATGACAGAGGCCCTCAGTCCAAGCCCCAGTGCACACAAAACCAAACCAAACCATGTTAAGAACAGCAGTATCCAGTAGGAGTAGACAGCATGGAGGGCAGGGCTGCTATAGCTCAGTGACCCAAAGCTCACCTGGCATGTGCAGGCCCCAATCCCCAGAAGAGTTGTGGCTCAAAATGACTGGAAGTGAGCTAACTCAATCAGTGACTGATTAGGAAACAGCATGGGTATTCTACACTCACAGGAGCACAGAATTTAAAAGGGGGTGTGGGGGAGGGCACAACAAACCTAAGCCTATGCCACACACCTGCACACAGGTGTGGGATGAACAGGTGCAATTCAACTGCTCACGTGAGTTGATGTAAATAAACAGATTGGCATGACTCCCCGTTTTTTGTTTGTTCTTTTGGTACAGAGGATTGAACTCAGGGGCACTGGACCACTGAGCCACATCCCCAGCCCTGTTTTGTATTTTATTTAGAGACAGGTTCTCACTGAGTTGCTTCGTGCCTCACCAATGCTGAGGCTGGCTTTGAACTTGTGATCCTCCTGCTTCAGCCTCCTGAGCCGCTGGGATTACAGATGTACACCACTGTGCCCGGCTGTGACTACCCTTTTAACTTCTTTACTCTCCCAAACTTCCTAACAATCCTGGAGATGAGGGTGTAGGATGTGTCTGGAGTCCCTCCAGTAGCAACAGTGTCATACAGCAACCACAGACAACCCAAGCTGAGTACCTCCCTGCACGCTCACTCATGGGCAACTGCACTGGCTGTTTCCCTAGTATAGCCTCATCTGTTCCTCGCAGGGAGGCTGTGACAGGGCTGCTCTGATCCTGGTGAACACTGAGGCCCAGTTATCTGACTAAGGTCCCGGCCTACCAGGCAAACAAACAGGGATGAGGACACACACTCTCAGAGGCTGCACACCCAGCAAACCTGTCATCCCAACAACAGCTGTGGGACCTGGAGCAGGCAACTGTTTCAGAGGAGGAGGAGGATGCCCTGTCACCGTCTGTCGAGCTACCAAAAACCCAAACAGGCTGTGTCAGAGCAGCTTCGAACACAGCAAGGGCACACAGTCCACACTAAACGCACACCACAGAGCCATTCCAGTTTTTAATTCTCTGGTAGCCACATTAATAAAAGGACATTGATTTTAATAGTATTTTATATAAAGCAATGTACCCAAGGGGCTGGGATATAGCTCAGTTTGTAGAGTGCTTACCTTGGGTTCAATGCCCAGCACCACCCAAAAAAAAAAAAAAGGAAAACAATGTACCCAAAACATTTTTTCATGCAAGTCCTCATATTCACATGCATCTTACATCTAAGGCACATTTCGATTTGCACTGGCCAAGTTCCTGATGCTCAGTCGCCTTGTGTGAGCACCCTCAGGACAAGCAAGGCATCAGGCCACAAGCCTCCCTTGGAATTACTGGATGGGTGAGAAAGGGAAATGGAGAACCCTACGAGGACAGTCCTAAGCACATGCTGGTTATGGCGGGATCAAGGCACTGGGTGCAGCTCAGTGGCAGGGAACTAGCCAGGACGCAGGAGGCCTAGGTCCAAGCCCCAGCAATGTGGTAGAAAAAGCATTGGCTGGGAGTATGGATCAGTGCAAGACCGCGAGCTCAGCATGTATGAGGCCATGCATTCATCCCCAAACCCCCAAAGAACAAAGAATCTGGGCAGAAGTCAGATCTCATCCACAGGAACAAACTCTCTCATCCTCATTTTTTTTTCCCCCAGTTTTTGTAGTTGTAGATGGACAGAATGCCTTTATTTTTATTTGCTTATTTTTTTAATGTGGTGCTAAGGATCAAACCTAGTGCCTCACACATTAGGCAAGTGCTCTGCCACTGAGCTACAGCCCCAACCCTCCAAGCCCTATTTTTAACCCTCTTAATTTAAAATGCAATTTATGCCCCCCAGGATTCACAGAGACTCCTGTTATCATCTGACCAAGTGACAAACTAAGCAAGGACTTGTAAAGTATTTGCTTTGACACTGCCCTGCAGGAAACACAACGTGTCGTGCCTATGGAGGTCTCAACGGTTGAGCCTGCTCTCCCTGGGAACCAAGACTACACAATAGCAGCCACATAAACTGGGAAGAACATCTACTGGGAGGTAGCCAAAGAGACCAAAGCAGAAAAACCCACTTACCTCTTCTTTCTTGACATAATTAACATTTATGAAACACTCAAGCAGCATATCTTTGATTTCTCTACTTTCCTCCAAATTGTAATCAAAGCAGTACAGAGCTTGATGAACACGCCAGAGCCGACATATGTCTGCACCCTAGGAACAACAAGGGAAAGAAAAACGTTATACTTGTTTTTTGGTTGTTTTAATGAATGATAAGGTCTTATTTCAAAGTATATTTTATGTCACAAATAATAATTATAGATGAATCATCAAAAAGTAGGAAATAGTGACAAGTGAAAACAAATCTTAAAAATTTGTGATCCCCCTTGGAGCTCTAAAGAACTTTGTTTATTTTAGCATTAGGGATAGAACCCAGGGGTGCTCTACCACTAAGCCACATCCTCTGCCCTTTTTAGTTTTTGAGACAGGGTCTTGCTAAGTTGCTTAGCATCTTGCTAAGTTGCAGAGGCTGGCCTTGAAGCTGTGATTTTCCTGCCTCAGCATCCTAAGTTGCTGGGGTTATAGACATGTGCCACTATGTCCAGCCCTAGAGAACATTTTTGTAAAACAGATAAAAGCAATCAAAAATCAGTGCTATTCACAAGGATGAGGATGTTGTCCCCTTAGGCCAGTGCAGCAGCTGTTACCCATATCTGCCAACTAAGCTCCTGCAATGTAACAGTGCAACTAGGGAACCAAATTCTTCATTTTTTTACATTAAATTGAAAAACTCTCAAGTGGTCAGTGGCTACTTAAAAGTGGAGTATTGATTTAAAAGCTAAGTGGCACAGAAAGTGGATTTTAAAAAAGACAAATCAGTGATGGCATAAATTCTCATGGAAAAAAAAAAGTTTCTCAGTTAATCCCTTGTCCAGCAGGGAAAACGACTGAGCCGAAAGGCTTTCTATTCTAATACTCACTGCTCTTGGATGGGGTCTAGACACAGAAGCCCAGATATGGTTGGTGGGAACTCAATAGGTACAAGCTTTTAGAAAACCCTCAAAAGCCATCAAGTTAGGCAGAGGTGCATATCTGAAATCCCAGCTACTTGGGAGGCTGAGGCAGGAAGATGGCAAGTTCAAGACCAACCTGGGCAACTCAGGAAGACCCTGTCTCAAAATTAAATTTTTTATAAAGGGCTGGTCATGCAGCTTAGTGGTAAGAGTACTTGCCTAGCAAGCTTGAGGCCTCAGGTTCCATCCCAAACACCCCAACAAAAGAAAAAACCTCAAGTTCATATCCTACAGAATCCATCCTAAGGAAGGAGATATTGGAAGTGGGTCAGTAAGAACTACCCTTGAGCCAGGCATGGTGGAGGATGCCTGTAACCCCAGCTACTCAGGAGGCTGAAGCAGGAACATCACATGTTTGAGGCCAGCCTCTGCAACTTAGGAAGATGCTAAGCAACTTTAGTAAAACTCTGTCTCAAAATGAAGGAAAAAAAAAAAGAACTGGGCATGTGGCTCAGTGGTGAAGCACCCTGGGTTCAATCCCCAGTACCAAAAACAAGAACTCTCGTTGGTGTCCTAAAATAACAATGAGTACCTTGGGTGGTGAATTATGCATGATTTTTATTTCATTTGCCCAATTTGCTAAAATGTACATATGTATTATTATGTTGAGATCCAATTGTTGATTTTCAAGGACAATAATTCATTTTCTAGATTTCTGGACTGGACAGCAAGGATGAGAGCCTGAGAAACAGTCCAAGTGAAATCAGCTTTCAGAGGTGCTGTCCCCTCCTCGGCCCAGCCATGTAAAACAAACTCAGTCACCCACAGTCACACCTGAACCTCCAAGGCTCCTGACCCACCCCGCCCATCCAGGTGAGGGCTGTGTCTGCCCCTCAGCACTGCACACACACACAAGCACCTCTCTCCGCAGCCCAGCCCTTCTCTCATTCTCCTGCAAACAGTAGCAGTGGAAGCAAGCCCCCTCTTCTCCCACTCTCTTCCGACCTGAATTGGTATGAGGCAGTATAGGTGGAGCAGCTGCCTCCCCACTGAAGTGACAAGAGAGAAGCCACACCCCAGAAAACAGAGGAGGAAGCCTGGCTTTCAACCTGCATGGAGCTGCCACACCCACCCCTGACTTCTACACATCTGAGGTGGTGAAGAATCCCTACATGGGGAGGCAGCCTTAGCCAGGCCTCTGGCAGCCACACAGCCCCTTTAAGTGAAGTCTGCACTAAGAATGCAAACACACTGTTTTAGTCTCCAGACTCCTCCTCAGCAGCATGATAAAGGCAGTCTTTCCCAAGTCCTCCTTGGCAGGCAGGCCCTTCTCCCACCATGTGACACACAGATCCTGAATGGAGCTCTGGAGCTTTCCTTCAGATTCAGGTAGTGCATATAAAATGCCTAGAACAGAGCACAGTGGTTTCTCCATTAGTGAGCCAAATGTCACCTAGTTTCAACAGTAAACAGAATTGACTCTCTGTACCAAGAATCATTGTTAAGCAAAAAATGTTAACTTACATTTAACTTGCCAAAGATTTATGAACATCATTTGTAGAATGTGAATGTTTAATAAAAAACTAATCTACTACTATTATAAAGACAGACACAAACCAGGTGTGGTCACTGTAATTCCAGTGACTCAGGAGGATTAGGCAGGAGGATTCCAAGTTTGAAGTCAGCCTCAGCAACTAAGTAAGATCCTGTCTCAAAATAAAAATGCCTAGGAGTATAATTCAGTGGTAAAGTGCTTCTGGGTTCAATCCACATACCAAAACTAAAAAATGAAAACAACAAAAAATCTGGAATGGTTATATAAACAGAAAAGCTCAATAATATTAACTGTGTTCATACTTATCCATACATTTCTGAATGCCATTATACAAATGTAAAATTCTGAAATTGACTGGGAACACAGCAATAACTACAAGGTTAGCACTAATCATTTTATCAGTTATTTAAAGTCAGGTGCAGTGGCACAGGCTTGAAATCTCAGCAACCTGGGAGCATAGGCAGAAACATCACAAATTTGAGTTAGGCTAAGCAATTTACCAACACCCTGTATCAAAATAAAAAATAACAGGGGCTGGGGATATAGCTCAGATGGTAGAGTGCTTGCCTTGTACACACAAGGCCCTGGGTTCGATCCCCAGCACCAAATAAGTAAATAAAAAGGATTAGGGATGTAGCTCAGTGATAAACTGTCTTGGGTTTGATCCCCAGTATCAAACAAACAAAAATAAAGTTATCTGGAGACTGTACAAATAAACTGGTACTAAAATTCACGAAGCATTTGGAAACTATTTTTATATTGATTTGGGTTGACTTTTTAAGATACTGTACTTCAAGAATACAGAGTAACACCACATACTAAGGACATACACAAATCTAAGTGATGGCAAGAAAGAGGTCTGACCAGACAATCTGTGACATGAAAACACACTAATCTAGTGACAGATAAGGGTTCTTGGAAATGGTCCTAAAAAAAAAAAAAAAAAAAATCAATCCTGAAGATAACACTGCTTTTAAAATATACTCTATTGTTATATATATCAAAAAAGAACAAAGAAAAAAATAACATTGCTTTTACATATTTTATATGTGTAAAGTAACTTTATGTAAATATTTCACAATTATATTTTTCATTAATCCAGACTAAGGCCTCCTAAGTTAATAGCTCTTGCCTTATAGTCCAGCTAAAACCTGGTAAGCATCTTGGGAGTCCACAATTTCTCCTCAGATCATGCTCATGGCAGATTTAAAAAATAAAAATCAATGCCACAGGGGCAGGGGTTGTGGCTCACTGGTAGAGCTCTTGCCTAGCATGTGTGAGGCACTGTGTTCGATCCCCGGCACCACATAAAAATAAACAAATAAAATAATAAAGGTTTTATGTCCATCTACAACTAAAAAAATATTAAAAAAAAAAAAATCAATGCCACAAATCCTTGGTGACAAATGATACTTATCTGACAGTAACACAAGCTGACAAATTTATAATCAGACACTGTCCTTCAAATAAGCTCTTGGTCACTAGTCCAGTGAGTCAAGACTGATATTCTTGACTCAATAACAGCAGTTAGCTATTCAAAACTGTTCATCTTCACCACTGAAACACCTTCACAGAGCCAAGACTGTAAGCTGCTCAGCACTTATAGGACACTCCTTTTCTGAGTGTAAGCTTTGCCATTAAGCCATTTTGCTTCCACAATGCTGAAACAGAAGGCCACTCACACTAGAGGTGCTTACCGTTTAAGATGATAGCACATTCCAAGAGGGCCTCGTAGTTCTCACTCTCATTGATCACTGGCACAGAAGCCAGAATCACAGATGTGATTGCCTGAATTATCTCTATGCTTTTTTTCTATAAATAAAAAAAAAAAAAAAAAAAATCAAAGCATGAGTGTATCAAATCAACTTAAAAGTTCATGTTTAAAAGAAACTTGAGGGCTAGGGATATAGCTCAGTTGTTAAAGTGCTTGCCTTGCATGCTCAAGGCCCTGGGTTCAATCCCAGCACCACAAAATAAATAAATAAGTAAAAGAAACTTGAGGGGCTGTGGTTGGGGCTCAGTGGTACAGGACTTGCCTGGCATGTGTGAGGCACTGGGTTCAATTCTCAGCACTGCATGTAAATAAAGAAAGAAAATAAAGGTCCCTCAACAACTAAAAAAATATATATTAAAAAAAAAAAGAAGAAAAAGAAACTTGATACTAAATTGCTAAAAGCAAGACACTTCTGGCTTCTTTTGATGACTGAACCGAAGCAGAGTAAGTCAGCTGTCCTAGGGCTGTGGACGGAATTCAGTGGTAGAGTGCTCACCTGGCACGTGTGAGGCCCTGAGTTTGATACCCAGCAGTTGAAAATCCTAAAACAGCAATAGTGAGTGCGAGACAGCAGGCTGGGACGTAGGCAAAACTACAAACAGAACTGACTTCTAGAGTTCTTGGCTTCTGGGCTGGGGATGCCCCCAGCAGTAGAGTGCTTGCCTACTATGCACAAGGTCCTGGGCTCAACACCCAGAACCACAGCTGGGCATGGTGGTGCACACGGGTAATCCCAGCAACTCAGGAGGCTGAGTCAGGAGGATTGCAAATTCAAAGCCAGTCTCAGCAACTTAGTGAGGCACCTAACAACTCAGTGAGACCCTGTCTCTAAATGAAAATTGGGCTAGGGATATGGCTCAATGTTTGAGTGTCCTTGAGTTCAATCCCCGCCGCCCCCCCACAATCCAAAAAAAAAAATTCAGTAATGCACAATAAATAGTGTATTTTTTTAATACCCCTTCAAAGGAGTAATTTTTTATTTTTAAAAGACAGCGTACCAGGGCTAGGGCTATAGCTCAGTGGTAGCACACTTGCCTGGCATGTGTAAGGCACTGGATTCAATTCTTAGCACTGCATATAAATAAATAAAATAAAGGTCTATCAACAACTACAAAAAAAAAAAAATAGAGAACATACCACTTTTGGACCATGATCCGTCTCCATACTATCTTGACACTGGACATCCACTAATTGCCACCCATCCACCGGGCTTTCCAACAACATTTCTGTTAGCAGATTCTTCAATCTTTGCCATAATTCTTCTTTCTGTTTCCTTGATAATTCATCTAGCAACTCATTTAAGCTGAAAGGGTCAGAGGCATCCTTCTGTAAAATAAACACAAAAAAATAAAAAGTTAGCTGTATATTCTTCAAAATGTCATCAAAAGAAAAGTTTGTTAACTTAGTTACAAAAGCATGGTCACACTGGGGCTGAGGTTGTGGCTCAGTGGTAGAGCGCTTGTCTCACATGCCTGAGGCCCTGGGTTCGATCCTCAGCACCACATACAAATAAATAAAAATAAAAGATATTGTGTCCATCTACAACTAAAAAAAAATTAAAAAAAAAAAGCGTAGTCACAGTCTTCAGAAGCCTAAAAGGAGAAAAGTATAGGTACTATCAATTAGAATGGAGTGAATTCTTCCTCTTGTTCTTTCCTAGGATCTAATCTTTAGAGTTTAAATTTCACCCACTTAGCAAAACCTTCCCCTCAAATGTTCACCAACTCCAGACCTATAATTAGGTCATAAAAGAATGCTAAACAATAACAACCTCATGCAGAATGATTCTACTTTCAGTTTCTGATGGCCAACCCCATGTGGACCCTCAAAATCATCTTCTACTCCTCCTTAGACAGTGATCTCTCCTTTAGCCAATGGGACCCTTTCAGATTTCCCCAACTATCCCCTGGACCCATTTCCTCTCACTCTATTCTTCAATAGCGCAAACATAGATAGATCATTGTCAAAAAGATACAGAATTGAGGCGGGCACAGATCTATCACTGCAGCAACCTGGGAGGCTGATACAAGAGGACTGGCAAATTCAAGGCTAGTCAAGGCAACTTAGCAAGATCCTGTCTCAAAATAAAAATTTTTTAAAGGGCTAGGCATGTAGCTCAGGGGTAGAGCAGTTATCCAACATGTGTGAGGCTCCAAGTTCAACCCCCAGAACCATGAAAAAAGAAAGAACTACAGAGTCCAGTTAAAGGGACTTACTGCAGCCACTCTGGGACAATCTGAGGACCAATATGGTGACATTGCCTACCAAGTCAGAACCAACAGTGTACTATTACTTATACCAACTTAATAACAAACAATAACAAACCTTACATTAGTAGCAATGGCACGCTGCAGAGTGCCGGTGAACAGTAATGGAACATGCACAACTTTACCACCATTATCACAAAGACTCAGCAAGGTTTTCAAAGGTTGCAGAAATGAGCAGGTAGAAGTCTTCTGAGAAGCAGGTCATCTGTAGCGCCAACATCTCCCCAAAGACTGCTGATGCTTAAGAAGGGAAAACAGCAGCCCCAGTGCAGACTAATGGACACCAGCAACCCACACTGGACTGATGCATGCTCTGGTTCTGACAGTGCTGCTGAAATGGTGCAGAAACTGGATCTGCTCAGACATCAGACAGACAGAGGGAAGGGTTTTCTCAAAAGCCACAGAGAGGCACTCTTAAACCCTCAGTGCTATGGAAAGAACAGGAAGGTGGAGAGATACCCAAAGAGCGTGACAGCTAAAGGAAACACATGACTCTGGACTGGGCCTGGTTCAGGAAGGACTGCAGAGAAGGACACTACTAAGACAATAGTGGAAATATGAATATGTACTGCACAAAAAGGTATTACTGGAGTGTTAAATTTCGGATTTTGAAGATTCTTTTCTGTGTGTATTTGTGGTGCTGAAGATAGAACCCAGGGCTTCATGTATGCTAGGCAAGGGTTCTTCCACTAAGCTAGCCCCTAGCACTGTTATTTTATTTTGACAGGGGCTCACAAAGTTGCTGAGGCTGGCCTTGAACTTGTGATCCTCTTGCCTCCGCCTCCTTAGCAGCTGAAATTACAGGTGTGCCCCACTGCACCCAGCTTGAGGATCTTAATGTGGTTATAAAATGGAATACTTTAAAAATATATACACTTAAATTTGGGGGTAAGGAGGTCTACAACTGACTCAGTGTTTTCAAACCATGTGTGAACACAAGGCTGAGGACAGGTGGCAGTGCAGCCACTGGGAGGTCTCAGTGTGCTTGGAACCATTCTTGCCACATCTCTTCAACTTTGCAGTTTTTTAAGAGGAAAGAGAATGGAGGAAACAGGGGCCTTCCTCCCTCCTGATCCTGTAGGGAAGGGTCAACCTGTGTCCCTGGGCAACATGCTCCCGGCTCCACCTGTGACAAGGTCCATGCGCAGGAGCTTTGTCTTTCTTGTGAGCCTCATCACCTTCACTACTTGTGTGAAGGTGCATCTGAATCTGAACCTCATGAGTTAAGGCCCCCCTCACAGCTCCACCAATCATTCCTACCAAGGTCCACAATACCCAAAGCTACTTTCCAGTCCTCACTAGGCGAGCCCTGGCACCCTACACTGATACCCTCTCCTTACCTATCCCCCTCTGTATGGGTGCTCCAGAGGAAGCGGCCCTTTTCCCACTTACAAGGTTCTATAGGACCTAACCTGGCTACAGTTCCATATTCACCCTGTGCCTTCCTCCTTCCCAAGTGTGCCCTACCTCTCCATTACTACAAATCTCTAGGGTCCCTTCAGACCTCTGTCAGATGTCACCTCCTAGAGGCCTTCTCTAACCACCAAGCCCTCCTGCCCTTCCCTGCTTTGTAAATTTACATACTTAGCTTCTCTCCTTCTGCAACTGAAATATCAACTCCATTCAGGCAGAACCTCTGCTTTGCATGCACCATAGCTCCAACTCTCAGAGCAGTGCCTGGCACACAGAAGCACTTGACAACTCTGTTGAAGGACTGAATCCCCACCAATCTGGTGGCATACACCTGTAATCATAGCTACTTGGAAGGCTGAGACAGGAGAATTGCCAAGTTTGAGGCCAGCCTGGAGCACTTTTAAGACCCTGTCTCGAGATAAACAGGGTTGGGTATGTAGTTCAGTGGTAGAGCATCCCTAGGTTCAATTTGCTGTATCAAAAATAAAAAAAAAAAGACTCCTCAGTGCTGTATCCTCCCTGTCAGAGAGTCTCCAAAGAGGACAAAACACAGGGAACAGTCAGTTTTCCATAACACATGTTTGGAAATTTATTCCAATGCTATCTATGTGTTAGGGAACTATTTGAGAAAAAATGTGAGAAATTTTATGAGCAAGAAACACCTGGTAAATGCAGAAAAGTGTACCTTGCTCAGTGGAGCCACCAGGATCACGCAAAACACACACGCCTTGGGCACCTGGCAGCCAAGTCCATCCCATCTGCCTCTCAGCATAAGTACCCCATTCACTCACAGGTCCCTCCACTTCACCACCCCATCCCCTGGCCACGCTGATTGTCCCTCAGGCTAGCAGTGTCTTTGTTTCTCTCTTGTTCTCTTCCCGCACACAGGAGGGGCAGGTATGTCATGCAAGCATAGGCACCCACTTCCACTTATAAATTCCAATATTTGTTAAGGTAAAATGTCACAGTGTAGTACTTATGTGTTTCTTAGTGACTTAACATGCATAAAACTGCCATTTTAGTAGGTTCCAGTATTGTGGGGGAGAGGTACCAGGAATTAACCTCAGGGGCATCTGACCACTGAGCCACATCCCCAGCCCTATTTTGTATTTTATTTAGACAGGGCCTCACTGAATTGCTTAGGGCCTCACTGTTGCTGAGGCTGGCTTTTTTTTTTTTTTTTTTTAGTTGTAGATGGATACAATTCCTTTATTTATCTTTACGTGGTGCTGACAATTGAACCCAGTGCCTCACATGTGTTAGGCAAGCGCTCTACCGCTGAGGCATAACCCCAGCCCCGAGACTGGCTTTGAACTTGTGATCCTCCTGCCTCAGCCTCCCAAGCTGCTGGGATTATAGGCATGTGCCATACCAATTTTGCAGAATGCAATGATTGTCAGCAACGCACGTGTAAACACACAGCAGAACTAACTGTCCTTGGAGAGGTCACCCCAAACTGACTTATGTCAATACTACCTTTCTTTTTTTGCACTGGGAATTGAACCCATGGGTGCTCTGCCACTGAGCTACATACCCAACCCTGTTTTTTTATTTTTTATCTCAAGACGGGGTCCCACTAAGTTGCTGAGGCTAGCCTTGAACTTGCAATTCTATCTCAGCCTCCCAAGTCTCTGGGATTAAGGAATGTGCCACTGTGCCTGGAAAGTCTTCTTTAATTCTTATCAGATTGAATATGGGAAATTGTCCTTGTTACACAAAATGGAATTTCAACACTGAATTTGATGAAACCAAGCAACACATAACCTTACATATACCACTTTTATTTTTTTAACTATGAGCTACACAGGTACTCATTGTTAATAAAGCCGGTTAATTATAAACTAAAACTAACACTTCGTTAGTATGAGGCACAATTCAGAAGTCCACTGAGATGCCACTGGCTGCCAAGCTCATGGCAACAGGGGCCACTGGAGGAAAGGCGCCTTGGAACACCTGTCATCAGGAAGCCACTGATGTGCTCCCAAGTGCCACTTTTACCTTTTGATTTAAATTGATGTTAACATGTATCATCAGTTCAGCTGACTGTGGTTTTAGGAACACTGGGGCATGCTGTTTGCAACAACAGTCTTTTGGACTTTAAATACACGTGTTGCACTCCTAACACAAACACACAAACGTCTATTGCCAAAGCCAAGAGGGCCTCCCCTTCCCTTCCACTCCTTACACCTGCACTCTGGCCCTGCAGAACCTCTCCAGGTTCAAACTGCCTTCTCCAGTCCTAGGGGATCCCTCCGTTCGACTGGTCCTTTAACTGGTTAACTCCTGTTTATCTTCTTCACTTAGCTCAGCCATCAACAGGCCTTTTGAATCTAAAAAATTTGCTATCTTATTTAAAATAGTGGTTGTTTCCTAAGGATGATATAAATGTATCTCATTTAGGGACATAATAATTTTGGGACTTTATATTAACACTTAACATCACAATAAAGTCAAACCACTTACGTCAAGTTGAACAAACTGCAAAAACTTCCCAACCAGCTCCTTAGACACTGCTTGTACAAACGTCTCACGCTTTTCCATGACGGATGAAACTGTTCAAATGGCATTTGTTTTGTAACCCTAATGGAAAACAAAAGCATACCAGAACTTACATTTGCAAATGTATCTTTTCCTATAAGATTTAACTTGGTATTAAATATCCAAGAACTTTGAGAAATTCCTGTACCAACTATGGTAGATAGTTTCTAAGAATACAAAATGCATAATAATCTGAAAAATGTTTTCTTCTCTGATATTATCAACATAATATCAATAATGTCATTATCAGTTGTTCATGAAGTTATCAACTAAGGAAAGAACAAATTCAAATGGCCCAAAGAAGCTCACCTCCTACCCCTTTTAGTGTTGAGAAGCCAGCTCAGGTAGATCTGAGTTAACTCAACAGCAGAACAGGTTGGTCCCCAATGATGAATTCTGAAGATTCTTCCTTTCTAAAGGGTCATTTTCCCAACAGGAGGATCCTACCTACAGTCTCTTATTATTCAGCATGAGCTTGTTATTCCAAGTGAGGACCAGGTGGCTCTGGGGACACCTGGAAACTTGTTTAGAGGTGCATTAGGCATGCCCAACCTCAGTGCCCTCCTCCCTGCCCCTGTGATTAGAGCTCAGGGGACTCCCTGCACCCTCCTTCCCAATGAATCCTATTTACATTTACACCACTGCTAGCCACGCCCTACTCTAAATATGTCACCTAAAGATGAAGTAATAGCAAATGATGGGACATATTTGCAACAGAACCCCTCACTTTAGGAATGACAGGAAGATCAGTAAAAGAGGAGAGAATGGGAAAAAGAGGAGGCAAGGGAAAGAGGGAAAATGGGGATGTAAATCAAATTGCTGGTATGTATTGTTTTGTCAAAATGAACCCAAATACTATGTACAACTATAATGCTCTAATAAAAAAAGCCATAAAAATTTAAAACATAACTTGCATTGCTATAAATAGAGCAATATGAAAATCACTGGTGATACTTTTGAGGATAGGAAGTCATCTTAACATACAATCCTAGTTTTTAATGTCATCTCTTTTTTTGTTTGTAGTTGAACACAATATCTTTATTTATCTATTTTTGTGTGGTGCTGGAGATTGAACCCAGGGCCTCGCCCATGCTAGGTGAGCGCTCTACCGCTGAGCCACAACCCTGCCCTAGGTTTTAATTTCTAAAGTGAACAAACAAAAGTAGAATGCAGCCTCAGTCTGATGAGTCCCCACATATGTAAACCTACATACAGTATCTAATCCCTCAACTCAAGTGGCTGAACAATGGGCAAAAACTGCTACAGACCAAGACGCTGAAGAGGGAACAGAGACTGCCCAGCAACAAGCGTGAAGAATGATAATGGTCAGCACCGTTCACCGCTTCAGAAACCTAGACAATAAGACGCAGTGAGCACATGGAGTCGCATGCCCCAGACAGGCAGATCTGAGACCCTCCCCTTTGACCTGCTTCTTGTCACTTTTTCCAGTTCCAGGGCAGGGTCCTATTTGAGTCAGACCCAGATCCAGAGCTGGGTCCTTGCTAGGTCAGTCCCAGGTTCAGGGACAGATCTTCCCTAGATCATTCCAGGTCCAGAGTCCTGTCTGGATCAGTTCAGTGTCCTGAGTGAGTCCTGGGTCTAGTGTAGGGACTCTCTGGTCAGTCCTGGCTTCAAGGCTGGAGTCCTGCCTGATTCAGCAAGCCCAGGGTCTCTCGTCAGTCCCAGGTCCAATGCTGGGATGCTGTATGGCTCAGCCCTAGTCCTAGAGTAAAGTATCTCTAGTCAGTCCCCTTGTCCAGGGCTGGGGTCCTGCCTGAGTCAGTCTCGGGCCCAGGCTGGGGTACCTCTAGTTGGTCCCCAGTCCAGGGCTGGGGTCCTGAGTCAGTCCTGGTTCCAGGGTGGGGTTTCTCTGGTCAGTCCTGGGTCCAGGGCGAGTATCTCATCTGAGTCAGTCCTGGGTCCAGGGCTGGGATACCTCTAGTCAGTCCCCAGGCCAGGGCTGGGCCTGAGTCAGTCCTGGGTCTAGGGTGAGGCTTCTCTGGTTAGTCCTCTGTCGAGGGCTGGGATCCTGTCCCAGACAGTCTCCTGTCCAGGGCTGGGGTGCTACCTGAGTCAGTCCTGAGTCCAGGGTGGGATTTCTCTGGTCAGTCTTGGGTCTAGGGCTGGGATTCTGCCCGAGACAGCCCCCTGTCCAGGGCTGGGGTCCTGTCTGAGTCAGCCCCCTTAGGGCAAGGGTCCTCCCGGAGTCAGTCCCCAGCTCAGGGCTGGGGTCCTGACTCAGTCCCCTGTCCAGGGCTGGGGTGCTATTCGATTAAGTCCTGGGTCCAGGGTGGGGTTTCTCTGGTCAGTCCTGGGTCCAGGGCTGGGGTCCTTCCGAGTCAGTCTCTGGCCCGGGGCTGGGGTCCTGAGTCAGTCCTGAATACAGGGTGGGGTTTCTCTGGTCAGTCCTGGGTCCAGGGCTGGGGTCCCGTCGGAGTCAGTCCCCGGTCCTGGGCTGGGTCCCGTCTGGTCAGGCTCGGGTCCAGGGCCGGTTCCGCTTCCCGGCGCGGTCGGGGTCTCCGAGGCTACTCGCCCGCGGCCCGTCCGTCCCCACACCCCAAGTGCCAATCGCGGCCCCGGGCAGAGGGCTGAGGCAACCCGCCAGCGTGGCGCTGCCTGCCCGCCCGCCCGCCCGGTGCCGGGCCGTGGACCCACTCGGCTACTCGCCCGGTGCTCACCTCGCCCCAGACCCGCCGTTTCCCGCGCTCGGACCAGATTCAAACACACCCGCCGGCGCCCTAGCGCGCCCGCCCTCCTGCGCGTCATCTATGGGTGCTCTCGCGAGAGCTGTGGCGGAGGCCCCTGGTACCACCCACACTTCCGGGCGCTTAGGCTCTCTGGCCCCGCCTCCTGGGCGTGGCCTCGGGCCGCCGAGCCCGGTCTGGGTCTCGAGGCCATAGGGCGCAGCCGGCCGGTCTCCGCGGCCTGTGCGTGCGCTGACGTCACCGCGCTGGTACGTGTCCTGCCGCCTCCTCGTCGGAGGACGTGGAGGAGGCGGATGGGGGCAAGAAGGGAAGGAAGAGGAGGAAAAGCGGGGTGTAGGAGAAGGGAGGAGGAGTTGGAGAAGAGAAGGGGCAGGAAGGGAAGAAAGGAGTTGGGGGAGGGGCGGTAAGTGGAGGGGGGAAAGGCGGGAAGAGGCGTGGGAGGATTGAGGGAGGGGAGGAGTTGGAGAGGAGAGGGGCGGGAAGAGGGGTGGGAGGATTGAGGGAGGGGAGGAGTTGGAGAGGACAGGGGCCGGAAGAGGGAGGAGGGAGGGGCGGGAAGAGGCGTGGGAGGATTGAGGGAGGGGAGGAGTTGGAGAGGAGAGGGGCCGGAAGAGGGAGGAGGGAGGGGCGGGAAGAGGCGTGGGAGGATTGGGGGAGGGGAGGAGTTGGAGAGGACAGGGGCCGGAAGAGGGATGAGGGAGGGGCCGGAAGAGGCGTGGGAGGATTGAGGGAGGGGAGGAGTTGGAGAGGAGAGGGGCGGGAAGAGGGGTGGGAGGATTGGGGGAGGGGAGGAGTTGAGACGCGGAGGGGCCGGAAGAGGGAGGAGGGAGGGCCGGAAGAGGCGTGGGAGGATTGGGGGAGGGGAGGAGTTGGAGAAATGGGGGCGGGAAGAGGAGGGAGGGGCAGGGAGAGGGAGGAAAAGGAAGGAGGAAGAACCGGGGAGAAAGGGAGGAACGAGGGAGAAGAGTGGGAGCAGGGAGGATGAAAAGGAAGAGGATGAGTGAGGAGGGGAGGAAGGGGAAATTATGGCTGAGCAAGTGCAAAGGGGACCCACAGGTGCATTAGGAAGCCCATACCCCCAAGAGGCTCTATGATGTCTGTAAATTCTTTGCCCAATATTTTATTTAGTTTTTGTCAGCTAAAAACTTGATTGGTTTTTCCAACTTTTGTTGAAAGTAGAGCCTTAGAAACCACTGGGCTTCCCAGATGTTTTACCCAGGCACTTGGGGCCATTCCCTTTTCCTTTTTCTAGGAAATTTACCAAAAAACCACTACCCAGGTACATTTGTGATGTCTGTTGCTCTTCGTTTGAAGGCATATTTGCCAATACAGTTTTTTAAAATTAAAAACTGTCTACTGGGTCTGAATGTTTTTGTCAGACCTTGTACAACTACAGATTGAAATCACTAAATTTATAGGAAATGTTCTAAATAACCCACTTGTTGAATGCAGACCTCACTGTCAAGCCAGTCAGCCAAATTACAGTTAACCTTGTCCAAAAAAAAAAAGATCTGGGAGAATATGAACCATTGAAAAATAGCACATTGCTATGGATTTTTAGGGTTTGGTTGTGGTCCCCCCCCCAAAAAAAAAAAAAAAAAAAACTGGCAATGCAGGAATGCTCAAAGGTGAAATGATTAGATTATGAGAGCTGTAACCTGATCAGTGGGTTAATCCAAGTGATAGAGTAATCATTTGAATGGCCTAACCTGGTGTTAACTAGCGCAGGTGGGCATGGCTAGAGGAAGTGGGTCACTAGGGGATGTGCCTTGGGGATTATATATCTTGTCCCTCTGCTTCCTTGTTGCCTGTCCTAAGCTGCTTTCCTTCCCCACACCCTTCTGCCGTGATGTTCTGTCTCACCTTGGGCCCAGAGCTGTGGAGTTGGCTGACCATAGACTGAACCTCTGAAACCATTAGCGCAGATAAACTTCTCCTTCTAAATTGTTCTTGTTAGGTATTTTGGTCACAGAGAGCAAAGCTGACTGTTAGGTTTGGATGTGAGGTATCCCCCAAAAGTTCACATGTTAGACAGTGCAAGAACAACATTCAGAGGAGAAATGATTGGTTGAAAGAGTCTTAACCCAATCAGTGATTTAATCCTCTGATAGGGATTAACTGAGTGGTAACTGAAGTAGTAGGGTGTGGCTGGAGGAGGTGGGAATTGGGGTGTGGCTTGGCGTGTATATTTGTGTCTGACCAGTGGAGTCTCTCTCTGCTTTTTGATCATCATGTGAGATGATTCCCTCTGTCACGCTCTTCTACCATGGTGTTCAGCCTCACCTAGAACACTGAGGAATGGATCTGGCCTTTTATGAACGAAGACCTCAGAAATTGTAAGCCCCCAAGTAAACCTTTCCTCTTTTACAGTTGTTCTGGTTGGGTCCTTTAGTCACAGCAGCGAAAAAGCTGACTAAAACACTAACACAGGTTTGAGTGTGTCCCCTCTAGGAATCTGTGTTGCAATGTGACATTGCTGGGAAGAGAGGCCTATGAAAGGTGACCAGGCCTGGAGGGCACCTCCCTACTGGGCAGGATAAGGTACCCTTATAAGAGGTCTGCAGGGAGTCTGCCCCTTTGCCATTTTGCCCTCTGCCATGTGAGGAGAAGTATCCTCTTGCAAGTGGGACCCTTACCAGACAGGGAGCCTGCTTCTGCCTTGAGCTTGCACTTCTCAGCCCCAGAAGGGGAAGAAATAAATTTTAGTTTTTCGTAAATCACTCAGTCTCAGCTTGGTGTGGTGGTGCATTTCTGTAATCCAAATTACTTGGGAGGCTGAAGAAGGAGGATCACAAGTTTGAGGCCAACCAGTTTCAACCACTTAAGCCCTGTCTCAAAATAAAAAGGATCGGGGATATAGCTCAGTGGCGGAGCACCAGTGAGGTCCATCCCCACGCTTCCCCCCCATTTTATTTTAATAATGAACAAATTACAGAGTCAGGAATTGTAGCACAAAACACTAAGACAAGATGGTGCATCTTTTCAGATCCCCCTCCACTCCTGTCGGTGGAGGGGAGCCTGCTGCCCAGCAGACCACAGCCCCCATTTGCTGTAGTTACAGGCGAGTGCAGCCATTGCTGCAGCATGGGTCAGCGTCTCAGGCAAGGCCTGTCTTCCCAGGCTTTCTGCTTCCATCCCAGGAAGTAGAGAGGGAGCCCCAGAAGCCAGCCTGCCCCCCTCCAGAGCATGTCCTCCCAGCCCACCTCCTCTCCTGCTCCACCCTCCTGCTTCTGCACTCCTCCCCAGTTCCTAAAGCCTCACACCATGTGCACTGCAAGCAGCCACCTGCTTTACCTGCCCTGTGAGGACACCCCACTCCTGGGCCACACTTTCTCATGCCCTAAGTGTCTGGGCAGGGTTTTGTTTTCGGCACTGGAGCCTAAAGGTCTTGATGAGACTGAAGCGGCACTGCCACCAGAGGAGCCAGTCCTGCCCAGAGAAACAATGTGAGCAAAATGCAGCTGGGTATTATGTAACTCAATACATCAAAAATATCACTTAAACAAGTAGTATAGAATGATGGGTGGACTACTAGGAAGTTGATGTAGCAAGGCATGGCGAGCCAGAGGAGAGAAGGAGACCCCCAGATGTGCCACACTGGGGATTTGAATCACAGCGGGGAGTGGGCAGGGATGGGGCAGCTGCCTGAGCAAGTGACCACAGTGTGCAAGACCTTTGCAGCAACAGGGGCTGTGTCTGGGGCTGCTCCTGCCACACGCCTGCCTCAGCCAGAGAAAGGCTTTGTGAGAGTCACCATGTTCCAGCAGACTCCAGACAGGAGGTGTTGGCCCTGAGTCCCCACTAAAATCAATGAGTTCTTTAAAGAGCAGACCTAGCTGGGCCTTCAAGAGCCAGTTGTGCCATCAACACAGACTAAACACTTCTCTCTCCACAATGTTAGAATTTGCTGAATGGCAATAAATTCATGGCTGCCATTTAGGGGCTGCCATTCACTGAACACCTGCAGGTCACCTGATAGGCAGGCAGCTGCTGAATCTTTCATCCCATTCTAATATGAATTTCTAATATTGATTCTGCCGGTTATCGGTGATGAATTCAGCTTCCTCACATGTTGAAGATTTATATTCCCAAATGAAGGCTTTGTCCTCTGCAACCTTGTTCTATTATCTTCATGGTGTACACTGACATGTTCCAGATGCTGCACCATTTATTCAGTACTCATGTTTTCTGTTTCTCTCATAGAAGCACTCATCTCCAGATGGCTTTACCGCTGTTCTTCCCCAATCAGACTTCAATCCGACCTGACTTCTAAAAGGGAACTGCTTGCCCACACTGCCCCCTTCCAGCTTGAAGAAGCCAGAACAGCCATTGTGCCTTTTCCTTAGGGTAGTAAGGAGCTCCTAAAATCGGGTGGGGGTGTAGCCAGAATTAGACAGGCAGTCAGTATAGATGGGTAAATCGAGTCAGGTCAGATCACAGAAGCCAATTTTGAGTGAGTCTGGGAAGTTGGAGACTGTCCCCTGAAGGATTGAGATGTTAATTCCTTCAGAGCCCTTCCTCCACCCTTATCAGGAACTTCCCCCTGTTCCAAACTGTTGCCAAGGTAACATGTCCCAGAAGTTGCCCCTCCCTGCAGGAAGCTATAAGGTTGTTAATTAAGCTATAAGGTTGTCCTTGACTGCTCCATCCTGCCCTTCCCACTCAGCCCACCTGTTTCACACCTTTTGGGCATCCCACCAGCATTTCCTAGGCTTACTCACATACTCAGAAAGGAGAAAGATAAGGGGAAGAGGGCAGGAGAAGAAAGGAAATCTAGGACATATAAAGAGGGCAGAACACCGGGAGAAGTCTATGTTACCCCTTTTTAAATAAACCCTACTTCATATTGCTTGCCTAGGCGTGCATCTCTAATGTTCAAATTCACCCCACCCTAACCCCTACTGATCGCTCAGTGACATCATTTACCCTGGGGTTAAAACATCTGGTCTGGTCACCTCTCCCTCTTATGGGGTGAGGACAGCCTGCCAGAGGCTTCACTCTGAGCTTGTCAGGGTGGGGAGAAGTGACTTGTGTCTCAGGCCATACTGGAGGGCTCCTTAGGTGTGCCTGGTAGGACTGCAGGCTTCAAACTGGAGTTTTAAAAATGGAGTTGCTTAGGCTCAGGCCTAAGGCCATCCTCACAACAAGATGTAGGTCCATCCCCAAATTTCTTAGCTGCTTGCTTTAGGGTGGCCTCCTTCTTATTGGAGGCTAAAGTTTAGCTAAGTAATAACATAATATCTTTCCAGGGGAAGTCAAACACCTGGCATAAATTCTGAAACATCCCAATGTATTTATTTAGATCCTCCAAAAATCTCCCTGAATTTGTTCTTATCTGTTTTACGTTGGGGGCCCCCTTGATTTCTCTTCCTCAGTAGGTGATTCCATAAGGCCTTCTCTCATGGTAGAGATTGAGGTTAGGCCTGACAACACATGAAAACAAGGCACTTTCCTGATCATCTGTAATTTCCCAGTATGTCGACTAGTGGTCAATCTACACACTGATTTGAGAGAGAAGCTCCCAAATGAGTGACGGAAAATTCAAGTTTTCTGCTTCATCAGAGAAAACTATTTATCCAATATATTAGGGACATCTCCCTAAACTTGAGCTTCATTATAGTCCAGAAAACCTGTCTCTCATCACCTGGCTTTGCCAAAGTTATTTCCGGCCTCCTTTGGGAAAGTGCTAGGGTCCCAGTTTGCCTGTGCCAGAGACCCTGGGAGGATTCAGACTTAAGGGCATTACTGCTTTCCTCCCTGTCACTATAACTCCTAATTACGAAAAACCCATGAAAAAAAGAAAATAATTGTATATGTCTTAAGCTGTTGTGTCTCTTGCCGTCCTGTAGACTAAAGGGATCATCTATTGGTTGTTGGCGTATAACAGACACCCCTTTCCAGAGGAGCTGAGTGGAGGGTTGGTTAAAATAGAATGCCTCCCTCACGTCGCATTTTTTTTTAAAATACATTAAGTACATCTGAGCCCAGAAACAGTAATGGGAGATTTTAAACTGGCTGCTGAAGACTGACTAAGTGAACAGAGGGAACTGGATGTTTTCTTACTAATCATCCCATGTCTTTCTCTCAGTCCTACAATCTGAATTGCTGGTGTTTCTGATCTGCTAAGGAAGGAGAGCATTCAGGAGGGAATGGATGCAGGGGTGGGTGTTGCGTGGCCCACAGGAGGCAAATGTAATGGGGCTTTCTCTCAATGCCATTCATCTATCAATTACCCTAGATACCCCTTAGTGGGGTCGGGAGGGGGTTCAAAAGAAAGAACCTTAGGATTTTTGCCTGAGTGTAGCTCAGGCTGGAAATTCCACAGTGGTTCCATACTCCTTCCTCCACCTCCACACATCCAAGGCAGATAGGGACTAGGATACTGTGTACTCACGCCAATTGCTCTCCAGGCCTGGACAGAAGAGTAGGAAGTGGCTTCGGCAGAACCCAACATGCCTGCTCTGTATTGAACGGGTGATTGAGAGCTTCTAGGCCGGGAAACCTTTCACCTGAGTCTTGAAGAGTGGTGGCTGCACTAACTGCATTTAAGTAGCCAACAGGTGCCCATCATTCCGCCAAAATGAAGGAGACAGAAAGATGCACCTCAAACAGATGTGGGGTGTGGGGAGAGGAGCTTACCTCGGTGTAGATCTCTGTGGAACCTCCAAATATGATACCGCTGGTTATCTGGTTATCGTTGACCAGTTCTGCTCCCTCACATGTTGAAGTCTGAACGTTAGAGAAGCACACCGAGGAAAGCATATGAAGCAGGGCTTATTTAAAAAGGGTAACACAGACTTCTCCATGAGGGAGAAGGGGGCCATAGCTGGTACCCAAGAGGTGAGGTGTTCTGCCCTTTTTATGTGTGCTAGGCTTGTTTTGTTCTCCTGCCCTCTTCCCCTTATCTTTCTCCTTCCTGAGTACATGAGCAAGCCTAGGAAATGCTGGTGGGATGGCCAAAAGGTGGCCACGTGTCCATGTGCTCCTGATTCTATCACGTTGTGCCTTCTGGTTTTACTGGGCAGATGGTGGCTGTTTACTTGTACAAATAACATACAGAGTCATTATACTTTGGCTCAGGTATTCAGCATAGAGTAAGTAGTTCATGACCAACTACAATTCTACAGAATGGAATAACTAAGGATTATGCACAGCCCGAGAGCTGCTGTTCTGCACCTCACGGGCCCACTCAGGGCAGGCCTGGCCTGAGAACTAGGAGGAAATATTTGCAAAAAGCTCATCTGAGGGCTGAGGTGTGGCTCAGAGGCAGAGCACTCGCCTAGCACCTGTGAGGCACTGGGTTTGATCCTCAGCAACACATAAAAATAAAATATATTTTATCCACCTAATTAAAAAAAAAAAAGAAAAGAAAAAGCTCATCTGATTGCAGGGCTGTTACCCAAAACACACACAACTCCCAACTCAACTAAAAGAAAGCAAGACCAGCCTGATGAACAACAGGCTAAAGACCTTAACAGACACTTCATAGACACCTCATGAAAAAGAGACACAGATAACAAACAGCATGTGCAACGGTGTTCTGCATCATGTCATTGAGGAAAAACAAATTAAAACAACACCACTGTACACCTCTCAGAAAGGCCCAATCAAGCCCTGACCATACCTGCTGCTGGTGAGGCTGTGCAGCAGCGGGAACTACTGACTGTTGCTATGGGAATGCAAAATGGTGCATACACACTTGTGACCCGAGATCAGCAGGCCAAGGCAAGAGGAACCCACAGTCAAGGCCAGTGGCAGCCTAGCCTGTTTGTCTCAAAATAAAACACAAATAGGGTTGGGGACTCAGCTCAGTGGTAGAGCACTGGCTTAGCATGTACAAGGCCCTGGGTTCAATCCCCAGCACTGCAAACAAACAAAAGAAAAAAAGTCATACCCTTACTATACAATCCAGCAGTCACTTTCCTTGATATTTACCCAAAGGAGCTGAAAATTCATGTTCACACAACCACAGGCCCACAAATGTTTACAGCAGCTTTATTCATATTGCCCAAACTTGGAAGCTACCAGGAGACCTTTCAGTGAGTGAATGTCATTCAGCACTAAAAAGAAATGGGCTAATAAGCTAGGAAAAGACAGAGGGAATGTGAATGCACATTGGTAGGTCACAGAATCCAGTCTGGAAGCATGCATACCATCTGACGGCAAAGCCCAGTGTGGCCAGGGACGGAGGACAAGAACGGGGGAGCACAGAGGGTTCTAGTACAGTGGTGCTGCTTGGCACCAGGCTGTGTGCAGAACCTGCCTCCCAGGCCGCCCAACACAAGCATGGCCTCTGATGGGATGTGTCGATGTGGGTGCTGGCTCCTTCAGCCAGAAGGTGTTCTCGCAGTAGATGCTGGCTATGGAGGCTGTGCGTGTGTGGGACCAGGATGCAGGCGATGTCTGCTCCTTGTCCTCAGTTTTGCCAACAGCTGAGAACTGCTCCAAAATCACGTTTGACATGGTTTATACTCACATGTGAGAAATCCTGCCCCCAACAAGGAGAGATGTGGGTGGTCACTAAATGCACACAGATGACGAAAGCTGACCAGGATCAAGTCACAACAAAGGCTCCCGCTTTCCTACCAACTGGCCAGCCCTGAGGAGGCAGGGGCAGACAGGTCCCGAGCAACTCACGGAACACAGCTGCAAGGTTAGTGACAATGTGTGAATCCAGATCGCAATCAAAGAATGTGTCACAATTGGGAGATGCAGCTAAAGCAATATGTAGGGTTACATTACAGCCTTGGGGCTGGGGTTGTGGCTCCATGGTAGAGCCCTTGCCTAGCACGCGTGAGGCACTGGGTTCTATCCTCAGCACCACAATAAATAAACAAACAGACAAAGAAATAAATAAATGGCATTGTGTCTACATACAACTAAAAATTTTCTAAAAAATTAAGTACATCTAATTTTTTAAAAGAAAGATGGCAAATAAGTTTGTTGTTCAACTCAAGAGGTACAAGAGGAAAAACAGATCTAAAGTCGATAGAAAGGAAGGTAAGAATGGAGTTGAATATGACAAACAGGACAACCATTAATAAAATAGAGAATTCCTTACAAAGCTAATATGTGGCTTTGCAGCTAGAAAAGGGGAAATGGAACGTTATCAAGAAGCATCTGCAGCTGCACCTACAGTGGGAACATTCAGTACCTAGGAGATATTCCCAGAAAATTCAAAAACTGACAAAATTGATAATTCTCTTCAAGATCCATTTGATAAACATTGGACAGCACAAATTTTAAAAATTCAAAAATTTAAAAAGAACGGGTGTTCAGAATCTCCCTACTCCACAGGCACAAGGCGAGGCACACTGACGCCCTGGCCCCACCAGATTCCCAAGAGAGATGATCACTGTCCCACCAAGCTGTTTCAGAGACCCCACCTGGGACCGCATCTCCCGGGTTCTGCCTCACTGCGCCCAGGACAGATGCCTGCCCTGGGGACAACTGTCTTGAAGAGCCAAACACCCCCATGCCCGCTCACAAATGTCACACGTACCAGATGTGCACACACCTACGCACACCCGTGCATGTTTGCATGTACACTCCTACACAAGTACACACTTGCACACACCCCAGAGCACGTGTGTACCTGACCTGGAGGACAGGCCTCCTCACTGCCGTGCTCACTGCCTGGTATGCAGCAGGTACATGTTTCAAACACTGCCACGTGAGGGGAGCCCTGGGCAGCATTTTGTGTATCTAGTGTGTGTTGTCCATGTATGTGGTGTAGTACATGTGCTATGTGTGACTTGTGTTTTGTGTGTTCTACATTCTGTGTTATGTGCATATTGTGTAATGTGGAGTGTTGTGCTGTACCAAGTGTGTGCTGGCAGGTGTGGCATTATGCCTGTTCTTTTGAGCGTGTGTTGTATGTATTTCTGTGTTGTGTGTGTTGCACACTGTGTGCTGTGCTGTGTCTGCTAGTGTGGCATCTGTGTACTGGATATGACTTGTGTACTGTGTGTTGTGTGAGTATCGTAGTGTGTTGTATATATTGTATGCTGCATGTTGTGTATCGAGTGTGTGCGAGTGTGGTCACAGTTCTCGGGAGACTCTGAACGTGGCCGTCCTGCACTGCAGGATGGCGGGAGCTGAGCACCTGCCTAGGGTCAGCCCTGGCACTGCGGCCTGGCCTGTGGGTCCTCAGGGGAGCTGCTGGGGAGGAGGTTAATTCTGGGGGAGGAGGCAGGCCTCTGGGCAGAAGTCTTTCCTGCCGGCCTGGTGTCCTGGGCAGAGGATGGGGTGCGCTGGTATGGGTGTGGCATAGGGATGGGTGGACACTGTGCCACAGGCTGGTCTTAGGGCGTCTGGGGTTGGTCCCAATCACTGCACCCCAGACTTCAGTCTCACCTTGTTAAGACACCGCCTGCCCCTCACAAACATGACGTCCGCGCAGAAGCCAGAGGGAGCAAGAGCCACTGAGTCCACTTCCACAAAGCTGAGAATGGGATCCAGACACTGGATAGAGCTCCCCCTGGAGGGTCAGGGCACAGGCAGGGACCTGGAGTGCTGGTGTCCCCAGCTTCCCGTGGGGTGGGACAATGAAGGCAGGAGATTAGTGCTGGGATGAGTGGAAGAGCCACCAAGAGCACTAGCTCGCTGCATGGTGCACTGTGCAGATGGAGCCACCACGGAGGAACCAGGTGACAGCTCTGACCTCAGGGGCTGGGCAGGAGAGGGTCTGGTTCTTGGACATGTGGCCAGGGGCAGGGAAGGCAGAGGGTCGCTGTGGGGAAGGGGAACGGAGCACAAAGGAAAGAACAGCACCGCTGGTGGGTGAGGCCGAGGCTGCCGGTCCTCACGCCTGATGGGGGCCCAGGCTGGCTGCCAGCCCGGGTAGGGTCTCCTTCTGCCCTGGGCACTTCCTTTTGGATAAGCAGGACAGCTATCCCACTTTACTGACAGGCACCTGGAGGGGCAGAGAACGACGGCCTGCTCCGGGTCTCACGCGGCAGCCTTGAGGTTTGGACGTGGGTGGTCAACTCTGCATGTCATGCTTTATAACACTGGACCCCGCCCCCCACCCTCCAGACTGCAGCAGACACCATGGAGAGTGCTTCAAGACCATAAACACATGCAAAGACAATGAAGTGATAGTCACCCTTCAGTATTTCTTATAGGGCATGCTGGCCAGCAATAAATTATTTTTATAAAAAAAAAAAAATCTGGCCTGGTATGGTGGTGCATGCTTATAATCCCAGCTACTTGGGAGGCTGAGACAGGAGGATTGAAAGTTCCAGGCCAGCCTGGGCAACTTAGCAAGGCTGCCTCAAAATGATTTTTAAAAAAAATAAAATAAAAAGAGGCTGGGAGAGTAGCTCAGAGGTAGAGCACTTTCCTGCAGCACCAGGTCCTGGTTCCATCACCACCACAACCACGAAGGCAGTCACCAACCCATCCGTCTGACAGTGCCTTCATCTTGCTGTTGGTGAGACGTCCACCTTGACTCTGCTCCTTGTGGGACCCATGGCGACCGACCTGGAACCAGCCTTCTCGTCCTCAGGGCCGGTAGGCGCCTTCTCTCATAGCTTGATGAGGTGTGCCCAGACAAGGCTCTTTCTAAAGTCTATCCTACTTAGAGCTCCTTGAGTTTTCTTAATGGGTAAAGTTTTCCATCCAATGTGGTTTTGTTCATTATTTCTATTTTTTCCTTTTTTCTATCTTAAACTTTTTTGGGGTGATTTTTTTGTAATCTTTTTTATCTGGATTTTTTATTTCAACCTTTTGCTCAGTGTTCCTGAAGTATTTCTCCTGGTGCTGCTCTCCTGGCTCCCTCCTCGGACTCCCACTGGGAGTGGGTGCCTGCTCTTTCCTCTGCAGGCCGTGCCTTTGTGCTCCTCAGACACATTATCTCGTGGACTGGTTCTTCTCAGTGTCTGTTAAGCTCCACTGAAATTCATGTTCTACTTACTGTATCTGAACCCCAGGAGCTCTCCTTTTGTGCCCTCCTTTGTTGACATTGCTTTGTGAGGCATCATTCTGACCACCCTTCTAGTTCTTCAGCACAGCACCCTGGATTCATTTTTTTTTTAATATATATTTTTTTAGATGTAGATGGACTCAGTGCCTTTTCTTTATTTTTATGTGGTGCTGGGGATCGAACCCAGTGCCTCAGGCACGCTAGGCCAGCACTCTACCACTGAGCCACAACCCCAGCCCCCCCACCACCTTTAAAATTTTTTTGCTAGTTGTAGATGGACACAATACCTTTATTTTATTTATTTTTATGTGGTGCTGGGGAAGCACCCTGGATCCCTTTGATGACACAGTTGATTTAGTGTTCTGCTCAAGTCCAACATCTGGACTTCCTTAGGAGAGTCCCTCCTGACTGTCTCCCCTCGTGGCTGTCTGTGTTTTACTATTTCTTCGCAGGTCTCGTGGTTCTTTGGTTGGAAACTGGATGTTTGAAATAATAGGGTATGATAATGCTGTAATAAGGTCCCTTGTCTCTCTGCTCTATGCTTTCTTGGTGCTCTAGACTGCAGAGAACACAGCAGTCTCTGCCTGGCTAGTTCATTTGGTTGGCTGGGAAGTGGATGGGGACTTTGAACACTTGGCACTGTTGGTCTCCTGTGCTTTGCTGGGGCTGTGTGCTGGGTGTGCCTGTTCCAGCAGGCTCTCCAGGGCTCTGCCTGGGCTCTCCCTTCCTGCCGCAGAGCCCGACAAAGGTCTTTCCCAGGATGCACAAGGCCCTGTGCAGTGTCTTTCTGCATCCCAGGAACACCAGCGTTCTGGGCCCCCTAGGTTTTCCTTTAAAGTGTCGATCAGTCTCTTGTTGGTCCCAATGGTCTCTGGACTCAGGCAGCTGCAGTGTTAATTGCCACTGAGGGGTTTTTTTTTTTTTTTTAATTGGTGGATTATGATTATACATAGTCACTGTTTGTTGTGTTTTGGGTGGTGCTGGGGACTGAACCAGGGCCTTGTGGACATGAGGCAAGCACCAACTGAGCTATGTCCCCAGCCCCCAAAGCTACTGTTTTTGACAAACACTCTGGAGAGAGTTTTCCCAGGACCCAGACAGTTTACATAGTAAAGATTCTTTGGAGATGGGACTTTCTGGAGAGCAATAGATCCATTCCTCCCTCCTTCGGTGGCTGCTGGTTCTCACTGATGTGCAGCTTTTTCCATGATACTTTCCAGTAGCCTTTAATGGCAGCATGTAAGACCCACAGACTTGTTTGTATATTTCTTCACTGACCTCTTATTATTGTTAAATCCAAGAGTTTTCAGATTATTTTCTTGGGTTTTTCAGGCAGACAATCTTGTATCTGAAAACGACTCTCCCTCACAACAAAAATTTAAAGATAATCTATTCATTTTTAAATTGAACTACCCAAGAGTTCAGAAAACAAACACACACGCACGCACGCAGGCAGACAGACTTCCTGGCTATCTTCCACTTTTTTGCCTCAGCTGTTCCTCAGAGAATTAGGTTGGGGGCTTGTGGTTTCAACAGTAGTACTATGCTTATCAGTACATTTCTTTCATCTTTACTGAAGACTGTCAATAGGTTTCTATCTTTCTTTGAATCAAAACTTGTTAAGACAAATGAATGTCATGTACGGTCTGCCAAACTGTGTACACCATTTATTCAACAGATATCTGGTGCACTGACTGTGTGCCAAGAATGGCCATGAGGAAAAGATTTCAATAACACTCAAGTGATCCCTGCCCTTGGGAGTTTACCAACCCGGCAGGAGAATCTTCAGTAAACCTAAGGTGTGACTGTACGATGAAGGCAACCGAGTTTGCAACAGGAAGCCAGCTTGAGAAGTGAATGGCGATAATCAGGCATCCTGGGGGAACCACAAACTGTCCTTAAGCTGGGGGCTGAAGGGCAGTGGAAGCCAGCCAGGCCAGTCTCATTCAAGGAGCGTGCCTGGCGGTGGAGGCAGGTGAACTCAGGGGAGGGACCGCCCAGGGAACTGGCTGGGAAGGTGGCAGGGCCCCACGAGCCCTGTAGTGCTCTGGGTTGTTATTGTTAAGAGCCATGGAGAACAGCAGAGTGGAGGGTTTTTGAAAGATCCCTCTGACGGTTGGTGGCAAGGGGAGGGGGAGAGGAGGGGAAAAGGCTGAACCCAGGAGTTGTCAAGAGGAAGGGCTGGGTTTGGGCTGGGGACAGCAGTTGAAGTGGACACACTCTAAAGCTGGGGTTCAAGGACTAGACATCTGCCACAGGAGAGAGCAGTGACAGGTGCTGTCCAGCTCTCCAGCTCTGGCACCCAGGCAGACGGATGCCACGAGGCAGGTGGACGAACTGGCCTTGAGCTCAGAAGGACGGTCTGAGTGTGACGAAGACGGCGTTGAGCATATGGCTCGGTGGCTGAGCCCCTGTCTGGCACATCTAAGGCTCTGGGTCTGATGCCCGCAACACAGGAAGAGAGGAAGAGAGAGAGAAAGGCACAATCAAGACGGCAGATGAGCAGTGAGTAAAGAAGGCAACTTACATTCTGAGACGCGAAGAGAAGACGACCAAGCACCCCTCGGGCCGTCCAGTTCTGTGGTCAGCACAGACACCCCAGCACTCCCAAGAGCACTCAAACACCCTTAGCGGCTTCTGTCTCCTGACCGCTTGGTGCTCTGGTTAGAAAGTACACTCAGGGTCTGCTTTTCCTGCTCGTGACTGCCCTTCAGAAGAGCTGCTTTCCAAACTGAGTCTGATAAACTGGGCAGAGGGCAATCAAACTAGACGGGAATAGGAGGAACAATACCCAGTGATCTGAAAATCAAATCCACGGGGAAGTGAACGCACACTGTGTCGGGACTGACTTTCCAAGTTATTTGGTACCACAGTAACAATGTCATTTCAAAAGACAAAGGAAAAACAAGTCACAAGTGAGATACTGTAAAAGCTTTATTGAATAAATACATGCACTCTCATGTGAAGTTGGTTAAGCAAAAAGGACTTCCTGTGGTTTGGCAGGCCCTCCCCACCCTCCAGCAGGGCAGACCATCCGGCTGGCGCAGAGTTCTGCAGCAACCACAGAATGAACACACAGCTGCCCAGTCTAGGAGCACTGGCCTTCAGGTCTGGGAGGACTGACCTCTCCTCAGAGTGCAGACATAAACTGTGTGAACCATCTCCAAGGCGCTCCTGTTTCAGGCTGGCACTTGTCAACAACACCTTCCCACTTTAAGGCAGGGCATGGGCAACCCACGGGCACAAGCCAACGGAACTGCACTTCAAACTTCATCTGAGTTAATTCTCCTCCATTTGTTTGGCTTTCCGTAGTCAGATCAATTGTTAGAGACCCAAAGCTAACATTCTGAGGACAACCCAGGTGCCTCCCCGGTCAGACCCCGAGTGTGGAGCCCGCCTTCCCCACGTGCTGCGACAGAGCTGTCAGGGAGACACACACTGCCTGAGGTCTTCCCTTGCCCTTCTCCTGCGCTGGGCACGGAACCCACATGCTAGGTGAGCTCTGCACTATAGCCCAGCCCCTTCCTTCCTTTTAAAGAGAACTGAGGGACTTCCCAGAGGTCTCAGGACCTGCTGGTGGGGACCTCATACCCAAACCCTGGGTAACAGCTCTCCCCACTCACGGCAGCAGAGGGCAGCGTGTCCTGCTGCCCACCTGGCCTCCTGCAGGCTCTCTGCCCTTCACTGCATTCATTTTGCCTAGCTGCTTAAATAAAGCATTTTATTCTATTAAGTGAAGCAATTAAAAGTGCAAAGCCCAGATGTGTAGGACGTTGGTGAAAATTCTGATGCATCTTCCCCTTCACACAGTGGAACAGAAGCCTTCAGTAGACCTAATTTTTCAACAATTGAAAAAAAATCTTCAAAAAAAAAACCACCTAAATACCAAGAAACAACTAGATATTAATAAGATTTTACTGCTCTCTGGCTACTAAAATACAATTAAATGTTCTGTGTACATATAGGTCACGTGTGTGTGACACATTAACTTCTTCCCAGGACAGTCCTGGTAAGAACTGGAGTGACTGACAGGCTTCAGGGGAAAGTGCCAGCAGACAGGAGGCAGCGAGACTGTACTGGTCCTACGGTGAAAGGCAACGTGAGCCGAAGCTACAGACTCCACTACAAATTCACCGTGGAGAAGAATGTGAGCCACAAACGGAAAGAAACTCATGTGGTGGACAGGAGGAGCAGCAACAGTCGGCGTCAGCCACAGGCACTTTGGGACGTCTGGTGGAGTGAGCTCCCGGCAGGTGGCCAGCCCAGGAAGCACACTGCACGCTCTCTTCCACTGGCATGAGGAGCTCTGCGTGTTCCCACAGCCCGGGCAGCCCTCTCCCCTCTCGTCCTGCCGCCTGGGACAGATGAGCAGCCGTTCTGCACAGTGCACCCTTGGCAGGCCTGCATGACTCACACCACCACAGCCTCGCCTGGGACCAGGCTTGGGAACACGAAAGTCTACCAACGTGCTCTGCTAATCTAAACAGAAAGAAAGCCCCAATAAGGACTGCATGACAACACCCCATTACTCAGGTCAGCAATGGCATAAAGGGAGGAGCCCCAGGTAGCGCTGGGCCTCACGGCCTCAGTGCTGGCAGTGGGAGAGCTCCCTGGGAACTGTGGGGCCCTGTGTTCTGGCAGAGTGGCAAAGTTGGGCTCTGCTTCAAGTGAACAGGCCAGTCATCAGGCTTTAGCAACAGCTCCCCACCTGAACCAATGTCCCTCACAACCTGATGGCGGCATTCGCTCCTGCCGTCGTAGGCTGGGAACCTGACAACCAGCCTCCATCACGATCTGGGGACCATGACACACATGGGAAGCCTCACTTTCAGGAAAGCCTCAGGTGTCCATCTTTGCACTGCTGCATGAACCAGCTGCAATAAGCAATTAAAACAGACGTTTGTGGACCGCCACAGCTCTCTCCACTTTTTCTGTCAGTCAGGCACACAGCACTTCTCCTTACAAGCCCTTCTCTTGACTTCTCAATAGTACATCTTTGTATTTATGAAAACATTAATATTCTGAATACTTTCTTTTATCATTTATAATGGATAATCATCATTTATAATAAAGATACTTGATAATCTTTCTAAATTTTCTTTTTAAAAAGAAACACCACAAAATAGGTCACTGTGAACTTTCTGCTGCAAAGATGAAAATGATTATTTGTCACAAGAATTTAACAAGTTTTAGAAGAAAATATGTATTTCCTTGATCCACTTTCTTCTGAATCCAAGCCAACATGTAAAGATTATAAAAAATAGAGTCTATTTACACGGCATAGGGCACCTCAGAGGTGGACGAACAAGGCGTGGCACAGAGGGTCAGCGCTCCCTGGGCAGCAACGCCAGCCCTGCTGCTCGTGGCAGGCCAGGCGAAGCACAGAAGGAAACGAGCACATTTAACGACCATATTGGCCACATTTGCCTAAAATGTCAACAGTTTTATAAAATCATCAAGGTAGGCATAACTAAGTACATGAAATTATAAAAATAGCATTGGTACGTCTGCAGGAAGGTGCGATTGGACAGAGGCAGCAGGTCCCAGGTCGCCCTCATGTCCGTGTGGCTACGTAACCAGCTGTGGTCTCACGCCATCCTCGGTGAGGTCGTACCTGGGGAGCACAGAGGGCAGGGCAGACAGGTCAGGCCCTAGCCAGCACCCAGGACTGCGCCCACTCCACCAGCTCCACCCGGCTGTGGGGGAAGGCCACTCACCACTGGGTCCAGCCCTTGGTGAGCTCTTCAGATGCCAAAGCAACTAGCACCTGTGGGCGAGAAGTGTCTGTGAGCACGGCAGAGAAAGTCCTGCACCAAGGGCTCCTTCCCGCAGCCAGAAGAGCTGACCGATGGGGCCTGGCCAGTGTGCCATCAACGGCATCGTCCCTGATGTGGGCTCCCTGTGCTGCACCACGAGTGGTGTCTGCAGACCAGAGCTCCCTTCCCTAACTTAACCTTCACGTGTCCCGGTGGAGAATACGGAACCACATGCAGAAACTAATGTGACCAGGGAGAAAGATGGCAAGGAATTCCGAGATGAAGCCACCACTGGTTGGAAGAGGGACTGTGCAATCAGTTGAGAAGGTGGAGCTATACAGAACATTTCATTTGTGATTTTTTTTTTCATTTTTATTTTGTTTTGTGGTCCTGGAGATTGAACCCAGGGCCTCACACATGCTAGGCAAGTGCTCTGCCTCTGAGCTAACCTCCAGCCGTGTTTTCTTTTAGTGTGGTACTGAAAAAAAATTTAAAAACTTGAGAACCAACTTTTCTTTAACTGAAGGTTCCTGGTATGACTAAAAGCCCATAAATTGAAAGTGTAAAGACAACGAGAACAACTTAAAATGCCTTGGAGTGCACTCTATCCTGTGCAGCCCTTCATAGCTGGGTGTAGTCTCAGACCTGCACGGGGTGGGGCCTGAGGAGCACCAGGCACAGCAACATGCCAGGCTCTCGACACTTACCTTTTTTTTTTTTTTTAAGTTATTATTATTTTTTTTTATTGTTGGTTGTTCAAAATATTACATAGCTCTTGATATATCATATTTCACACTTTGATTCAAGTGGGTTAGGAACTCCCATTTTTACCCCATATACAGATTGCAGAATCACATCAGTTACACATCCATTGATTTACACACTTACTTTGCCAAGAAGTCCCTTATCTTTGGACAGGAAGCCGCCACTGTTTTTCACTGCCACGTCCAGGGTTCTCCTCTGCACCTCAGGGAGTGACACGCTGAAGTCAAAGCTGAGGGGACACAGGGCCTTACCAACTTTCTCCACACTTCTGTGTATTTCAGTTAAAATGGCATTTCTGTTTATAAGATCGTTCCAAACATTATGCTTCTTTTGTCTTGTAAAATGGGGTTTTCCTATTGGTGCATACCTGACAGCTTCCAACAGTTTAGACCCAGTTCCTGGTATGGAGACAGTGAGCCAGCTGCACCTTTCTTGTGAGCCCACAGATACTGGTACCACCCAGCTTCACTGCAGACCCTGAGGCAGGGCCCAACCTAATCATCCTACATGGGTCCTGAGATGCTCTCAGGAAGTCACCTAGCAAGACCCCACACAAGCAGATGACAGCCTGTCAGGTCAGATCACTGGAGGTTTGCAAACATGTGATAATAGTATTCAATAATTTTTAAGAAATTGTTTTGGAAAATACAGTTGTTTTCACAAAAATGTTGTTTTTTGAGATGTTATGAGCTTATTACGTTATTAAAAAACAATTGCAAAATGTGTGTGGCTTCAAGTCTTCAGTAAGTACCCACAGCCATTGCCCACCATAATGAATTTTCTTCAGGGCCTTCAGAAGACCTTTGTTCAGCCACTAGTCTCCCTACTGGGTGCCTGTGACCTGCGCCTACTGTGCTCAGCACTGAGGTTTCTGCAGGAAGCTCAGAATGCTGTGTGCTTATCATAATGGGCGCACCCAGGAGGGGTGGGGGTAGAGGCCACACCTCTGCCTTGTGGCCCCTGGTAGCTACAGTCTTGGGCACCTGGCTGTGCAACCCTTCTCTCATTCCCGCACCTCTGCTGCTCTCTTCCCTCCTGAGCCAAGGCTCTATCGTACCTCTGATCGAACACTGGGTTTAATGTCTTCTTCGACACGTGGGTTTTTCTCCTCCCTGACCTCCTCTTGTCTGGCAGTAAATACAGGCGGACATATGGATCAGAGCCATCTTCTGAGAAGGCAATCAGATTTCTTTTAACACAAACCAAAAAAGACAGGACATCAGAATCGAGGGAAAGAAGAACACCATCACATCCACATTTACTTTTCCCAGTTGTGGGCTCAGTTCGCCTGAACAACTGGAAGTAACAAGGAGACACCAAGCTGAGCTCCAGAGGTCTGCCCTGCCCACCTTTGCCTGCTGGCCTCTTGCCCTAGCTTCCGTCAGTGGCTTTGCCGGAGGCGACCTTGCCTCTGTGTCCTAGGTCCAGGGTCGGGGGACATTCTGCGTCCCTGCTGTGCTTCTACATATCTTGACATAATACTCCCACTGCTTTACCCACGTGAGGAAACAGGAGTTAGCCTCACGGTCAAGCCACCAAGCTCCAGAAGGCCACTGGACCCTTGTCGGCACAACCCTTAGGGGACCCCTCCCAGTGGCCCCTCTGGCATTCCTGGTTGGGGACTTGGCTCCACTGCAGACCTTCCCAGGAAGCCCTGATAGGCAGGGTGTCTGCAGACCCGCTCCACAGCCTTTGCTGTTCTGCCTCCCCTGTTCTCTCAGTAGCAAGGACATACAAGGGGCTCTGTGATTACTGAGCCAAACTCCATGCTCCTCACCTAATCTTATTTCTAAATGTTACCAATTCTATCTTTCTATTTGTCTAAACTATTACCAACACAGACAAAATCACATAAAAGGAAAATAATTAGTAATCCCATGCCATCATCCTTATTAAATTAAGTGACACTGTCAACCCCCTTGCACTCCCTCACTTGGTGCATGGGGTCAGGGACAGGTCACATGACCCTCTCCTGCTGCGGGGAAGGAACCAAGCAGTGTTGGGCCCATGGCCGCTCTCTGAAAGAGCTGCACCACACCTGTCGTGAATCACACCTTCACTGGTTCTTTTGAATTAATACTACTCCTGGAAATTAGTGCAAAAAGTTGTTCAATAAAAACGCTCACTATGGTATGTAATGCAGACATGTCCAGCATCGAGGATCGTCACAAAGTACAGCAGAGCAAGTTCAGAGTTACGGTAACATCGTGAGCATGACCAGAGTGCAACAGAGATGCTTATGAAACAATGTTGAGAACAGAAAAGGGTTGCCTAGTAGGACTGCAGTAACAGTGAACGGCACCGCTGCGGTCTCACTACTGGGAGGCCGAGGCAGGAGGACTCAAGTTCAGGCCAGCCTTAGTAACTTAGCGAGACCCTGCCTCAAAATAAAAATAAACAGGGGGCTGGAGTAGTGGCTCAGTGATAGAGCACTTGCCTGGTGTGTATGAGGGCCTGAGTTTGATCCTCAGCACCACATATAAATAAATAAATAAGATAAAAGATCCATCGACAACTAAAGTATATTTTAAAAATAAATAAACAAGCAAACAAATAAACAAATAAATAGCCTGGGCGTGCAGCTCAGTGATAGAACATCCCAAGTTCAAATCCCAGTACCAAAAACAAAAGCAAAGCCCACGAAGGTGGCATGCCTGTGTGTGAGCCAGTGTGTGTGTGCGGCTGCTGGCATGTTCTGCTGAGGGCAGAAATTTGGGTACTTTTCTCAGAACGGTCCATGTTGCTGTATTTTGTTTTGTTTACTCATTCAAACAGCTCATTCTAGGTTGCAAGATTTTGCTGTCAGACTTGGGGTGAACGCTTATTTCTTCCAACACCTCTGTGTTCCCATTTCTCCGTATTCCAGCAACCTAAAAAACTTGTCTTCCAGTTTGCTCAGACTTCTTTTGAGGGAGGGAATGATAAGTCAACAAGTAAGAGACATTCTTTTCTCAGCTCTCCCCACACCCCAACCATATTCACAAAAGCGAGCATGCTGTGTGTGGCACAGGCTGCTCCCATCTGGGTGACATGCACCTTGCTGCAAGCCCTCAAGCTCCACACGGCGTGGAAGGGCAGAACGGCTGCCAGGGCCACCCCAGCAGGCTTGCCTGGCTGGCTCTCTGCGGGCAGGTGGGCCTGCCTGCTGCCTCACCTGCAGGAGTGCACCACCACGATGAGCTTGTTCCTCTGGGAGCTGTGCCGGATGGTCAGCTGGACCTGCCCCAGCGGAGACTGCCCCAGGGTCGTCCCACTGTGGGAAGCAGAGCAGAAAGTCACTAGGAGAGCTGTCACTCAGGGGCCACCCGCACACGCACAGCCAGCAAGCGCTACTTTACCAGAAGGTTCTTTACACTTATTCAAAGCTAACAGTTTTCAGGTGAGAGCCCAAAGTAACAAGGAGACAGACGCATCTCCCTGTTGAGACACGGGTTGTGTCTTGGCTGGGACACAGGCCCTGCCTTCCTTCCCCCTCAAGGCCCCTGCTCCAGGTGGGAAGAGCCTCCTATCACAGCCACTGCTCCCGCTCAGGGTCCCAGGGGTGGTCAGCTACTCCCCACTATCATCTAAGAAAAGGTGGCTCCTTGCTTAAAACTCGGTTTCCTTCAGAAAGAGAGCAGGAAGAGTGATTTCTTTTCCCCAAAATAATGGACATGAGACAGTGCCCAGGAGAAAGTGAGCGTGGGCCAAACACAGCCTCACAGATGCAGACTGGCGGACACTGGTGCCTGGTGAGCTCGCGAACCACCGGGGAACAAGCACCTTCCACCTCTGCCTCCCTTCTCTTTTCCCACTACTCAACACCCCTCTCACAATAACAGGAGAAACGATTTCAAAGGTCAGTCCTACTTCTTCCACTTAGGGGAAAGGTTAATGTCTGAAGCTTTGATGACTGGTCTGTTTTTCTCCTTTCTGAAGACACCATCAGCAACATCTATGAATCACGGGGGTTAATACAGTATCCAAAGATAGACACACAGGGACTGGACAGCAGGCACGGGATGCTGACCACACACAGAAGAGCAGTACCTTTGTTTGTGTGTGTGTGTGTATGTGTATGTGTGTGTGTATTAGAGAGAGAGAGAGAGAGAGAGAGAGAGAGAGAGAGAGAGAAAGCGAGAGCACTTTTTGAAATTTTTAAATTTTGAGACAGAATCTAAGTTGCTGAGCCTGGCCTCAAACTTGTGATCCTCCTGCCTCAGCCTTCCTAGTCACTGGGATAATAGGTAAGTACCACGGGGCCTGGTGACCTATTCAGTTATTTTTGTACTGGGGATTGAACCCAGCTGTGCTGTACCACTGATCTATATTCAGCCCTTTTGTAAATTTTGAGACAGGAGCTAAAGTTGCTGAGGCTGGCCTTGAACTTGTGAGCCCAAATCCCTGGGACTGCAGGCATGTAGCACAACACTCAGCTAGACAACCTGTTCTTTTACAATAAAGATAAGCCTTCTGAGCTGGGCACAGTGGCACATGCCTGCAATCCCAGCGGCTCAGGAGGCTGTGGCAGGAGGATTCTGAGTTCAAAGCCAGCCTCAGCAAAAGTAAGATGCTAAGAAAATAAAATACAAAATAGGGCTGGGGATGTGGCTCAGTGGTTGAGTGCCCGAGTTCAACCTCTAGTGCCAAAAAAATAAAAAAATAAAATAAAAAAGCCTTTTGCCAAACCTTCCCACTCACCACTCACTAAGTCTCTAGGGTATCTTTTGAGTCTGTCTTCCTGGGATGGGGGGTGGTGCAATAGCTTCATGGCTCTAAGCCTCTTTCCTTTCCCATTTAGAGAACCTCTTACTCGACCACCTCCTAATCCTTAAATGGTCCTAGAAAAAAATGACAGGTTCTCTTTTTTCAAAATATCTTTTTTTTTTTTTTAAGTTGTAGATGGAAACAATGCCTTTATTTTATTTATTTATTTTTATGTGCCGAGGACTGAACTCAGTGCCTCACATGTGCTAGGCAAGAGCTCCCCCACTGAGCTATACCCCCAGCCCCCCCCCTTTTTTTTTGAGACAAGGTCTCACTAAATTCCTGAGGCTGGTCTCCAACTTGCCATCCTCCTGCCTTAGCCTCCCAAGTCACTGGGATTACAGATATCTGTCCACACACCCAGCTTGGCAGGCTTTATTTTGAAAGTCAGACACAGTGGGCAAAACGGCAACACCACCTGAAGTTGTTCCAGTGAATTTAAGAAGGCATCTCCCGCCCTGCTGGGTGTGGGACATGAACTCTGTCTGCCTACCCCCCGTGACATGCTGGGTGAGCGCCGAGCGTGATGAACAATCACCCGGGCATCAGGTATGTGGCACGGTGAGAGCCAGGCAGTGGACATTTACTTTTCGAGCTGTCGCAGCCTTTGCCGCAGCTCCTGGGTGGCGATAGGCAGTGATATGTCTGAGGCTATGCTGGGGGTGGGCTCCTTGACAGACATGTGGCTCGGAGAGGCCAGGAGGCTGGAGGAGCTTCTTCCCAGGTCACGCTGGGCCACAGGGCTGGCCTCAGGGGGCTGGGTCTTCTCTTCCACACCAGGTTTATCACCTCCCCCAGTGACTGGTGTGGACGGGGCCGTGCTGCTCCCGCTGGTGCCTGGAGATGCAGACACCTGAGATTTGACAGGTATTTTCCTCCCTTCTTTGGACACAGAGGGTCGTTTCACTTGAGCTGAATGTTGGTGGTCTGGAGGCCGCTCCTGCTTTTCGAGATGGAGTACCTAAAGGTGGACATAAACAAACACTGAAACCAATGACACTGGTAACCTCTTGGCACTTGGCTGGCTTCAGATGCACTCCTCCACAGATATTTCTTTAAAACCGGCTCAAAATGTTAAAAAAAAAAATCTAATCTTTGCTGTTTGGTTATTCAATTATTAAAGTAATACCATATCACAGAAAGTTTAGAAAAGCAAAGTTTAATCAAAACATCACTTGTACAAAACAAACACCAGGTCTGTGTCTTCTCCAGGCTCCCCCACTTGCACCCTTTCCTACACAACTGTCGACAGTGTCTCACACAGAGCCCACTGAACCTGCCCCGACAGGAGACGAAGGCCCTCATCTGCACGGGTAGACTGAACCAGGAAGCCCAGAGAGAGAAACACCCTCCGAACCCTGCTACCTAGCAGGAGCATCCCAGACATGGCACAGAAAGAGAAGGGCAGCCACACCGTTTCTCCTGGGACCTGGGGCTGGCACGTCCCACTGAGCAGTCTCCTCCACTTTGGGGTTATTGAGATGGCTGGAGGATTTTTTCTGCTCTCATGAAATAAAGCTACAGCAAAGGTCTTTATTCTTATGGCCTCCCTGAAATTTTTCCCCGTTTTTTGCAGTTGAACTCAGGGCCTCACGTGTGTTAGGCAACCTCTATCACTGAGCTATATCCCCACCCCTCCCACATTTTGCATTATTATCAAAGGTCAGATTTCAGGTTCAAAGAGTCCTGGAATTCATGGCATGGGGATACTGCAGTTCTTCCTGAAAAGGCTATACCAATGGCCAGTGTCTTGGCCAGGTGCAAGGAAACCATTTCTTCTGGACCCTCTACAGACGAAGTCTGTTTTAAAAGCTGGCTCTTGGGGCAGGGGAATAGCTCAGTGGTAGAGTGTGAGAACCTGTGTTCAATCCCCAGTGCCAAAAACAAAAAAAAAAAAAAAAAAGAAAAATTGACTTTTCAATTTGTATATTCTTATTACTAAGTTTTGGCATTTCCCCATATATTTACTGGTTTTATTTTCAAATCTGCCCTCTTGCTGGGTTTAAATTCTCTCTCCTGAATAATTCTGAAAATTCGGCCTCAGGAGAGAATTCTGTCAATGCAGAAGCAGCACCTTCTGGACCACAGGGTAAAAACGGCTGGTAGACTCGGCAGAGCACTGTGTGATCCAGGCCGGCCTCACCATCTGCAGGTGCTGCAGCTGTCCTGGGAGTGAGCCCAGTGGGCTCCTAGGACCAAACGAGGGGTCCACTCTCCTCAAGCAGCACCTCTGTGGGACCCTGGCACCGCCTGCCCTGCACCCATGGCAGCATTTGCCAGGCCGACCAGGACGGGCGTGGCGCTGCCAGCAGATGGCCTCCTCCCACACAGCACCTATCACCAAAGGCTGCACGTACTCGGAGGGCGATCTTCATCTTTAAAGTGCTGTTTGGGCCTGAGTTGCTGAGCTGGAACCGCTGGTTAATGGTCATGTCGTCGCTCGTGAGCAGCTGACTGAGCGGGATCCTCAGACTGCCCAGAGAACACTGGTGCTGCTCATCTTTGACCTGCGGGTTACAGGGCACAACACTGAACTGGAGGGGAAGGCACAGAGACTACAGAGAGCCCACAAGTTCAGAAAACACATTTTAAAAAGCCCAGACATGTTTGAGCCATATTCTTTCAAGTGATGTCTCCATTTAGAGGCATGGGCTGCAGGAATCTGAAGGGTGCAGGCAAGGTCCTCAGCCCCTGTGAGAAGGCCGATGCTCACACGCAATGAGGTGTGAGGTCTTCACTGGTGACACTTGGTTGTGCAGTAAATGCACCTCTAGGTTCCTTTCAAGTCTTCTCTATTCAAAGTCTACATGGTTGGTTTGAAAACTGACAATATCTGCTTTAAAAGCCTGGTCATCCGCCGGCCATGGTGGTGCAGCCTACGATCTCAGCCCCTCAGGAGGGTAAGACAGGAGGATCGCAAGTTCAAGGTCAGCCTGGGCAATTTAGTGAGACCTTGTCTTAAAATAAAAAGGACTGAGGGTTGGGGCTGGGGTTGTGGCTCAGTGGTAGAGTCCTTGTTTAGCATGTGCGAGGCATTGGGTTCGATTCTCAGCACCACATATGAATATATGAATAAAATAAAGATCCATCAACATCAAAAAAAAAAAAAAAAAAAAAAGGACTGAGGGTGTAGCTCAGTGTTAGACTGTTCCTGGGTTCAAACTACAAATCTCCAAGCACAAAACCCTGCTGAACAAATAGTACAATCATCTATTAAAAAATAACCTATGACCTTTCTCTGATGCTGTAAATGAAAATTAACTTGACACAGACCTAAATGTGAAGTTAGAAATACAACCTCCAGGAGAAGGCAGAGGAGAAACACTTAGAAACAAGGGTATGACAATTTTTATTTCTTTTATAGGACACGAAGAGCATGAACTAAAAAGAAAAAGGTGAAAACAAATGAACTTCAGCAAATTTTGAAGGTTCTGATTCTGCAGAGTCTTTGTTATCAAATGTAAAATCAAGCAAACAGATTGAGAGAAAATATCCACACAACATGTATCCATCAAGCACCTGTTTCCAGAATTCAGCATTAAGAAGACAAGTAACAACAATAAAAGGGCAAAGGAAGTGAGCAGACGTGATGTTACGGTAGAGACACAGAGCACAGGAACACAGCATGAGGCTCATGCTGCAACGGCCACCCCACACCATTGCAAAGCAGCAGGCCCTTGCCCTGGTCCCTGGGCTCCAAGACCCGTGGGCACCCGAAACCTTATGCACCACATGTTTTCCTATGCACACACACCTGTGATAAAGTTTAACTGACATATTAGGCACAACAAGAGATGAACAACAATAAATAATAAAGTAGAACAATCTTTAACAATATATATAATAAATTATAAGTTATGTGAATGGGTCTCTCACACTTTCAAGATAACTTAACGTGATATATGCATGCTCCCTACTTTATTTTTGGTACTAGGTAGTGAACCTGGGGTGCTCTACCACTAGAGCTATACCCCTACCCCTTTTTTAAAATTAAAAAAAAAAAATTTAAAGAATCTCATTAAATCTAAGTTGCCCAGCTGGCCTTGAACTTGTGATCCTCCTGCCTCAGCCTCCCAGGATGCTAGGATTTCAGATGTGGCCACGGCACAGGACTCTCCCTTCCTGTGATTATGTGGCCTGTGGTTTGGACCAAGGCTGACCACGACTGACTGAAATCACAGAAGTGACCATGATGAGGGGCCTGCTTTACCTCTACCCACTAACCATGGAGCCTTGGCAGCATGTGAGGAAGAGCACCTGCTGCACACTGCCAGTGGGGACATGAAAGGCACCACCACTATGAAACATGACTTGGCAGCACACTAAGAAGGTAAATGTGCATCTACCCTTCTATTCCTCAGTACATACCCAACAGCAACAAAGGCATAGGTCCTCGCAAAGACTCAGAGCAGATTCATTCGTAATAGGTCTTGGCAGGAAAGGATCCAAACTTTTAACACCCTTGTACTGTCACCCTTGTACCGGACAAGCCAATAGGGATGCTTCCATCCCATGGAATATTACATATGGAATACTACACCTATCAGTAACAACACAGCAAACCCCAAAATCATTACACAAAACAACAAAACAAAAAGAATGCACTGTGTAACTCTATTCACACAGTCCTATAAAATCCAAGCAAGTTACAGTGAGGCCCCAGAAGGCAGATTTGCGTGTGTGTGCGTATGTGTGTGTGCGCGCGCGCATCTGGCCTGAGTTACAGAGCACCAGGGAGCATTTCCTGCGGATGGGTACTACAGTCCTTATCTTGACTGTGGTGATGTGTCCATGGGTCTGTATACATCTTCATCTACACCTGCATGTCATAACTCATCCAACAGCGCAATTTAAATATGTGTAACTTACTGTACGTCAATTCCATTTCAACACATCAGTTAAAAAGTTGCAAACAAAATACCTCAACTTCAAGGTCTTGGCGCTTGGGATTGTGAATGAAGAAAGTGAAGTTCTCCTCCCAAACAGGCTCACTGGTTTTGTACCGAATCTGGAAGAAATATACCAATATCAGCTCTGCAATACCTTCTGTGGAAAAGGGATCCCAATGTTGTGCTTTCTGATTTAATGTGTTCAGAAGCATAGGACGACTTTAATATAATCCTAAGACATATACTTATAGTGCATGTACCATTATATTATTAAGCATAAACAGTGTTAAGAACATAGAGGATGGTCCAGAGCTTTCTGAATATGTCAGGAAAATCAGCTGTTTCTAACCTGACCAGTCCGCTCAGTGACCGCGACCTCATCAGCTCAGTGGTACTACACAGAGGTCCACTTAGGTTTTTTTTTTTGTGTGTACCAGGGATTGAACCCAAGGGTGCTTAACCACTGAGGGACATCACCAGCCCTTTTTTTAGATTTTTATTTTGAGAGAGGGTCTCACTAGGTTGCTTACAGCCTCACTAAGTTGCTGAGGCTGGCCTCAAGCCTGCCACCCTCCTGTCTCAACCACCACAGGAGCTGGGACTGAAGGCGTACACCACCACACCTGGCAGCAACACCTTCTTTCAATTCTTGAACCTAGCTGTATTGGCTTAATTTTAAGAACTATTGGTTATGTTTAAATATTAATAGCGCTCAAAAGAAACTTGGGGAATTTATTCTATGCATACCCATGAAACATCTGTATGGTAATTTTTAATATTATCTTAAAAAAACAAGCCACATATTTTTTATTGAATTAAGTAGCTGGTTATTTACAAAGTGAATGTTCTGAGGGAAAAAGGATGTAGGAAACCAAGGGTGCCTTAGGCGCGCAGTGGCAGTGACCCCAGAGGCAGCCCGGAGGGGCAGCCCACATGAGGACGTACCTTACTCTCCTGAGCCTTGTGGCCGACGGACATTTGGACGAGAGGATTTGGGTTGCTGTTCATTTTCTTCCCTGACTATCCGAAAACAAAAAGAAATAGACAAAATAAACAGACATAGATTTTGAAACGGGCCTACTAAACATGAAATTTTTGGCTGACGTTGAGAGCCACTTCTACTCATCTCTGACGTTTCAGATAGAAGGAGTACACGGGGAAGTTAGCCACAAAACAATTGCTAAGCACACCCTGGGCCATGACTGCTCCAACCACAAAGTGAACTAAAACACACTTACATTCATGTACACTCTTTTTTTGTTGTTGTTTCTTAGATTTTTTTTTTTTTTTTTTTTTTTTTTGTGATGCCCAAGCCCAAGCAATCCTCCTGCCTCAGCTTCCTGAGCTGCTGGGACGTGGGTGCATACCACTACACCAGCTGCACCTAATTTTTACATGTTAAAAGTTTTTTTTTTAATTTTTAAAGCAAGCTTCTTTGTGAAAATTAAATTTTTAAAAATATTAATTTAATTTAGTTGTAGTTAGATCCAATACCTTTATTTTATTTGTTTTTATGTGGTGCTGAGGATTAAACCCAGGGCCTCACACGCACTAAGCGCACACTCTACCGCTGAGCCACAACCCCAGCCCTGAAATTTAAAGTTTTTTAAAAAAATCTTTAATCACTATTGTCGTGTATCAAAAAAAATAATAAAATCAATAAAAAAGAAAAAAACTTTAATGTTAACTACAGTTCTCAAAAGTTGATAACACAAATATATAAAAGTGCAATGAATGGAAACCAAAAAACATGAGAAAAGACAAATGTAAAAGAATGGTACTTCAGAACACCCCTGGTTGGAGTGAGAGAATGCCATAGAGAGGCACAGCTTCACATTTTTAACTGAGCATGCTCCGTTCAAATACACACAGCTATCAGACATCAACTCTTGCTTACCAGCTGCTAAGGAATTTTGACTAGGAGAACAAATGTCAGTTTAGAACCATTAAATTAAGCAGATATAAATATAATGGGAAAATTCAGGAAAGAAAAAAATGGCAAGCACATTAGCACAGACAATTGATAAAGGAAAACATAGTAAGACAAGAGGTATGTGTTCTGAGGTTTATTTTCAACTTAGCCCCACAGGGAGATGCTCTTAAGATCTGTTAGTGGAAATTAACTAGAAGGTCACAAAAGTGCTTTTAGTCTAGTAATTCTGAGTCAATCCTCAACACTGCAGCCATGAGAAACAGGTATCAAAATCATAATCGTTGGGGAAAATATTCCTAGCCAAGATCCACTGTGATCATCTATTTTCTGGTTCATCTTTCTGATGTGCATGCATTCTGAAAAATGAAGTAAACACTGTGAAAAATAAATGTCCAAGGCCACAGAAGACCGTGGCGGAGGACAATGACTCCGCTGCTCCGCTGTTTCTCCTTCCACCAGACCCCAGGAGCCAGCTCTACACTCCTCCTCTGTGACCAGCTCTCCCTTCCACAGCTCCCCGGCAGCTGGGCACAGAAAGGCAACTGGTTCTGGCCCCAAGGAGGGTGGGTCCTTGCCAGCCGCCCTCCAAGAGGTGGGAGCCAGGAACGAAGGTCCTGAGTGAGCCATCACTGCGTTAGGTCCTTAACACAGAAGCTGAGCTGATTTTTAACTGATACCAATTCTTCCTCACTGAAATAGGCCATCCATTCAAGTATCTTACAATTTTAAGACACACTTCCCCCTTCCCTTTCTAACATCTCTGAAAACAGAACGAGACTCGCCATTACTAGCTTTGCATGCCTGCTCTTGGGCAGTCTGCAGCAGTAAGACAGTTGTCACCGCTCTGGCCAAGTTACTGTGCTTACATCTTCCTTTCGGATATGCACGTGAGTGACAGACAGCAAAAATCTGTCTAACCTAAATCTAAAAAATTTTCTAAGTATAAAACAAACACTATCAAAACACAACTGGCATTTTATAATCTCCCTTAGTGGTACATAAAATAGCAGTGTATCTTTTTTTTTGGTACAGGGGACTGAACCCAGGAGTGCTCAACTACTGAGCCACACTGCCAGTCCTTTTAATTTTGACACAGGGTCTTGCTAAGTTGCTAAGACTGGCTTTGAGCTTGTGATCCTCCTGCCTCAGCCTCCCAAACCTCTGGGATTACAGACATGCACCCCTGCACCCTCCCAGCAGCAGTGTATCTAAAAATGGATGGTTAGGTTATGTGAAAAAAAGTTAAATCACTTACTAACTTTTAGACCATGACACGATATTCAAAATACATCAGCACAATTCAAAGTCACAAACTGAATGAAATATGAGCTGCTGAGTCAGACTGCCTCGAGTTTCAATCTCAGTTCTGTGTCCTGACCCTTGAAACCTGTATCCATGACTATCACATGGGCACAATGCCATTTTCAGAAACTTGGTGGAAGGCTTTATTAAATGGGTTAATGTGATAACAGGATAATGATAATACATCTCTTTCTACCTGAGGATCTCCCATGTGCCCTGCGTTAACTTCCTCAGCAAGCCAAAGGAGAAGATAGCACTTACACCCCAAGGACAGCAGAGTGAAGCCCACACCCCTGACTTCTAAGCCCACCTTGCTGAGCACTGCACCGATGGCCAATGGCCTTCCTCAGCAGAGCACAGGAGAGCAGTGCTGACCAAGCTCCCCAGCGTCCTGTGGGTACAGGCTTCACCGCGTGCTGACTGGCACACACAGGCTGCTCTCACCACCCATGTGTCACTCTTCAGTGTAGGACAACAGACATGAAGAAGCAGATTTTGTGTCCTGTGTCCTGCTGCAAGCTCACTCATTTTTCTGAAGGAAACAACCATTCCTGTTTCTTTGGGAATTTTCTTAAAAGAATTATTTTTAAAATTTCCCCACTCCAAATATGTAAGCCTAAAATGTTCAGAGAAATTAGAGAGAAAAAACCCAAAACAATATAAGTCATAGAAACGTGCTAACAATTTAGCTGCAAACACACGCTACCATGTCTTGGCAGTGGAGCTTAGTTTCCAATATACCTCGTTTAATGAACTCAAAGCTCTTGGAAAGATCTATCACCCAGACCCGCAGCACCAAAGCCATGAGGCTGTGGCCTCAGAGAGCCCCTACTCAACATATTGGAAGAGGCGATTTCTTAAAAGCATATTTACAATTTGCAAGGCGTGTCTTTAAATCACAATCTAACATTTGGTTGAGATTTTAAGTAGAACTTCTAGATCACCATTTTAAAAAATTCAAATCCAAATGAAACACAGATGTTTAAACTGCCCTAGAGGGAGCTGCTCCAGGCCAGGAGGAAAGACACCGTGTCATACTGGAGCTTTATAAAATTTACCTTCTGAGTTGCTGTGTTTCCACCTACCACTTCTCAGATAACAGCAGGCTCTCTTCCACAGGATGACCAACCATGGGCTGGCAGGGAGGCAGCCTGCCACGCCTCGCGAGCTCAAGTATCATCTCTTTCAATATGCCTCGATACGCTGCACCCTCGAGGGAACACTTGGTTTACCTTTAGCGCTCTCTGAACGGCAGCCTTCTTCAAGACACCAGGGTTAAAGTCTAATGGATTATTCTTTCAGGTCAGAAGAAAATGAATACACCAAGGGTTAATAAAACGTGCAATGAGGAGCTTATGGAAGGTTAATGACACGAACATCTAGGAGAGTAAACACAAACTTAAGCAAAGCCCCCAACCATAGGAGATTCTCTATGCCCAAGATTTCACCTTAGAGGCTTTCAAAATGTATTTCAAGTCCTCCACAACCCTTTACTCTCCTAACGCCTGTCCTTTGGGACTTGAAAAATTCAAGAGAGATTTTAGGAAGGGTTCTGTTTGTTATCATCTGCCTGAGTAAACTCTTAAAATCTTGAGCACTAAGTACACAATGACGGGCCACGCTGCCCAAACCTGTCGAGCCTGGGAGCCTTGGCCCTCGAGGGTAAGGACTGACGACTCCAGATTTCAGAGACTTTTCCTGATGCTCACACTGGGCAAATGTAGCTGAGACAAATGTGATTATTATTCCAACATGCATCAGTTACAGGGCAACAAGGAGAGCCGCTGTGATGTGGGGCCAGGGGTGCAGGAGGAGCTGTGTGGGATCATGGAAAGCTGCAGTCCTGGATGTGAGAGAGACCAAGTCACTGAAATGCTTTGGGCAGGTGTCCAGGCCTAAGGCTTAGAAGTCAGGCATCATTCCCCCTGGGTCTCTCACCATCAACTGAGGCAGCAGCTGCACCTGGACTTTTTTGTTTAAAGGAGAGCCAAGAAAAGCATCCTCGCCAGGGTCTGAGCAGTGGTGGCTATTAGGCTGCACTGTTGTGTTCAGGGTAGGCACTTTAGAAATACCACTTGTCTCAGATATACTCCACATGTGGAATCATGAGCCCATAAACCTGCTGAAGTGATAGCTCTGCTAATCCCAATCCTGTGGTAATCTCGGTCATTATGTCCTCTGTGCTGTCTCATCTCCAATCTGTAAAACATCATCAACAGTCTAGGGGCTAGATGAGGTGTAGGTGTCGGGCCCCTCCTGCCCTGCTTGGCTCCTAGCAAGTGCTCAATAACACGAGCTACGGTGTACGCCTGACTCCTGAATGCTGGCCACCACGGTCAGAGCTCAAGTGCAGCACGTGATGGAGAGGAAGAGCAGGGCATGTTCCAGGAGCCTCCATGAGGGCGAGGTCGTGCCAGCGTGCAGGAAAGCTGCTGCTTTCAGTTCCGGGTGGGGAGTGGGGTGAAATGGCTGAGGAGGGAAGGCAGGCAGCAGGAGCCGCCTGGAGCTTTACTAGTTCCCATGGCAGCCTGTCGGGGAAGACCCAGAGAGCAGATCTGACGTCACGCTGGACATCAGCAGGTGACAAAGTGTTCCCATTTGCATCATGGAATAGCCTGTGGTGCATATATCCTAACGGAACAGCACAGTTGACCATGTGGGAGGAACCTGACTGAGAACCCAGCAATGTCATAGGCTAAATACTAAAAAACAATGTAAAAAACCCGGCTCATCTCCTTCTTGCAGAAGCAGGCAGCTGTAGAATGGGAAAAGCAATTTGGAAAAGCTGCTGGAGACAGAATCCACACAGCACAGCTACTCGGTCATCACTAAGAAACGCCAGAAGCAAAGGACTGCTTCTGAAACAACAAGAGCACGTGCCACTGGCCTCCTGTCCTTTACAGAGGCCGTGAACAGGGGAGCGTGGACAGAGCTGGGAGGGCCACAGTATCCACCTACCGGTGTGACTCAGGCTTTTGGTTTTCTTCATCTGTAAAACAGGGCCAAATATCTGTCCTTTAGGTATTGTCCTGCAACCTTCTCTCTCTCTCTTTTTTTTAATATATATTTTTTTAGCTATAGGTGGACACAATATCTTTATTTTTTATTTTTATGTGGTGCTGAGGATGGCACCTGGTGCCTCACGCATGGTATGCGAGCGAAGCTGAGGATGCATGTGGAAAGGCTCTGGAAACAGAAATTCCGTCTCTGGAGAACACAAAGCACTGTCACTGTAAGATTCAGGGGCAAACTGACTCTGGGACCCTGCCAGCCACAGAGTTCAGTCTGACGGGCGACTCGCTAGACTAACAGGTCAGTAGTGGTTTTCTGTGCCCCTAGCAAGTGAGACCAGATCCCAACTAAGAGTACCTACCCAGAACAGCACCCAGTGAAGGTCCCACCCATGTGGCATGGTAACAGATGTAATGAGACCAAGACAAAAAGTCCATAGTTATCTAAGAAAACCTTCGAATTCCTTAAAAGGAACTGAACAGTGACCTCAAAGTGGTTTTCTTCTCCCTGAGGGAGAAGGCCTGACCGGGAGGGCACTGCCTGTCCTCACGTGACCATGCCTTGGTGACTGAGCATGGACTAGAGGGATGGACTGTAAGAAAGGATGCTCTAACACTGCTGTGTTTGGTCAGGAGGAAAAGGCAGATGGAAGAAAGTTTGGGGAAAGGGAACAAGAAGATATTTACATCTCACATGGAGATGAACTACAAAACAATTTTCACATCGTGGCTTCATTTCTTCGTCATGGGAGTTTTTATTTTTTTACGGGCCAGCAGCAATTGAGGCATCTCAGTTTAGTTCATCTCCCGTCAGATGCACTTGCCAATGTTAAAGCAGTGTTACGTTTTACAAAACCAGCACAGAGTGAATACACAGAAACTGAAATCATGCAGGAAAATGACGACAGCATGCCCCGTCATTCCACACGAGCAGACTCCACAGAAGGTCCAGGCCACACTCCGGCAGAACTCAATCAACAAAGGAAAGGACCTGGAGGACTCACAAATAGTGCTCTATAGACTGAGGTAGTATTCTCACAAAACACTAGTCCCGACGCTCGCCTCTCTTTTAAGTAGCCACACCCAAAGTTTCCCTCGAAGATACTCTTAAGAAAGTGCAGACAGGAGGAAAAAGCAAAGAACGGTGGATTGTGATCAATGAGCGCACCAGAAGCACAGGAAAACAGTGCCAAGGCAGAGCCAAAGGATCCCAGCTCATGGGGACCCCAGGGAAGGTCCCCACCCTCACTATACCCCAGGGTAGCGCGTGGCAGGGATCCTGTGCCTCTGACGGCCACAGCACACTTCATGCACAAATTGCCCAGCTAACAGAAAATCAGTACATCACTTTTCTTTTTTCGTTTTTTGCTTGTATGACATGATTGAAATTTCAATTTAATGTGACAAAACACATCAGTTCTATAGATGGGCCTAAGCCTTTCTTGCCAGTTCACCCACCCTATGCTCTATATTCTAAAATATAAAACAAATTCACTTTCACCAGGCATTATAAGTCATTGTAACATTAAGACATTTTATAATAAACACCATTGGTTAAAATGAGAAAGTTCTGTATGAGAAACTCTGAAGAAGGATTAAATGATAATGAAGTAACGTTTCCCAAAGTGAAATTATAACAGATAAAGCCACAGATTTAGATAGAAAGATTGGCAAAGAGATTAAGGTAAATTCTTCTACGAAAAACGTAAGAAATTTAGAAGGTAAAATCAGTCAAGAAAGCTTCATTGAAAGAAAGTGCATGATAGACTGAATGAAACACGTGTGGTGAAGTCCTCGCGTGAAACAGACTTGCGCAGTCGGCTGCTTGTCTGCAGACTGCTACTCACTAATGCACTCACGTGAGGGGACGCACTGACCATGCAGGGGGAAGTAAGCGATGGCCAGTCCTGGGGCCACCTCAGTACCTGCTAGCAGTGTTCTTTCTTTCAACAAAACTGGTCATTGATACAATTAAACAGAGAATGACTGCCTGGTGAACAAGCATGTGGGCACTTGAAAAAATACCAAATGGTGTAGCGTTCACAATGACAATGACACTACCCTGAATGGGGGGCTGAAGTCTGGCAGTGTTCCTACCTTGTCTGGTCAACAGAATCACCTCTCCAAGGTCACCATCATCCCTACAGACCTGTATTGTGTGTTTCATTTTTCCTTAGGACAAAACAATTCTGATGTGAATAGGCATGTGCTTTTAGGCTGCAGAACAGTGTGCGTTTGGCAGCAGATTACTCAGACACTGTTCATCTCTACCCATTCTGTTGGAAGCTCCCTGGACACCTCCAGGGTGCAGCAGGTTTGCACTGTTGTGCTGCAGCTAGGACAAGTTTGGAGTCTGTGATCAGAAAGGCTTCATTTTATCCCCATTCCAACTAAAGGCAATTTCTACCTTTAGGCAGTGAAGTTTTACTGATTAGAGGTAAATCTAGACATGCAAAGCAAACATTAACTTATGCTCTCTGTTCCTGCTCTTCTGCACTGCCGTGAGATCAAATTCAGCTAGACAAGACCAGGTGCCACACCGTGGGTAAACAAAGAAGTGATTTCCAAGTCAGAACTGCTATCAGGAAAAAAAAGCACCCAAATGAACAAGCACTGCTATATTTACCGGAAGGTTCCGTGCTGAGTCCAAATACAAGATCAGCAGTGCAGAAGAAAGGCCATCATTGGCTTGGTCTTTGTCAGCTCTGATGTCCATCAGGACCTAGGGGAGGAAAAGGCCTTAGTGTGTGTCCACGAGACTAGAGACTCTTCCTATCTGTATATGTCAATTATGCACAAGACAACCACAAAAGTGAGAAATTAACAACCAAATATGTGCAGCAGACTGAAAATGTACAATACGTGTCTTTTAAACAAGACTGCTATCCCACACACACCAATCAAATGAAGCTCTCGGTGATGTGTGGCCCTCCAAATCCCTGTACTGTAGTAAGCATACCATTTCAAGATATATAAAACAGGTGTATAACTTGTCACGTCCACTATAAAAAAAAAATCCCATTTTCTTTAATTTATCTCTGCTACTACTGTAGACACATACAGCACAATAATAAAAATTACTGGTATAATTTTTTTTTAGTTAAGGAGCAACACCGTCTGGAGAAACTGATCCCAACAATCAGGAGGGGAGGGTGTGTCACTGCACAGTACCTTGTCAAGGTTCACGGCGTCAGGCACAAGAGTGAGCCACTCCAGCTTCAAGTGCAGCTTCCCTCTGGGAACCTCGTCCAGAGTGAACCACTGCAGAGAGAGAGTTCAAGTCCAGTAAGGCTCTCTTGAACCAGAGACCCATGTCCAGCCCTGCCTCCACAAGCACTGCTGCTGCTCCCAGTGCGCAACCAAGCTGACGTGCCGAACCTCGTGTTCCAAGATGATGGCCAGGAACATGAGATCATCAGCCCCTCCCTAGGAAAGCCGCCAAGCAGCACTACCACCACTCCCATGCACGCAGGATTCGTGCCCTAGGAAGTCCTGCATGTAACTCACAGGGAGTTCAGAGGCCAAGAGACAGCCAGCGTGGTTCCCAAACACTGAACACTGGCATCAAACACTGGCTTAAAAACCACAAAATGGTCCATTAAAGAGGGTCCCTAACAGTGAGTGATAAAAAGCCCAAGGCTCTGTTCTGTTTGTCTTGTGCAATTGTGGGCAGGTGGCTGCTCTGGAAGCAGCAGGATCTCAACGCCAGTCTGGCTGGTTAGAGCTCGCTTGCTTAAATCTGACTATCTCTTAGAAGCCTCTATATATTTTTCCTCTTTGATGTTTTATTCTGATACCAATATCCCTGTTTGAAATAATATTTTCTTTTTCTTAAAATTTTTTTTTGTTATACATGGACACAATACCTTTATTTTGTTTATATTTTTATGTGGGGCTGAGTATCGAACCCAGAGCCCCACACATGTGCGGCAAGCGCTCTACCACTTAGCCACAACCCCAGCCCTTGAAATAATATTTTCTTGCTCTAAATTCTAATGGTATTTACAGCTCTCTTTTATAATCTGATTGCATGGTGCAATTTCTGCTATTAACTACAGATATCATGACAACTCCCCTTATTGGTGGGCTTCTCAGACTCTGCCCTAACCCTGTAGTATGCCACAGTTTGCCTGCCACAGAGTCAGCTTTATGTTCTTTTGTCCATAAGAATTTCTAGCATGTGGCAGGTACTCTATGCGAACCATCTGATTTGATATTTCTTTTTCTTTTTTGGTGGCAGAGACAGGGGATTGAACTCAGGGGCACTCAATCACTGAGCTACATCCCTAATCCTATTTTGTATCTTATTTAGAGATAGGGTCTCACTGAGTTGCTTAGTGCCTTGCTTTTGCTAAGGCTGGCTTTGAACTCGCAATCCTCTTGCCTCAGCCTGCTGAGTCACTGGGATTACAGGCATGTGGCACCTTGCCTGGCTTAATTTTTTTCTTTTTAGCTTGTTATTTTTAAAGGTCTACATTCTTTCGTTGTTTTTTTAATTTTTTTAGTTATTTTCTTTTTATGTTTTTTAATTTTTTTTTTTTTGTTATTTTTTAAGGGCCTGCATTCTTAATACTTATGGAGTAAATGCTGTCCTTACAGGATCAGCCAGGATTCCTGCACTGACAGTTGGGCAACAGCATGGTTCTCCCTATCTCTGACACACAGTAGGTGCTCAGGCAATGCTTATTAATATACCAAACTCAGAGAAAACTTACTTCATCTAAAAGGCGCTCCTTCTCAACTTCAATAAGATCAATCATAAGACTATAGGAATAACAACACAAAAGTTTAGAACACAAAAACACAGCTCTTACAAATGAAGTAATCTTAAGCACCTGTCTATGAAAAAGTACTCTAAAACACAACACAGGTGATCGGGAAGCAGGCCCCTTTCCCACAGGCATCCTCCAGCTTCTGCCCGAGTGTCAAGAGGAGCAAGGACAAGAGTAGGGCTTGCACTTCTGTGAGATCAGAGGCAGAGGTCAGAGCCGTCAAGAACTAGGCCCCCTCGGTGCAGTGTGCACGCCAGTCCTCGTGTTCTACACGCTCTGCTGGGTACTGCCAAACATCACTGTGCACAGCACTTGGCACGTACTGAATCAGGACTGGCTTTCTGTGCATGCTTGCTCTAGGCCCAACCTGACTTGGGGTCCCACGGAAGCCTCTGGCCAGCCTGTGTGAGAGGAAGCCTGCTCTACAGCAGAGAGTGCCCCACCCCACAGGGCCAGCAGCAACTGTGAAGGGACAAGGTGCTGGTGCTTCCTCCTGGCGGGCCCTCCTCTTTGCCCCTATGCTGTGGGTCTGTGTGGCCCTCTGCGCCCTGTCCATGGCAGCAGGCTCCTGCGGGTCTGCACCCTGCAGCCTCCAGGGATCTGCTCCCTGTCCTGCCTGCACTGCTCTGGTTGTCCTCTGCAGGCTTTTGGTTTCTGGAGCCAGGCCATGACACTCAGGGCTGTTCTTGATGAGGCTCAAATCTCCGCAGTGTCATCTATCTATTCCTGCATCTTTTTTTCTGTCATGATAAATTAAATAATAAAGATCAGGCAGAAGTCTATTTTTTAAAGTTTGTTTTCCCAAGCTATGTGAATTTTCAATTTAAAACCAATCATTATTACCATAATCTATATCATTTTAAATAAACAGTATTATCATTATTATTCTCTTGTGGCACAGGCGATTGAAAGGGCCTCAAGCCTGCTAGGAAAGTACTCCACCACGAATCAATATTTATTTTCTCAGTGTAGGACCAATGCAACTTACTATATCCCAGTAAACTGAAATAGCTGCACTCCGCACAGGGGCAGGCTCTGCATGTGACTACTGAGTGTCCTGGCTTGCTCCATTCTAATTGGCGGTTCAAGTACCCCTGGGTGGTCACTGTGACAGACAGCTAGAGCTAGTGGCTTGTCTTCTCTTCAGTGTGACTTTTTAGAAATTGAAGTGTCTTAAGAAATTAAATGTGAAACAAAAGTTGTATCTAAGAGGCATTTAAAAATGCACACATGTAAGTAAGTAGATTCAAAGCTCCTATCTGTGAGGGTAACTGACAACGGAGTGCCCACACTGTCCCCACAGCCAGGAGGCTTTCTTCACCTTCCCAAGAAGTCATCCTTGTCTGGGTCTTCATCAAAGAGCTCAATTTCCAGTTCTTGTCCGGGGTGTTCGTAGACCAAAGCCTGGAAGATTGATGGTTAGCAGCTATTGCATTTTTACTAATATAGTCTTCTATTGAGTACGATGGTTATGACAAATATTGCCATTAACCATTCTCCAGCAACAAACAGTTTTTACATTCAGCTTGATGACTGGGCCATTTGAAATGCTTGCCAATGTAGTGACAACCTACTATACCTACCTAGAGTTGACTGCATGACTTCTCAAAGCTCAAGTATATTCCTTCTTAGAACAACATCACAGGATGTCACCCTAAGACTGTCCAAGGTCTGGGACAGGGCAATGATGCAGGACCCACTGCCCAAGCCCTGAAACGGCTCCGTGCCAATGCTGCCCTTGAAAACCACCAGCTGTGCACTCACCTCGCAGAGTGGGACACAGGGGGACCAAGCACCAAGAACGGGAGGAGGGAGAGGTGAAACCCCTGTGCTCTGGAGAACAATCCATGATCTGATCTAGCATTCCTGGGATTTACACGGGGAGAACTGGGCAGGCGAAACAGAAATCCATGCCATCCTTGTACAGTGCCGCTGGCGCTCCCAGCCCTGCGCGGCCTGTCCTCCTACAGTGCCACTGGCGCGCCTGCCCTGCGTGGCTTGTCCCATACAGTGCTGCCACCCTGCGCAGCTTGGCCTCCCCAGGTAAAACACCAGGGTGCCACGCAGCGGGTGGTATTAAAACCACGTAGCTCTCCTTCACTGACATGTAAAGATGTCCAGATGTATTAAATGCAAAGTCTGCAATACAACATAATGTCTTTTTTGTGTTTGCGTTAATAACAACGCATGTTTCTTAGTTAGAAAAAGACAAACTATTCGCATTATGAAAAATATTTTTGCCAATTATTCATGATGATATCATTATACAATTAAGGTTTAAAAACCTATGTGCTCACATGGCAAGAACACTATGAGGAAGGGAGAGAAGGTACAGTGCTTTTAAAGAAAGGGAAATTAATACAAAGAAGTTAAACCATGGTCTCAACTGGCCATGCATCTGCACCGCAGACCTGAAGCAGACTCCCAACGCCCTTGCTCAGCACCGAGGGCACCAGGCCTTACCTCATACACCTCATTCCACTTTGGACTCAGGTTCTCTTTGATGACCTTGCTTTGGAAGATTTGGTTGCCCACTCGGATAATTCCATAGGGATCTGACTTTCCCTTGACAAGGCCCTTAAGATAAGTATCTTTCCCCTGAAGATCCTGAGCTTCAATGAAATGTATCCTTAGGACACCCTGAAAAGAAGTACAGCCATTTTCGTCATTCTCTGGTTCACTTATGGAGAACTGGAGGCAGCTGTGTGCCTGACCCTGCCCTAAGAACTGCTGAGGGAGCAAAACGAAGACTTTCTTCCCATTAGCACATATCCCAGCAGAGGCAGCGGAGATGTGGCAGGTCAGAAAACAAGGGCTGAGAAAAGGTGACAGTTGCTGGGCTTGTGGCACACACCTATGATCCCAGCTATGGGAGGTTCAAGGCCTCAGCAACTTAGCCAGACCCTTTCTCAAAATGAAAAAGGGCCAGGGATGTGGCTCAGTGGTAGAGCACTAGCCTAGCATGTGTGAGGCCCTGGGGTTGATCCCCGTACTGAGGTGGAGGTTGGTGGGCGAGAGCACAGGAGTGGAGCTGTCTAGAAGGGAGAATAGATACACCTCAGACACAGGAGAGACTCAGCCAAAGACACCTGCAGAGAGCTCCCTGGCAAAGAGACCCTGAGTAGAGGTCCTGGGGCTCACAGGCCCGTGTAAGCTGCCAGCAAGCCCGGGTCTGGTCTTAAGAAAGCAAGGATGAACATGACAGGAAACATCAGCACTGGATATAGCCATGACACCCAGTTTGTTTTTTTAACTGGGGATTGAACCCAGGGGTGCTTAACCACTGAACCATATCCCAACCCCTTTTAAAATATTTTATTTAGAGACAGGGTCTCACTACGTTGCTGAGGCTGGCTCTGAACTCACGACCCTTCTGCCTCAGCCTCCTGAGCGCTGGGATTACAGGCGTGCGCCACTGTGCCCGGCAACACCCAGTTTTAGAAGGGTATGAAGTGCTGTTATAAAACCTGCTTTATAGAGGACAACACTGGAACTTTGAAATAGGCGTTACCCATCAACTTCAATACAGTATTTTTTCTCAAATGTTGTTTGACTGAAAAGAAAACATTTACTCATGTTTCTCTCAAGGCAAACAAAGGTGGTAAAGTTTGGCAGGGTAGCATTCTGGCACCCAACCGGACTGGCACAGGAAGACAAGCGCTCTGTGGACACACAGTGAGATGTTTTTCCCTCATGCTTGCCTGAGGCTGAAGCCTGGAAGATCTGGCTCTTAGGCCCTGTGGGGTGAAGGGCAGCAAGATCCAGGTAGAATCGGGGCTTGCTGCACTCAGGGCACAGAAGGCCCACGCAGCAGAAGAACATGACAATTTCCACCTGCATCTCCAGAGGGGACACTCCTCTCCACCTTAGTGTCACATCACATCCGTCAAACGCCAACGGAACTACTCCTCTGGGCCTCAGATGAAAGGCCTGTGTGACTCTTAAACACAGGAGTGCTCAAGAAGGTCTGATGATCTATGTACTGCTGCTAACATCTAATTTAACCAAAAAAGGAAAAGGTGGGGAAATCGGTCTCCAGCTCAGGAGACAGGTGAGAACCACACATCCTTGAAACAGCACCCACCTGCCTCCTGTTTCAATGAAAGTGGCCTGACACATGTCAGCGCTGGGCCTTACTGCACCACAGCAGTTGTCTCCCTTACAACTGGAGGCTACAGTCCAGGCAGACTCAGGAGGTGGCACCTGACCCAAGGGGCTGGCACACTCGGGAACACCATACCCTCAGGACCAGTGGGGTTCCACACTCAGGCAAAGGGGCTCACAACCTCTGTGTGAAGGCATGAAGGGGACTCTGATGTCTGGGACGCAGCCCTGTGGGCCCAGTTACCCCATCTTACAGCTGCAGAAACTGAGGCCCAGCTGGCCAAGTCACACATCCACAAAACAATGTGCCACTGAGTTCAAGAATCTGCTCATCCAATTTTGTCCAAGTGAGCTGCTTTATAAGCCCCTCGTTTACCACATTATCACCAGGTGACTCCAAGCTAACCATTCCCCAGTGTCCCAGAGAGAGCTGATACACGTCTCATATCAAAATCCTCATCCTCTCAGTCACTGTGCTTGGGGCTGAGAGCGATTACAAACAAATCTGACGGACGCCTGCGGTGGTGACCAGGTTGTCTGCTGCTCCTGGCAGTCCTGAGAACTTGCACACCCTCTGCACTGTGGAGGAAAGGGACTGAGGTCCAGAGCTGCCCTGGAGTCTCTGACAGACTCCAGGCCTGACGTGCAGCAGCACCTCTCTTCGGAGTGTGGTTGGACAGCTGTTGCTATGTCGAGACCCACCTGTCTGAAAAGGCCGCCCGCCACGTGTCTGAAACGCAGAGGCGGCTATGGCACACTTACCTTTGGTATAGGAAACCGCAACTGGGCTATCTGAACTTCGCTGACAAGAGGAACAGTGATTCGATTGGGAAGCACCAAGTAGTTTGATATTATATCCAAAATGATAGTATCAGATAAGCCACTGTTATTTGGGAGGTAAAAAGAAAAAACAATCAGATATATCAACACTTGCTATCAACTTAACAAATGTCACCACCAACACAAGGTGGTGTCTGCTCACAGGGCAGGAGTAGGCTTGCTTCTCCAACATAACATCTAAAGCCAGCACACAGGGCGTCAGCTGGGCTGCTGCATGGTAACCAGGAGCGAGAATTCTAGCTACACTTCATAATTTCTAAATAACCTTCCATGTACTCCTAGCCGGCTTCGTCAAAGATTTAATACCTAACTAAAGCATTTCTATTAACATATACATTAACCGGCTCCATGTTTGTGTACATATTAAATTTCTCCCAAAGTATAAGGTTTCCGTTGCTCTCTTCATACCAACTAACAATTCTGAACTTCTATATACCGCTGCACAGCAAACTCGGTAACAAGAATATAATTGTTTAGAATAAAGGAACAAACATACCGTGTGTGTGCGCACATGCATATGTGTGGCACGTGGGACTGAACCTAGCGGTGCTGTACCACAGAGCTACACCAATAACCCATTTTAATTTATATTTTGAGACAGCCTCACTGAAATGCTGAGGCTGGCCAAACTTGAGATCCTCCTGCCTCAGGCCCCTGCAGGTGCTGGCCACTGTGGCCAGCTTGGTCGTCAATTCTTCTGAACAGACTTGGAGGGCTCAAGCTAGGGGCGCTGAACACAGGCTGTCTAAGGAGGTACTGGATGGTCCTGGGTGCTCTGGAACCTACGGTGTTCTTACGTAGAAACTGCCTGTGTTCACACTGAAAGAGTCCCTGAGTAAAGGGTTTTGGAGCATCCCCTTGCTGCTGTGCTGGTGAGGGAGAGAGAAGCAGAAGGGTGCAGGCCGCCAGAGTAGGATGGTGAGTGAGGAAGTTAGGGCAGGGTCAGAACAAAGGAGCATGCAGAGGGTCTTCTGAGGAGGTCAACTTCCCACAAGCGGGGGACCCAATCAGATAGACATGTCTGTACTTGTGCTCCTAAGAAACAGAAAACTAAAACAGATGTGTAGACATGGGGGGCACCAATCAATAACAGTGAGAAGCATGTGGACGACAGGAGATATGCAGAAGAGGAAATTCCAGAGACCACAGAAAGGACAAGTCAAACCCCCCAACCAGACTACTGGCTCTGGAGCCCCTTCTCTCCGGAGAAGTCCGTCTGTGGCCTGTGCAGTAAACCTGTTGACTGCTGTCTCTGTCCTGTTCTTCAGTTCTTTGCTGAATGGAGTCAATCAACCCAGCACCCCTGGACGGTAACACCTGTGCAGTTCATGCTGCACTGCCACACCTGCCCTGGTGTCCAGGAGCCAGTGGCCACTGGCCAGCACTCCACAGACCCTGCTCCTCCCACAGCTCCCGAGGCAGCAGCGGCTGGTCTGGGAGGCACTACTCCCCATCCTGTCCTGGAGCACTGCTGCTGCCTGCCAGCCCCCACTCGCCCCTCTACCTTCCACCCGCAGTGTGCTGCGGCGGGGGTGGCCACGGAAGTATTGCAGCACCACTCCCTCCATGGTGCCCGGCTTCCTTTCTGCATCCTGAGTGCAGCGCTGGCTGCCTGGCTGGCTGCCTGGTTCATACGCCTCCCCAGAGCTCATCCTGTCAGACGCAGTGTCGAACACTCACCTTTTTAGAAAACACTAATTTACTTGATAGTAGTGCTGAGGATCGAACCCAGTGCCTTGCAGGTGCGAGGCGAGTGCTCTACCAATGAGCCCACCCCAGCCTAAAATAAGTGTATATCTTCTAAAAAATATTTTTAGTTGTAAATGGACACCTTTATTTTATTTATTTAGATGCGGTGCTGAGGATCAAACCCAGTGCCTCACACATGCTAGGCAAGCACTCTACCACTGAGCTACAGCCCTAGCTCAATTAATGTATATCTTAATATAATTCTATATACAGAGAAGATCATATAGGAATATTTTATAGAATATATACATAAGATCTATACATAAACTAATGGCTAGAAGCATATTAAATAAAATGAAGCTAGATGTGTATAGGTATGTTTATTGTGTGCATATGTGATCTGAGACTGGCTACAGTCTTGCCAGAGCCCTGCACGCCCTTGGATGTCACCCTTCAGGTGGTAAGATGATGTGAATTAGAGGCAGCACTCAGCAAGTCCACTTTACTTCAGGGCAGACTGATGTACACACAGTTGTTGCCCTCACAACACTGAAGGGAAGCAAAGCAAAAGGAGACTTTCTTTTGTCCTTTTTGCAATACTGGGGATGGAGCCCAGGGAACTCTACACTGAGCCACACTCCCACCCTTTTCATTTTGAATGGGGGTCTCACTAAGGTTCGAGGCTGGCATGGAACATGAGGCCCTCCCGCCTCAGCCTCCCGAGGGGCTGGGACTGCAGGCATGTACCATCACACCTGACCAGAATAAACTTTCCTACACTAGCCTGAAGAGATGCTTCTTGTTTCCGCCTAGCTACCCCGCGAACATTCCCCTGCTTCCACTGAAGGATATTCCATTCACTAGGGTTTTCCCAAGCAACTAACCTATTTCTTAGCCTCCTTTAGGGGTACACAGGAAACAAATCTGATTACCAGAATCACAGAAATTGTGGACACATATGCTAACCCTGGGACTTTTTCTGGAACTAGCGAGAAGGGTTCATTTTTTTTTTTTTTTGTACTGGGGATTGAACTCAAGTGGGGCACTTGACCACTGAGCCACATCCCCAGCCCCACTTTGTATTTTATTTAGAGACAAGGTCTCCTGAGTTGCTTAGCACCTCACTTTTGCTGAAGCTGGCTTTGAACTCGCCATCCTCCGGCCTCAGCCTCCAGAGCTGCTGGGATTGCAGGCGTGCGCCGCCGTGCCTGGTCAAAGGGTTCACTTTTTGACAGAGGCTGCTGTCTACCGAGCAGAGGCTGGCAGCAGCTGTGGAAGGCAGGATCCTGAATGCCGAAAAGCAGGAGGGCTCACCATCTGCCTGACATCCTCAAACAACGCTCTGTGAGCGGGGAAACACCAAGGGAAGGCTAAGCTCCCTGGCAGCGGGATGAGCCGTCGACCACGCTGTACTTTCACAGGTTCCTGTCTGGTGGTGACTGACAGGCTGAGGGCCTGTCCATCACCCCCGAGTTACATGGGGCAGGGTGGTGGGGGTACTGTGTGCAGCTGTGGCACTCGGCTTCATGGTCTCAGATGCTTCTGAAATTTATTTTCGGTACTGGGAACTGAACCCAAGGGAGCTTTGCCGCTGAGCCGCATCTCCAGCCCTTTTTGAGACAGGCTCTCACTAAGTTTCCCAGGTTGGCCCTGATCCTCCCGACAGCCTCCTGAGTAGTTGGGATCACAGGTGTGCGCCACCTCCACTGGCTCTCAGATACTTTTTTTTTTAGTTGTTGATGGATCTTTATTTATCTTTATGTGGTGCTGAGAATCGAACCCAGTGCTTCATACCTGCTAGGCAAGCGCTCTACCGCTGAGCCCCAACCCTCTCAGATGCTTTTAAAGGGGCATTTTTTCTTGTTTTTCAGATACTGAATTGCTACAGATTATGAAGGGATTTCTAATGATATGATACAGAAATTTCACACCTAGGTTCCATTGTGGACCCAATCCTTTCAAGGAGGAAGGACAAGGGCAGCCACAGTTTGGAAAGAACACAAAAAGGGACAGAAAGGGTTAGTTTTGAAGCAGATTCATTTTCAAGTTTTCTCTATTATTTATGGAAAAATAGTAAAACTCAAGTTAAAAATTAATTTTATAGAACATTAAAAGGCTGTTACTTTTCTGAAATGCCACAACTGGGACAATGCCTCAGGACAAACAAGAAAACCAAGGGGGCAGCGGCTCCGGGGAGCACACTCCTGAGCCTGAGGGGGCTGTGAGGGCAGGGCTCCTCGTGCTCCCACTGCCCCTCCAGGAGCCGGCGGCAGCCACAACCCACCCGGGAGACCCGCCTTCAGCCTTCCCCAGTTGTTTCTGCGACACGGAGAGACAAGGCCTCACCTACCAGCCAACGGCGACAGGACGCACACAGGACTTACTTCAATCCAGGGATGTCCAGGAGGTTGGTCAGTCCTGTCCAGTTAATCTCTAACAGCTGTTTAAAGAAAGGGGGGCAAAAATGTTAAGCATCCAACTGCTGCCAGCAGTATAATCAAATGCACACAGCCCGCGTCTGTCACCTTCCCAGGGCTCACCCCGGGGTGCGTCAAGGGCAGGTTTCCTCCCTGTGTGTGCAGATCTGCCTCTGCCTTTGCTTTGCGACACTGCCGTGGTCTTCTCTAGAAGAACTATATAATGATGTATTTGCCCATCCTCTTACAGACAGGCACTTCCAACACTTGAAATCTCTCTTCTGCTACAAGTAATGATTTAGTGAATGTCTTTCTACACACATTTTCTCATCTACATGTGCAGACTAGCATTAAAAAAGTGAGATCTGAAGCTAAAAATTTATGTTCATTTTCATAAATGAACCTGACCTCCAAAAATACTGCTTCCAATTTATATTGCCAACAAAAATGTGTGAAAATGTCTTTCACATACCTGCACCAAAAACAGATGTTTCATGTATAATAAACAAGAATATATAATTTTAAAAAAAGATGTTAAAAAGCAGCCCAAATGATGGTACTTTATTACTGCTTTAGTTTGCATTTTCCAACGAGTGGAATACATTCAACCCACTTATGTGACATTGGTCATCCACCATCTCAGAAAGGAATTCCTCTAGTTAGCTAAGATCCCATTAAGTGGACGTGGACTAGTAAAACCACTGACTGGAAAAACTACTTTTCCTATCAAATGGAATCACGCAGTGAATCATGCAGTAAAACCACTTGTGTGTTGTACTCGTGGACAAAATGCTAGGTGAGCTGTATGCTCTCCGCTGCGTTCACAGCCAGGGAAACAAAGCTCTTCAAGTTTGCCCTGGAAGTCAGTGGTTACACACAAAGATGAATTGAGAGTCAAGATTCTGTTGGGTAGACTAAAACTAAGGGGAAAAAAGCATCAATTAAAAACTATAACTTTTTTCAGCATAGAAGTGATACATGAAACCTGGGAAGAAAATAAGAAAAATCACAGGTAGTTAATCTTACAGACGGAGTTCAGGCCCAGAGGTGATGGCCACCAGGGGTAACACCACCAGCAGCCTGCCTAAAACCTATAGAGCTTCTAGCAGGAGGAACCAGGCTTTGGAAAAGGGCTGATTCCAGGGCTGGGCATCCCTCTGACCACCAGAAGGACTGCTGTAAGCATGGTATATGCCACAACCAGAGACACACGCTAGGTGAGGGCTGGACAGTTACCGTCTGGGCAGACTGAGAAGCACCGTGACACTCTCAACGAGGAGGATGAGACGTTTCAGAACTGAGGAAGGAGAGGGTGCTCCCCAGTGTTACCACCCCTGACCTCGAAAAGCACTTGCACACGAGGCAGCTGCAGATTGATGAGAACGCGGTGACAGGGTTTTATTGTTAGTTTTGAAGGCCTTTTCTCTTGACCACAGAATGCTCAGAGGTGCAGTGTGGAATCTTTGCATTTGACTCAAGTTCAAATGCGAGCACTTTATGTGGTGCTCTCACAGAAGATGCCTGCGTCACGGCTGCAGCATCTGCAGAGCTGAGATGGGGAGCCAGAGAGCCCCAGGACAGGGCTGCCCTGCTGAGGGGAGATGGTAAGCTTCTGCAGGAGAGCCAGTGACACCACCATGGGTGAGACAGCACCAGGGAGAGAAGTCCACAGTGGCATGCAGTGAAGAGCGCCTCTTACAGACAGCTCCCCTCCAAGTGCTGCGACCACGCGTCACTGCGCTGCCACCTTGGAGACTGCAGTCCTAACCTGCTTAGAGCAGTATGACACTCACGTTTTGGGAAACAGAATTAACAATCCTATTAATAGCACTGTTAAGTAGTCATCTTTTAAGGAGAAGAATATAATGCAGAATACTTGAGAGCTGTGTTGTAATGAGACTTTATTATGTTTCCAAGTGGCTACATGGTATTTTTGGACCTGTTAAATACTTGAGTGAGACAAGGGCTGGCTTTAGAACTAAAGTCAGTGTGAAGCTAATTTTAGTTGGTGTTTTGGACCTGCTAAAATACTCAGGTGAAACAGAGACTGCCCTAAACTCAGAAGGCTGAACCGCCACATAAATTGCATTCTGGATAAAAATGCAAAAAAAGGACAAATGTAACTTGTCACATATTGTCAAAGACAAAAACATGTATGAAGTGAATAAACAACAACAAAGGAATCTGCTCCCAGTCCTGTTCCCCAAGATTCACATGCTTCATGCTCTTACTGCACGCAGCAATCCCAAACACATGCCCACAACCAGTTTTGACATCTTGCTTGTTTGATCAATATTATAACCCAGAACCCAAGAATTAACTCTAGTTATAGTGACTCATCAGCTTTTCCTCCAGCTGTACCCTGCTGCAGATCGGTGGAGAATACAAGACATGCCCCAGGCTGATACTGGAAACTTACTATGTCCTGTACAATTGTGCTATAGAGAAATCCTTGTAGCCAGCACGGTGGTGCTGAGGCTGAGGCAGGACGATAGCTTGGGCCCAGGAGCTCAGGGCCAGCTGAGCAACATAGTGAGACCCTGCCTCTTAAACCAAACACAGAACAGAACAAAAGAAAACCCACTATGAAGTGTGTTCTGGCGGGCCTCTACTTGTTTTGTTTAAAAAAGTATGCTTCTTGGGCTGGGGCTGGGGCTCAGCAGTAGAGCGTTCGACTAGCACGTGCGAGGCTCTGCACCACATAAAAATGAATGGATAAAATAAAGGTATTATGTCCAATTACTTCTAAAAAAAAATAAAATAAATGTTTTTAAAAAAAAGTATGTTTCTGTTTTAACTGATGGAAATGATGTTCATCTGCCTATGAGTAAGCCTGCTATTGCATGAAGATTTTAAAGGTATGATATGGCACTAAAATAAACATTTTCTAGTATTTTAAATATTAAAAACTGCTCCTAGCCGGAAAGTAGAATCTCCACAAATGGGCATTAGTAGACTAGCTGTACTTGTGGGAACCAAAAACCAACTCTATGAAGACGATGGAGAATTCAGAAAGATGTCTTTCTGCCACAGAAGCAAGGGCAGAGGGCATAAAACTAGGGAAAAATTATAATGTTTTTCAAAGAGCATGAAAGCATTACACAAGAGCTTAAAGGTTTATTGGAATAAGTCAAAGAAGGAAGCAAAACAGATATACATTTTAAAGTTATATGTATAAAACTGGCTTAAAAAGTAGGTTCAAATTTAGGATTTGTCACAGAACTGAGAACAATCAAATCTTTGAGTTTTACAGATAAGAAAACTGAGACCCAGAGGAAGTGATTTCACTTGTAACCCTTTGAACTCCACAGCTGCGTGACAGTAGGACAGCAGGGTCTCCCCATGGGACCCACGGTTTTAAAGGACGGCCTCTGCTCTAAGGCAGCCCTGCTCCCAGGCCCTGATGTGTAAGGCCTCCCTGTCCTCCAGTTGCTCCATAGGGGACCACCCTGGCCACACCTGCTCCTAAGCATCGCCAGCTTGGCTTGGATGAAGTTTATTCATGCTTCTTCCTCTCACATGAAATGACTGAGATGCACCTGAGTGCTGCTGAAGTTCACAGAAACAAACCTTCAAGGAGGCAGGGGCAGGATCCGAGGGAGGGCAGGACTGAGCTGGGTTCTGAGAAGAGTCTGAATGCAAGAAGGCAGGCCCTGGGCAAAGGAAAGGTCCCCATACTCAAGGCACTGAGCAGTACATGGCTTGTCCCTGGGCACAGGAGCTGGGAGCAGGGGAATCCGGCACTGAAGATCAGTGGGGGAGACTGGGCAAGCCTGTGGGTGAGGATGAGTGTGAAGATGAGTGAGAGGACAAATGTGTGAGGCCCAGTGTGTGGTGGGCGAGGTCAAGGATGAGAGAGTGAGAGCATGTATGCACAGAGCTCAAAAGCTCCCCTTGGAAGTCAGACAGGACACAGAAGAGCTGGGAGCAGCCTGACCAAGGCAGTGCTCTGGGAAGTGCCTCACAAAAGCAGGCCAGAAGCTGCCCCTGCTGGCCTCTACAGGGCTCCAAGATTCCTGAGGGAAAACGCAACCAGTGCTTCTGGATGACTAAGAGCTCTGTTTCAGAGACTGAGCAGTGAGTGGAAATGTGTTTCCAGGCACAGAAGTTGTCTCTGGGCGCTGGTGGCTCTTCCGTGAGAAGGAGAACATGAGCGGCAGCTGGAAAGGCACACCAGGTTCACTTGAACAGCGAGGCACATCCACGCGCTTCATGAACAGCAGAGGCCCTTCCCTACTGCTAGGGGATGCACTGTCTGACGGGGCAGTCCCACTGCTGGTTCCAAGCACGAGTGGCCCTTGGGAGGTCAACGCAGGCCAGGCACCCAGGAATCTGTTAAGAATACAAACTGACGGCTCTATTCTTCTCCAGTGGGGTTTTCTCCCCAGTGTTTCTGATTTAGTGATTTGGGTTGGAGTTAAAGTTCAAGAATGCTTTCCTTATGTTTTAAAGTCCCAGATGTCCAGCTTTCCCTGGAGTATGAAACAGTGAAGCAACTACCACTCCTGACGGCATGGGAGAGCTGAGCATGGAAGAGGACAAGGCCCCTACTGGGCAGTGAGATGAGTCCAGCTAGACCCTAAAGAAAGACCAAAGGCCAAGTATGGGTGAGCCAGAGACCCACAGACACTGGGCATGCACGCCGGAAGGCTCCTGCACTTCTGCAGGAGAGTGGTCAGGAAGGGGAGCACCACAGAAAGGCACAAAGAAAGCCCCGTCCCCCCTCCACCTTAAAGGACAGAGGCCACTGGGGGAAGGAAGCACAGGTGAGGTCCCAAAGCGAGGTCCCTTGGGGGTGTGGCAGGACAGTCTCAGTACCACAAGACCCACCACAGACAAAGGACACATGGAGGAAGGGCAGCTGCTGAGAGAGCTCACCCTAAGGCCCAGTACAGACAAGGACCACAAGGGGTAGGACAAGACTGTCAAAATAATGAAAGAGTTCAAATCACAGTTCCGTGAAACTTATCAGAATAAATGTCCCCAAAGTTTTCGGGTCCCTTAAGGTGTGGTCTGAGTCTGGATGTGTCCGCAGCTGGCCTGCCGGGCAGCAGGGATGAGCTCCTCAAGCTTCGTCCACTCCCTCGTCCCTGTTCCCCAGGCCTGGTCCAGTGTGAGGGCGGAAGGAGGGAGGCTCGGAGCCTCCGGGGGGTGTAGTGGCACGACTCTGGCAGGGGCTAGAGAACCAAAGCCGGTCTCGGAGGGAGGAGTGGAGCAGAAGCGTGGCAGCTGCCACCTGCGTGATTCCTGGTTCCAGGTTGTCCTGGGACTCGCCTGCAGCCCTCATGTGAGGCTCACGAGACAACAACATATGCTATTGTTATTTGTAATTAAGTTCCTCTCCTCTGCTGCCCCATTTAAAATACTTAAATTTCTCGAATCTTAGTCTAATAGGACTCAAGTTCTTCTCACACTAACTCTAAAAGGAGGATATCATTTCCATTTGCCAGATGAAGAAATAAATTTGTGGCTCAAAAGACATCAGCAGCAGCCCCTCCCTCCTGGATGGAAGGAGTCCTGAAAGATGCACACATCCAGAGCAAGCCCTGTGAGGGACCTCGGGTTCACCTCAGCTTCAGGGCACTTCTGGGTTAACACCCTTCAGAATGCACACCTGAGGCACATCAGAAGGTTCCCTGGGATAACAGCCAAGGGTAAACAGGCACCATTTTGGTTCTTATCAGTTGTTTTTTGCAGTGCCCCAGCACGTGCTAAGCAGAACTTGGTCACTGAACCTCAGCCCTTATCAGAACACTGGCTCATGTTTTCCTTCTTTCCAATCACCATAACTCACCTCTAGTGTTCAGGAGCTAGAATGTGAAATCTGAGTGTAGCAAAATGTTTAATGTCTTAAAAATCTAAAAACTCACTATGTGCCAGGCATTGTCCATTTTACATGAACTGACATTTAATTCTCACATTTAATCATGCTGTCACCCCCATGTTACAGACAGGGAAACTGAGGCTCCGAGAAATGAAATGAGCTGTTCAAAGCACACAGCAGGAAGAGAAAGAACCAGGAGTGGAACCAAGTGGTAGGAAGCCTGCTACATTAAACTGTCTTCCCCTGACCCCAAAAGCCGATCGCTTCAGTAAGTGTGGGGTTTTCCCACAAATTCCATATCTTCAAAACTAATGTGAGCAAATCGACAAGCAGAAAAATGTGTAAGTTTCACATGAATCTCTGGCACTATACTTCCAAATCAGACAGACAGTAAAAAATAATAAAACTAAAAAATCCTTCTACTGCATTTTTTTTACCAGGGTGAGGGAGAACTACTTGGCAGCTAGCAATAAATCCATTCTCATATTTTCCAGCTAAAAGTAACTAAAAAAATTTCCTTCCCTCTGAGGCATGTTTGGTGACTTTACTCACCATATAAGGAGATGGGAGATTCTGCACTTTCAGTCTCATCCCTTGGGCAAAAAAATATAATTTGGAGGTTAATACTGTAAAGTTATTTTAAAGTAAATTAATCTGTAGAAGATCCAAACTAAGTAAGAGCACTGCTAAATTTTGAAGAAGACTAAAATATTTGGATTTTGTTACATTCCAGGAAAAAAAAAAAAAAGACTTTTCGGTAAATTGTTAAGAATGCCCTCAGCCAAGGAGGAGTAAATTTAAACTATTCAGCAATATGCTAAAGAGTCCCCCTCCCCCAATGGTGCTGAGGATCAAACCTAGGACTTCATGCATGCTAGGCAAGCACTCTACCACTAAGACACCCCCCAGCCCCTATTCTCTCTTTTTCTCTCACTTCAAGAGACAGGTTCTCCCTATGTTGTCTAGGCCAGCCTTGAACGCCGAGGCTCAATTGATCTTCCCTCCTGCCTCAGGAACTACAGCCATGTGCTACAGTGCCTAAGATTAACTTTTTATAGTCATTAGTGAAGTCGGTTTCTTATACATACTGGTTTTAAAATAACTGATATGTGAAAAAAACAAGAATTTTATTTATTTATTATTCATTCATTTATTTTTGTGCTGGGGGATTGAACTGAGGGCCTCAAGTATGCTAGGTGAATACCCTACCACTGAGCTTATCCCAGATTAAAATATGAATTTGAAATTTTTTATAGATTTCTTCATTTCCTAAAATTTTAAACAAGTAAAATTTGATACAGACTCTAGAAGCTTTTAAATTTTACATGTTCTATAGGCTTAAAATGCATTTAAAATAAGTCCATGATTTAAGCAATGAGTCAATGAGAACAAAAATGTTAGTGGTTACAGAAAGCGAAGACACAATTCTGTCTTTCCACAGAAAAAGTACAACCTGCAGGGCTGGGGTTGTGGCTCAGTGGCAGAGTGCTTGCCTAGTACATGAGAGGCCCTGGGTTAGATCCTCAGCACCATATAAAAATAAATAAATAAAACAAAGGTATTGTGTCCATGTACAACTAAAAAAACTAAAAAAAAAAGAAAAAAGAAAAAAAAGTACAACCTGCACTACACTTAGTTTGACTTAGATAAACCCATATTTTAAAAACAATAGCACACATCTATATTCCCAGCAGCTCAGGAGTCCGAGGCAGGAGGACTGAAAGTTCAAAGCCAGCCTCAGCAACTTAGTGAGACCCCGTCACAAAATAAAATGTAAAAAAAAAAGTGCTGGGGATGTGGCACAGTGATTAAGCACCCCTAGGTTCAATCCCTAGTGCCAAGAACAAAACAAAACCATACTTTTAATTATGTTATTTGAATCAACCTATATGAACTAACATTCCTGCTTTAAACTACAATGCTATTAAAGGCACCTTCCCAGAGGACTCTCAGGACACCCCGGAGTGGCAGACCTACAAGAAGCTGTTCACTTGCAGACATCTGCTGAGCTATATGGAGACAGCTGCCCTTACTTTCAGAATCACCTACAATGGCCTAAAATGGTACTCTGTCCCATGAAGGGACATGTGGAAATTTTCTGGAAATAAGTGTGTGGGGGGGGGAATTGAAACCAACATTCTGGGTGGAAGGAAAAAGTTGAGGGAGGAGCCAGGTGCAGTGGTGCATGCCAGCAACTCAGGAGGCTGAGGCAGGAGGACTACAAGTTCAAGGCCAGCCTCAGCAACTTAGTGAGACCCTGTCTCAAAAATATAAAAGGGGGTAGGAATGAGGCTCTGTGGTTGAGCACCCCTGGGTTCAATCCCTGACACCAAAAAAAGAAAGAAAGAAAGAAAGAAAGAAAGAAAGAAAGAAAGAAAGAAAGAAAGAAAGAAAGAAAGAAAGAAAGAAAAAGGAGGAAGCAATGGAAGGGGAGCTGACAATTGTCCTGGTGTCAGTCATTGCCTGTGGCTGGAACTTGGGATGTGTGCTGGGACAGCAGTGGGAAATGAGGCTGAGAGAGAAATTCCTCCCTGTCACTGTGTCCTGTCTGTAAGGGCAGGGCAACTCCCAGTGGCCAATTTGCATCTAATAGGAGTGCACCCTGAAACAGCGCCAGTCAGAGGCCGTGGTGCTCAGAGAAGGAGGGACTCTGTCTGGTAGAAGCAACAGTTGTGTTGTCATGTGTTTTGTTAACAGTAAGTGATGAATACTGCCTGTTTACATATCTAACATCACGAGATGGTAACATTACAGCTTATCCAAGTCAAGAAAAGTATTTCATTTTAAAACACAGTACACAACACTATGCACAGTCGATCAAATGTACCCCCCAAAGGGAAGGAACACATCCAATAGATATCAGCACTTGTCTCGGGAGGGAGCAGGGAGGGGTCTCAGGTAAGACACTGTATGAAGTGTTGGAAACATGGTTCTCTATGGCTAGTCCAGACCTATATGCAGGCTCCAGCTCTCAGTAGCTGTATGACCTGGACAAACAGACCTCTCAATCCCACTTCCTGATTTGGAGGCATGAAGGTTAAAAGAGAAAGACTCTATCACTTAACCTCAGTGACAGGCACTAAATAAAATGGTTGCTAAACCTACACTTTTTAAAAAGTTTGTGTTCTCAAATTTTCTACAACAATCATTTTCATAATCACAAAGGAACATTGCTTATCAAGAGATGAAGTCTTCAGTGAAGGCACAAAGAGTATGAAAAAACTCACAGGACACATGCATCAGAAAGGGAAATGAGCAAGTTACAGATAAAATTTGGTCCTTCACTTTACCTATTCTTCCGTAGGTCCATAAACATAGCACAAGTGTTGACTTACTGGTTTTCTGAGGAAGAAGATGGACAGAGCTCCAACCAAAGGCATGTCTCCAATCAGAGGCTCCAGGATCACCCTCATCGTTCCGTGGATCTAAACGAAAACAGGAAACCAGAATGAATAAGAGAAGGTAGCTCTGCAGGGCCACGAGGGACTTTCAAGCATCTGACTTCCTGGGTCACTCTACGATCACAAACACACACTCACTTTAAAAACTTTCTGAGCTAGGACAAACTTCTTAATTTTCTTTTTGAATACAGATTAGAGAATTTTATAAATGAAATTTTAAAAAAAGTACCTGTATACTTTTCACACCAGCTCTACAAAAATATCGTTTGATCTCCAAATCGATCTCACAATTTCCTACAAAACTAGCAAAGAAAAAAATCTGCATTACATAAAGCGAGTGAAATTAACTGTTTTTTTGAATCACCATAGAACCTCAAGGTTTACAACAGTAAAGCAACCAAAATCAGACTGAAGGTGGAAACTGGACAGTGTGACCCGAGTCATGCACTGTGCTGCTCTAGGTCACAGGCACAGCTGTTACCAGACCTAAGGGAGGGTTGCCATACGCACACCTGTCATACATAAACACTCAACTAAAGTGAAGTGTCCATCTCCAAAGATAAAATGCGAACTACAAGTGCGACTCCTGGATCACTGGGTGAAATGTAGTCCTTACTTGTCATACAAATCCTGTTTGCTTAACACATAAAAAGGTTCTGATTTCATTTCATCACTAGGAAACCCTATACCCCTTCTCTCCAGTCATGAACATGCTGTGGTTCAGGTGCTCCATGGCTCTGTGACGTCATAGGTTGGACACCGTAGGTCTGTTCAGGGCTTACCTTTACAATGATCAACAAATGTGAGCCCACTATGACACTGAGTGCAAAGTGTGCTGTTTTCAATAAGAACATGATAAGCCAAATACGTATCGCACAGGGTAGGGCAGACTGGAGCCGATGCTTGGCCTTTGCAGCAGGGCATCACATTCCTGCTTAGGCACTCTTGTGGAATTTGACGAGCACGGTCCAGGAATGCCAAGCCAGATGTGGAGAACAATAACAAAAGGGATCAGGGATGAAATTTTTCCAAGACTTATTTCCTAGTGTTAAAGCCCAAACCTACAGTTCTTCTCAATGAGAATGACTTCCTAGTTGGTGAACTCACCAATAGCCTGTTACAAAAATCATCACAAAACTTTACCTTTCTTCACCTAAGACTTTGTTCTTTTATTTCCTAATTCTTTTCCATTTCTCTTTCCCCATCCCCACTACCAATGTAGTTAAGAACTTTGTATGGAACTCAAAAAAAGGAGAATGCATATGCTGCTATGGCTGCATCTTCAAATGACATCCATTAACTGATTTACTCAAATGTTTATTCAGGAAACTCACTTGGGCTAAGGGACCTGAACAAAAGAACAAAGTTTCCACCATCATGAAGCTCATCATCAGCCCTGTGGACAGGCATTCTAAAGAAGGACCTACCCTAAAACACAAGTGGGCCTCCAGGAAGCTTGTCATTGGCCCTGTGGACAGGTCTTCTGGCCACAGCCTCATGAAGATGCAAGTGGCCCTTCTCTTATTCCACTGATGACAATGTTTTTTGCACAAATGTCAAACATTTTAAAAGGTGCAGGTTTTCTCAAAGACATTCTATGTTCTTTTCTAAACTAAAGGTAATTGGCACCTACTCTATTCAGTTATTGTATTATTGCAACTTAGTTTGAAAACTCATAAATGACATAAAATGATCCTTAATCAAGGGTCATTTTATGACAGACCACTCTGAACTGCTACAACCACTCAGCTGTTCTGCATCCACAGTGTTTGGCACTCACCCTGCACAGCAGGCATCTATCTGTTAGCACTTGTCATAGTCTGAATCTGAAATGCCCCCAAAGGCCCATGGGCTGTAGGCTCAGTCCTCGGCCCTGGCCTTACCGGGAGGTGGCAGACCTTCTAAGGGGTGGGGCCTAGTGGAAGAAAGTCAAGTCGCTGGGGGCATGCCCTCAGAGGGGATGCTGGGACCCTTCCCTCTCTCTTCATTTCGCAACAGTTGCAGTGAGCAGTATCCTTTCCCATTGCTCCCGACGGGACTTGTTTCTCATCACAGGCCCAAAGGAAACAAGGCCAAGTGACCCTGGACTAAAACCATGAGCCAAAATAAATTTATCCCTTATAAATAGTTTATCTCAGATATCTGTCAAGAGTGACAACAAGCTGCCAGTCAGGCCACACCGGAATGCAGGAAGTCACAAGCACGTTCATTTCAATAAGAACCAAGACAAGAAGCAGGCGTGCTGGTCAGCTTCTTGTCACGCTGACCAAAATACCTGACAAGAACAACTTAGAGAAGGGAAAGTCTATTTGGGGCTGGTGATTTCAGAGCTTTCAGTCCAAGGTTGGACAACTTCACTGCTGAGCCCCAGGTAAAGTAGAGCATCATGGCAGAAAAGCATGGCTGAGGAAGGCAGCTCAGAACATGCAGCCAAGAAGCAGAAGGAGAAAGGGAGGAGCCATGGGGACAAGATACAATCCCAAGGCCACATCCCCAGGGACCCCCTCCTCCAACCACACCCACCTGCCCACAGCCACCACCTGTTATTTCTCTACTTGGACTAGGATGGACTGAGTAATCAGGGACAGCTCTCGTGATCTGCTCATCTTGCCTCCGGCCATTCCAACACAGGAGCTCTCAGGGACACCTCACATCCAAACCATTAACACAAGGAAATCCGCCTTTTTTATTCTAGGCATGGTACCTGGCAGACCCTCAGATTTGTTTGTTTGTTTTGCAACTTAAAAAAATTGTATTAAAATACACATAATCTGGGCTGGGGTTGTGGCTCAGCGGTAGAGCACTTGCCTAGCATGTGTGAGGCACTGGGTTCAATCCTTGGCATCGCATAAAAACAAATAAATAAAATAAAGGTAGTGTTCATCTACAACTAAAAAAAAATTTAAATATACATAAAATTTATCATTGCAACTATTCTGTGTATAGATCAGTGGCATAAAAAACATCGGTAAGGGGGCTGGGGATGTGGCTCAAGCAGGAGCGCGCTTGCCTGGCATGCATGCGGCCCAGGTTCGATCCTCAGCACCACATACAGAAAAAAAAAAAAAAACAAAGATGTTGTGTCCGCCGAAAACTAAAAAATAAATATTAAAAAGTTCTCTCTCTTTAAAAAAAACAAAACACCCGTAAGGCCATGCAAACATCACCACCATCCATCTCCAGAACCCTCTCTTCTTGCAAAGAGTGAAGCTTTGTACCCAGTAACACTAACTCCCTATTCCTCATCCTCCAGTCCCTGGTTGCCCGCCATTCTACTTGGCTTCCCAGAGTTTGTTTGCTCTAGATTCCTTAAGTAAGTAGCACTGTACTGTGGTTGTCCTTTAGCACTTGGCTTATCTCACTAACATGATGACCTCAGTGCTCTTCCACGCTGCAACATGGGCCAGGATTCCCTTCTTTTCTAAGGCTGGGTAACCTGCATACACCATATTTTTGTATATGCATTCATCCTTTCCTGGACATCTGAGCTGCTTATATCTATTAGCTATTATAAATACATTTGTGTGTCACTTAACAATAGGGATACATTCTGAGAGACTCATCAGCAGGGGATTCCATCATTGTGTTAATGTCACAGAGGACACTTACGCAAATCTAGATGGCTACCCTGTCACTGAGCAAAGTCACCTATGCGACCACCATTGTACAATTGGTCTACCATTGACGGAAGTGCAGTTATGCAGTACATTCACTATAATAAACAAAGGTGTTCAAGAATCTGTCTAGTCTCTGCCTTCAATTCTTTCGGGTTTATCCCCGATAAGATCTGAGTGTGTTCTCCAAAAGTTCGTGAGTTAAAACCTTAGTTCCAGTGTTGGGAGGTGAGGCCAAGTGACAGGCATCTAGGTCATGAGGTGCAGCCTCTTGTAAGAACACCTTTTCTCACCAGAGTACTTATACCTGAGAACTGGACTGATTTCACATATTGAATCACCCTTGCGTTCTGAGAATAAACCTTACTTGTTCACAGTATATAATATGCTGCTGAATTTGGTTTGCTAGTAATCTGTTGAGGATTTTTACATCAATATTCATAAGAGATACTGACTGGTCTGCAGTTTTCTTACAATGTTTCAATATCTTTTATTTAACACATTTTATAAATGGTATTTATCTAGGATATTTAGTCAAATTCAATAAACAACAGGTAAAAAATGTGCTCATTATATTCTTCACCTTGCGGATACAGCTAAGTGACATTATCCATCACTAACCACCACACAAGTACAACACAAATAAAAAAACTTACCTAATCTGAAGGTCCAGAATAATCTGCCTTTTGTCTACATTTTCAGTATACACCTTAACACCATTGACCCTAAGGGGCTGAAACAAAAAGCAGCTTATTTTAAAATACAGAAAGTTAAAAAAAAAAGTCAAACATTGAATATAGCACAGAGGTGATGAGAACCAGCCTTAGCACCAGACTGAAGGGACTATGATTCTGCTCTCACAACACACTGGCTAGCTGCCGGACTCCAAGCAAACTATCTAACCCCATTCCTCAGTCTTCTCCCCTATAAGAAGGACTGCGTACACTGCCCGTTGTGCAGTAAGCACTCAGTAAAAACTGGCATCACTGCTGTTCTGGGCACATGTAATTTTTGTACTCTTCCAAGACCCTCACTCTGTCTCTTTCAATTTAATTTGATCCTTTCCCTGTACTCCATCCTTACTACATTGTTTGAAACATAATTTCACTTTTTTTTTTCTGTATGATTGGCAATGCTTCATTTCTGAAGATTTTCACAAAAATGAGGCTTCTGAGTGAATCAAAAGTCAAAGTGTAGATGTAATATCAACACCCAATATATGAAACAGGTAAATGAATGCAAACACAAAAGGCAGATTATTGGTATTTCAAGGGTTCAGGTATAACATCATCACATCAAAGCCTTTCTCCATTTGTAAATCCTGGATCCCTTGAAGAAAGCCCTTGAGCATTAATGCCGACAATGGGAGCTTCCCTTCAGAGGACTGCTGCTTACTTGAGTCTGAATGCCTTGAAGTCTGGCCTCTGGAGGAGCCACACAACCACACTTAGGCTTCGCCAAAGAGTCCGTGCCTCTCCTACCATCCCTGGCTCCAGAGTGTCCCCTCCACACTAGGTGTTGTGGCTTGGGTATGAGGTTCCCCCAGAAGCTTCTGTGGGAATGCAGGAAGGCTGGGAGGTTAAATGACTGGACTGGGAGGGCTGTGACCTAATCAGGTCATCCTAGTTTGAATGGACTGCTGGGTGGTAACTGTAGGCAGGTGGGATGCTAGGGGTGTGCCATGGACGGGCTCCTCTTCCCAGTGACCACTTTCGCTCTCTCCGGCCCTCTCTCGGCTTCCCAGCAGCCTCCCTCAGTGGCAGCCTGCCCCTATGATGTGCTGCCTCACCTAGGACCCAGAACAATGGAGTGAGCTGTCTACGGACTAAGACCCAAAACCATGGGTCCCAAATAAGCTTTCCCTTCTCTAAGTTGTTCTTGTTGGGTATTTTGGTCACAGTGTCTCAAAATTTGACTAAAACAGAAATTGGTACTGAGAAGATGGGTTGTAACTGTGACTAACCTGACTGCTGGTTCAGAAGTCTTTCAAGCTGGAGGAATTTTGAAGTTTAGAGATGTAAACCAGAAAATTTTAGAATGTTGTAAATGCAGCTTAATGGGTGGCACTGGTGGGACCCCAGGACAGAATACCTATTGAGTACAGACTGTACTTATGAGGTTTCAGAAGAATTGAAGACTCTTTGGGGAATTCGCCTAGAGGCCACTTGTATTGTATTCTGGCAGAGAACTTGTCTATATTTTGCCCTTTTTTTTTTTTTTAAGAGAGAGAGAGAAATTTTTAATATTTATTTTTTAGTTCTCGGTGGACACATCATCTTTATTTTATTTTTATGTGGTGCTGAGGATCGAACCCAGTGCCTCACATGTGTGAGGCAAGCACTCTACCACTGAGCTTAGCCCCAGCCTCTGAACTAAAAATTTATTTAATAGAGGAAATTTCAAAGCAGTATAGTATTCGTTTGTGGCATTTGCAGGCATGTTTTAGCCAGATTTACTATGAGAATCAGGAGTAGAAAGCAAGGCTAAAGGATTTTAAAAACAAGCGATTTGACCAGAAGAATGCTTATAAAACTGGGGACAAGAAATAGATTACAACCCCTAAATTGCACAGAAGATAGGAGGAAGAGGAAAAAAATGCCTTTAGGACACCTCAGGAATGTGTAAGACCAACCACACCCATTGCAGGCTAAAGGATCCAGAAAGAAAAATTCCCTTGAGAAGAGATAGTGGGAGCACCCTGCTAACACAGGGGGTCTAGGAAGTTGCTTCACCATGATGAACCTTGCAGGCACTTAGAGGTTACTGCACTCATAATTCCAGGGTCCAGGTACTGCACTAGCTGGCAGCAGCAGACCTCTGCATCATCCATATGGTGCTGGTTCTGCAGGAATGCAGCATGCTAAAGTTGAGGAAACCAGGAGGCTCCCATGCATATTTCAAAGACAGGCCTGGGAGCCAGGCAAATAGTAGCAGGGTCTGAGTCCCTGCAAGGTGCCCCTGAGGCAGCCGTGAATGAAGCTATGCAAGTGAAGCTGGAATGGAGACCCTAGAAATTAAAGATGCCAGTAATGTGCATTGTCCGCTGAGAAAGGCTGCTGGCCATGCAGAGAGCAAGGCTGAAGAGACCACGTGTGCTGCACCCAGCATGGCCAAGGGCCAGGCTGCCAGGCTTCTGTAGAACGTATGTCCCTGCCCTATGTCCTATGCTGTACAGAGTCACAAGCAGAATTAGGAAACCTGTTTGCCCAGCTGGGTTTCAATCTTAGTTTTGGCTCACCCATTATTTCTATGCCCCATTCCCTAGTCCTTTGGAATGAGAATGTTCACTCTGTACCACTCTATATTGGGGAGATATATATATATATATATATATATATATATATATATATATATATATATATATATAAATAAAAAACTTGCTATTGATTTTTACAGGGGTGCATAGCCAAGAGTTTGCCTTGGGTCTCAGAGGAGACTTGGGACCTACCCTGGGGGTTGCTTTTTCCTTGAGGTCTCCCTCTGTTTTCTGACACTGCAATAAGCTTCACCCTTCCTCCATGATGTGCTGCCTCATGTTGGGCCCAGAGGGATGTAGTTGGTTATCTATGGACTGGAGATCTCTAAAATCATGAGCTCCAAAAAACTTTCCCTCCTCTAAGTTGTTCTTGTCAGGTATTTCGGCCACAATGATGCAAAAGCTCACTGAAAAACAAGACAAGACACGTGGACACTGAGGAACCACTCACAAACCCGATCAGCCCACTCTGTGGGAAATGAAAATGGGTTACCTACAACGTCCCTTACTTAAGGATGCACAGTAGCCAACACATGCCCTTCCCAAGCATAAGTGCCATCTTAGATTAGGGGAAGCATTAAGAAAAACCCAACTCCAGATGACTGAGAGTGACCTCACATGAGAAAGCTCCACAAACGGGATTCCATTCACGCTCTGGAGTTCTGGCAGGGACAGCAAGGCTTAGTAGCCACTTAAGAGATGTTATGGGGTAGATAGTAATAATGAAAGCCACCTTAAGTGACCTCCCTTTCTCTCCTGTGACCTTTCCCCTAGGTCTCCAGTGACCTGTCCTCCTCGACTGTCACTCTTCCGTAAGGTGTTCTTTAACCATCACTCTATTGCTTCATTCTTCTCCAAGGTTCTTATTAGTTGCTATCAAAACTCAAGCATGTGTAACAGAACATGAATATCATTAATAATAAACCCAGCGGAGGTTAGACTTCTAAATCTCCATAAACACGAGCATTCTTTCCAATAGGGGACAGTAGTAAACTTGGTCTGTAAGCTACAGTGATCTTTGTCCTATTTCTTGTACAGTCTGTAGCTAAGAATGGTTCTCACCATTTTAAAGGATTTTAAAAAGAAGGAGCGGAGAAAAAGAGAAGAAAACGCCATGAAGAGCTTGAATATGTACCATCCAGATAGTCACAGAAAGGCTTGTGACGCTACTTCCCAGTTCTTTAACTTGTATCCATGTTTTCCCTAACTGCTACTATCAGTTTAGCTCATGGAAGTAAAGCAGCAGTACCCACACAGGGTCACCCAGGCAACCTGTGCAGATACCGGGACACCTGAACAGGGCAGTTGTGCATCCTATGTGGACATCGAAAAGCTAAGAGAAGAAGCCACCATAGGCTGGGCCGGGCGTGGCCCTGCACTGCAGACACTGCATATGGAATAACCACAGAATTCCATATGCAGTGAGCATTCTCCACAAGCGTGAACCAGATGTGATGGGTGAAAGTAACTTTCAACCAGTAGAGGTAGGATGGGCACCGACACAGCCATGAGGTGGCATGTGCAGCACCCGCCAGACACTCCCTTGGCCCTGTTACAGCACTGAGCCACACCACAGGATGACACCTGAGCGCTGTCTATGCACTGAAGTGTGTGAACCATGTATGGGTTTACAAGTATAACGAGACTCCAGTTCTTACTAGGCATATAAAACAATGTTACCTTGAATTGTTGTTAATTCTTATAAAAACTGACTTCTGAGGCATGAGGATGGCAAGTTCTGGGTCAGCCTCAACAACCCAGCAAGACCCTGTCTCGGAACAAAAAGTAACAAGGACTGGGATGTACCTCAGTGGCACAGCACCCCTAACCAATCCCCAGCACTAAAATTAAAAACAAACAAACAAACAAAAAATTGGAAACTTGAATGTGGCAGCTCACACCTCCAATCCCAACTACTCTAGAGGCTTCAGAGGCAGGAGATCACCAGTTTGGGGCAACCTGGGCATCTTAGTAAGACTGTGTCTCAAAATACAATAAAAAGGTCTGGAGGTTCAGCCCAGTGGTAGAGTGTTTGCCTAGTATGTGCAAGGCCCTAGGTTGAACTTCTGTGCAGCAAAACAAAAACAAAAAAAGAAAGAAAGAAACTTGCCAGGCCCAAGTTATTCAAATTCAATCCTGAGGCTTTCATTAGAGGTGGTATCAGCAACCAGCAGCTCTCCTTTCTTCTTGGTAATGAACATGATCCTGCCATCCAGCAGGTATCCTTAGCTGTTGCTCTTAACATCTTGAGAGGGATAAATATATGAAGCTTGTTGTCAATTACTGGACCTTTCCTGTGAATTCACCTGTCGAACTCTAACATGTCAGACTGTACATCTGAAAGGCAGTTCTGCCAGAAGAATGTGGGGCAGAAAGACACATTACGGAAGACAAAGCGAGAGTCAGAGAGAAAGTACCCAATGGAGGCTGAGCTGGTGGAGAAGCGCAGCGAGTGTGTGGGCAATGTGGGGACTGCCCTGGGCAAAAGGCACCCTGTGGGTGTGGGTCCTGGGTGGCACTGTGGCACACAGGCTGGCTCCTGGTGGACAGTTCCTTCTGGAATATGTGGAGTGGTTAATGATGTCTTGTTCTGACAGTAATTCTACCGTGTGCACAATAAGACACCAAGAAGCAGCTGACCTGCTGGCCCACGTCCACCTTGGTGAAGCTGAAGGTGCTGAGGTGGGTATTGGCTCCCCGCACAGCTGGCTCTATGGTTTCTCGAAAAAGCTTCTCTACAAATTGGCAAATAAAAGGCCACATGTGCTTTACAGTCTGGAAGGAGAAAGAACTCATGTTAACAATCACTGTGATACACATGTACCTGAGTTATCCTGAAAAATTATAATCCTGTTGCTTGCCAGAATGATCTGGCTCAAAGTCTACTAACCCTAAAACATATCTTAAAAGCATATTATACATTGCAAGGTTTCTTGGGAATTATTTCCCTTCTTATAATAACATTTCCTGAATTTGTGCTTGTGATTATCATACGGTAGACTCAATGCTCTACATTCAGAAAGGGAGACACAGGCCAGTTAGTGATGCAATGTGAGCCCCAAGTCTTCTCGGGTTAGCGGTAAGCCTTCACTCAGGAGGAAGGCAGCAGACCAAGTTCTCTGGGGAGCGAAAGCCTCCCACTGCAGTCTAAATGGGCTCTAGTCATGCCAACATCCAAATTCCCAAATACGGAAAGATGGTCTCTCATCCTCTAATTCCCACTGATATCTGGTATTTGGAATATTCTAATCTTACCTTATTTAGCCATTCTGCTCTTTCAGTGTCTGGAAAATGAACCTAAGAGAAAAAGATACAGAGACATGACTTACTGACTCCTGCCCACTGTGGATAAACACCCTGCAGGCTATTTTGTATTCTCATAGTGTCCTGTGTTTACATGAGGCTTCTTTAACACAGTCTGCTCCAAAGCTTGGAGGAGGAAAGCTGGAAGGTGTGGCCCCTGGCTCACCATTTCAGAACTTGAAGGCAGAAGAGCCAAGAGCCAACAAATGCCACCCAGAACCTTCTCTGCCTCCCACCGTCCAGAGAGATGTTTGTTCCTGGTGTCTGAAACATCACAGAACACACAAAAACAATCTCTTCTTTGAAAGGATCATCATTAGCACTGCCATCTTCATATTCTAGAAATCTAGACTCGGAGCCTTCAGAACCCACCTCTTCCTTCTGTTGTCCCCTTTCAGTTCTACCCAGCCAGATGCCCTTCTTCAAGAGCTCATCTCCACCTGGTCTCCCACCCCCTCCCAAGTGTGCATTATCATTCTCCAAGGTTAGACCTGTGTACTAGAAGTGTTTGCAAAGGCAAAAATAAGCCTACTTAGAAAAAAAGCAGAAAACATTTTTTTCTGCTGTTGGAGCTAAATAAAGCATCCTTACAGCAGAAGGCTAGCTCTGTTTTGGCCACAGACATAGAGTTTTCAAAGAAGGAAGAGCACACAGGCCACACCAATGCTGTGATAACACTTTGGTTTAGAGGTACAGTAGATCCCAGGCAAGTCTGTATTGGTGACTGAGGGGAGAAAGGTCTTGATGTCCAAAGCTTTCCTAAGCTACAAAGCACTTTAGCCAATTAAAGCTCTGACCTTGTGCTACAGCAGAGGAAGCAGGACTAGGCCAAGCAGCTGGGCAGGGAATATTCTCATGGCAGGTAGGGGGATTTCCAAGAAGGGGTCTTGAGATCCAACTCAACCTCTCACCTTTGAGTACAAACAAGTGAGGGTGCCACCCAGCAGAAGGCAAGCCTTGGTCCCACAGAGGCCTAACTAAGGCACTACTCCAGCCCACCAGCCCCTGGAGGCCCTGGCACTTTTAGGAGAGCCAGCAGCGGCAGCAGGCTTGGCAGTGCTCTGGCTCCTTCCTGTCCACAAGCCTGAGCAGGCCCTATTCCTTCACACCACATGGCATGACGTACTTACTGTGCTTGAACCATGAGCCGAGCTGGAGGGCTTCTAGATTAAGTTAGCTTGAGTCCATTCTGACAGCAAAAACCAAAGGGGTAGCAACCTTCCAGAATCAGAGAATGGCTTAGAAGTCAGGAAAGAAACTGCTAGAGATGATCACTGGACTTTAGGGGATGTTTCTGTCAGTTTTGAAAGGTGAATTTTGACCCAGGTGGAACCAGTTTTCCCAGGGAACTAGGAAAGTCAGGGATTTCAGTGAGGAAAGTTGGAGAGTTGCTAGACCCATCGAATAAGGTCGCAAAATTAATTATGTGCAATTCATTTGCAATGGGTAATCTGCCATTTCTTTCCATTGCTGTAGAGTAGCTCAACACTCTAAAAGTCAGATCGGGAATGGGATGTATGGTTGACACACAGGGGTAAGCTAAGCATTAAAGCGGATACTCAGCTGTGGTCTCTCCCAATTTGCTGTGAGGCTGTCTCCCTTTCTGACCCTTCTCTCCAAATCGAACCCAACACTGGAGGCAAGAGAAGGAATAAAAGGCAGATACTGTGTACCTTGTGTGTCAACAGCCAGACTTTATTACTGATGTGCTCCTTCTGAATTCAAGAGTGAACACCAAAGGACATCTCTGCAGGTGTCTACCTAAGAGTCTGACTGTCCCAACTTCACTGAGTTTAGCTACAAGAAACATTGTTCTGTTAAACAAGAATCTCATTCCACCTCAAGCTCCTACTTATTTATCAAATAGTTAAACTTTCTCAGTTTGATATTCAAAGAAAGCTGGAATCACGTTTTCTTTGGTTCACCTTCAAAAACCTGCCTTTTTGTTTTGTTTAATTTTTTATTTGTTTTAATTAGTTACACATGACATACAATGACCTTGACATATCATACATTTGAATCAGATGGGATACAATTTCTCATTTTTCTGAGTGTACAGGTTGCAGAATCATATTGGTCATACAGTCACGTATATACACACATAATAATAGGTAGAGAGAAGTGATGGGAGGGGAGGGGAGGGGAAGGGGGGAAAGGAAGGACAGTAGAAAAACCTGCCTTTTATCTCACTCCTGCTGAAGCCAAACAAAACAGCCATGACTACAAAGAACTTGCTCTGTTTTGCTTACTTCTTACCTTCCCTACTTCCTCCTTCTGCCAGCTCCTCCTGAGGAGCTGGTGCTGGACAATGAACCACACACGCCCAAGTCCAACTGCTCCTCCACCTACAACACCTCCAGGCTCACACTCCCCCCACAAGCCTTAAATGCTCCTCAGCTGGACAGGGCCAACTCCTGCACCCTGCCTCTTAGTCCACCCCTTAAAGTTACGGAGCTTCTATCTTCTCAGCATCAGAGTATTATGTGACCGGTTCATCAGTTGAGCCAATAAACAATAGTCCTGATATTTTCCAGTCAGTACACTATATCAAATCCACATTTTAAACACATCAAACAAACTGCCACTTTCTAACAAAGCCTTTAAAAAATTATGAGAAATGACTGTCTGGTAATAGAAGAGACAGCCAGATTTTCCAACCAATCAAAATTGATGAAAAGGGGCCAAGTATTCTTAAAATACTGTTAACATACATATGTATATATAAAAACGTTTTATAAGTTACACATTTCTATAAATGCAGACGTTTGCGAGAATATAAACCAAGACAGTCACAAGGAGAATGAAGATTTACCTTCCACTTTATGCATTTCCATAGTTTTGAGATTCCTTATGAGAAATGTAAATTACTTTCCTAATTACTACTGTAACTTAGGATTGAACATAAGAAAATATTCTAATACAGAAGTACTATTTTTATAAAGTAACTTAAACTGTGTAAAAACTGAATTTTCATAAATTAAATAATATTTTAACAATATTGGGAGAGAATGATAATTGGAAATAGGATTGTATTACACACAAATAATCTATTCCAAATTTGATTTTAATGAAAATTTTTGGTATATTAAGTTTTAAAGGGAAAATACAACCATGCTGACCAAACTCTTTATGATTGAACATGGAAAAATGACTCCCACCAGTGTTCCAGAATGAAAGTGCTCTTCTCCTGAGTGCAATGGTTCACACCTATAATCCCAGCAATTTGGGAGGCTGAGACTGCAGAATTCCAAGTTCAAACCCAGCCTCAGCAACTCAGTGAAGCCCCCTCTCAAAAACAAAACAAAACAAAACAAATGAACTAGAGCTGTGGCTCAGTGGTAAGGTTAATCCCCATATAAAAAAAAAAGTAATCTGCTTCTCCAAAACCATTCACTAAGCTCAGTGACACTTCTCAGGTGGGTCTGCCAGTGTGCTAGTGAATTCCTACTCCTGTCATTCTTTTTTTTTTAAATATATATATATATATATATATATATATATATATTAGTTGTAGGTGGACACAATACCTTTATTTTATTTTCATGTGGTGCTGAGGATCGAATCCAGTGGCTCACGCATGGTAGGTGAGCGCTCTACCTGTGAACCACAACCCCAGCCCCTCCTGTCATTCTTAAACACCAGGCTGACATCTAAAGCTGAACATTCACCAGTGCCAGGGGCCAGGGCAATTGTACTAAAGTAAGTACAGCATCTTTACACACAACCACACACTAGGACAAGAGCCATCTGACACCTGGGAACTCTGATTTCAGTCACGGGGCCATCCTCTGAAGAAAGCATGCATGGAGCACTTACAGACCAGCTCCAGCCCTAGGGAACGAGGAGGGGGGAGAATAAGGCGGGGCTTTCTGGATTCAAGAAAAAGACAGCAGGGATATATTTGGCTAAAACCCTTGTAGATGAGGTGGTAAAAGAACCTTTGTTTCTGAATTAATCAGTGACGCTGGGTCCCTGACACAGAACTCCTAAATTGTTGGAATTTCCTGGGTGATAGGGCATCTTTTGCTTTAATCAGGTGTGCTGGGAGCCATTAGCCAAGTAGGTATGACAATTTCCTTGCCAGCGTACCCCATGTTGCTGACATGTTGCAGTGACATTGAATGTAAGTGACCTTGCTCAAGGACCAAGGCAGATTAGGGTGTTCCCGGTTTTAAGATAATCTTGTTTAGGGCGTTCCCAGTTTAGGTTCCAGGTTTAAGGTTTAAGATTATTCCTGCTGGGAATAGGGCGTATCCTGCTGCCTGAGTTCCCCTTGAGTTCTCACGGGATTCAGACAGTATATTTTGGGAGATAGAAGCCCAGTGGAGGTGGATTTGGGAAGAGAACGTGGATTTCCCCAGAACGTGTTTGTAGACGGCTGGTGTGAGTTCGGGAATAAAGAGTTGCTGTTTGAATCTACAAGCTGTGTGATGGCTCGTGATTGTGTGCCCAGCCAGACTGCGGCATTTGTGCCCAGCCAGACTGCGGCACAGGTGGTTCTAGAGGGCTCCTGGACAGCCTCCAGAGGGGGCTAGTTGTATTAAAGGGTTCTAGCCTCTGGCTAACAGCCTCTCCTCCCACTTCTGGGGAGGGGACAGGGTTAATGGTAGCTGACCATCAAAGGCTAAATGACTGAACCAGCCTGTGGCTATTTATTGATCCTGTACCAAAATGCAAAAGGATGGAGTTGGGAGAACTTCCAAGTTGTTGCACACACGGAGTGTGTGTGGGGGGGCATATCTGAAGAGGGCACAGAAGCTCTGGTCCTCTTCCCCAGACCCTGACCCATGTTATTTCTTTATCCAGCTGGTCTTCTATATTCTTTTTGGTGTTCTTTGTAATATACCAGTAAATACGGTTTCCTTGAGACTGTGACCTAACGTAGCAAATTAATCAAACTCCTGGAAAGGGTTGTGGGAGCCCTCATTTATAAGTGGCTGGAAGGAGCACAGGTGACAATCTATTCCATGCAACTGACATCTGAAGGGGAACAA